CAAGTTTTATATTTTTCTACTTTCAGTGCAGAAATTCGCACTAGAGGTGTTGCCATACATTGCACTTTTTAAATTTTTGGATAGAGACGTTTGGTTCAAAAGTTGTGCTCTTCCAAACTTAGCCCACTCATTTCAGATGTGGCCGGCAACGGACACTACAGCTAAGCTGTAGTGTCCGTTGCCGGCATCTGGTCGCTCAAGTACATGACAAGAACACCAAATCTTGCAAGACCTGTCATTTAGGGGTTGACAAAATGCTACAGAAGTAACATAAATGACAAAATTACTTCAAAATTGCAACAAAATGTAATTAATGTACCTACATGGTATACTTGGCAACGGACACTACATGGCAACGGACACTACACCCTTGAGGTTTTTTGACATTATTTCATATAATTACAGCAATATACTGAAATAGCTACTGTGTTTTAAGTCAGCATCTTCAGCTGTTTCAAAACCTGAAATCATATGCACCCACAGCTTTTCTATTTTAAGTTATTACCGAGCAACGGACACTACACATTTTCTCGGACAAAAAAGACAGGTAACTGTAAGCCATCAGCCATATTAACCCAAAGGACAAGCAACATAAAAACACATGTTTTGTGTCATATATGGATGTACCTTGCATAACATGCAAAATGGCCAGTTCTATCACCATCCTTTTTAGTACAGGGAGATAAGTTAATTGCAATGTGTTAATTTATGAATTTTACATAACGTGTACAACATATTGATAAATGCGCTCCAGAAAAGAGAAATTTCCAATCATCATCAGGTTTTTTGCAAAACATATCAGACTGAGCATGTCTGAACATATTGCAAATCTTTTCATTCCATTTTTTTGTTCCCAAATTACTTAAAAGCATATTTAAAAAACTGGCATTTTTCAAGTGCAACGGCATAACGTAGATTTTATGCCAATTTCTGGTCTTAAATTGGCCATAGCATAAGTTTTAAACACCAAATCTCTTCCTGATTGTCTGGAAAATAACTGTACTAGTATAACAAGTTTGATAAATGTCAACAGAATGCGATAAATACAGAGTAAGATTGACATAACGATGCACGATGCCATTGGCGCACCCTGATCTCGGAATAGCCGAATGCAAATGATAACAATAGTTGTCAGCTGCAGTTGTTGATATTTTAGGATATAACATTACAGGTACATGTCATTTGGTATTTTACTTAACTGTTAAGAATCATGTTCTTTATCTTGATAAATCATGATTATCTGACATCAAAACAGATTCACAAAATAATAAATTATATGCTTTCCAGACTTTTTTTTTGGTCAATGGGACACCTATTCCCAACCCTAACCCTGACCAAAACAATAACCCTAACAGCAGAAATTTAGCTACAAGCATGTGATGGCAAAATATCCTGATACCAATGACAGCAATACAGATTTGTATTGAAGACTCATCAAAAGCCTCACTGATTACTTCTGGTTACAGCAGGTGTGTCCAGCGGTTCGTCTAGTCCACAACCAATGACAGACGAGGTCCAGATCGGACATGTTTGTCTCCATGTCCAGCATGGGAACATCGCCAAAGACAGGACAGATGCCATTGTGAACCCCACCAACGCAAAACTGGATTTCACCATGGGTAAGGACTGCTTGATGACTTGCATTAGATGCCGACACTTTGAATTCCTTATAGCATCTACTAACATCTTTGAGTTTCCTTGTGTTCTAGGTTCTGTGCCAAGAGCAATTCTCAATGCTGGTGGCCAGGCTGTATTGGCTGAGTGTCGCCAACTGGGTGAGTTGTCACAAGCCTTTTTTGTGGTTAAGTACTAGTATCTTATCTAAGGATCTAATATTTTCTGTGTCAGACAGAAAATTACATAAAAACTTAAAGTACCTATGACTTCTTTTTAAGCATAGCAAAAATAAATCAATGTTTCTGTGATCCTCTTATCAGGCTCTACCAGCCTGTAAATTTTCATTCAAAAATATTGATTTAAAAGTCATATGGATAATTTTCCTGCCCAGATCGTACTGATATGTCAAATAATGGCCAATGGACTACACACTTTATTTCAACAAACTGTGCCAAGTAAGATGATGAGATAATCCACTCCTTCCTGCCAGGGTCCTTACCCATCAGTGGTGTGGCCGTGACTGGTGCAGGAAACCTGCGCTGTAAACATGTCATCCACGTGGCACCAGGAGACGACATCTACACCCTGAAGGAGCAGTTCAGGAACGTCTTACGTCTGGCCGAGGAGATGGAGCTCAAGTCTATCTCTTTTCCTGCACTGGGAACAGGTACATACTGTTTGTTTGTATATTAGATTTATCTGAACATCTTGGCCACTGCTTTTACCTTTTGTGGTGTATCACTGGTGAAAGGACCTGAGAAATGTTGTGAAGATAACAATTTCAGCACCAAGGAAAGACACCATTGCCAGATCATTTCAGACAAAAAAGCGAGGCTCATACTATCTGAGTGTTTGAAAAGCACTTACAAAGACTCCATTCATTTTCACATTCATCTGATCTGAGTAATGTTATTAAGATGACCACTTCAGCACCAAGGAGAGACATCATTGCCAATTCCATCCACAAAACAAAACCAACTTCAGCTACTTTTTTTTACCTTTCAAAGTGGCTTTCATCTTTTTCTCAAACACATTTCTTCCATCACCATCTATAAGAAAGGTATTATTGGTACTTATTGTACATCGCCTTCTATACTTGCATATAGGTAGTGCACGGATAGAGACAACCCAAGCAGCATCCTGTATGGTGGAGGCCATCGACGAGTTTGTCCACGAAGACAAGCCCAAGAATCTGGTTCTAGTCAGGGCTACCATCTCTAAAGAGGAGATCATGGTAGTCTATCGTGATGCCATCTCACAATGGACGCCAGGGCAAAGACAGCAGGGACAGCTTGCTGCACTGGAGAAATTAGCCAGTAAGTTACATTAGGTTGTGTCCTTGCATTGAATGGAAATGATGGGTTTATCTTGAAGTCTAATTTTTTAGTATTACTACTAAATAATTGCAGCTTAAAATTAATACATGTAAGAGCAATTCAATAAATAAACAAACCAAATAAATAGATGAAAGACTGCCATGTAAGATGTTTCATCATGTTTTAAAGACTGTTAAGACTGGCATGATTATTTGGGTTTGACTCAAAAAGGTCTTTTTTGATGACTGAAAGGTTCTGTATTTCTTCACCCTCTTCTACTTCATTGATGGAAGGCATTATATATTAGTTTGTATAGACAACTTGTTGATTCTCATCATGATTTTCACTAACATTTTGTGTTATTGTCAATCAGATGCTGTTGCTGAACGCATGAAGAGGGTCATTAGATTTGACCCCAAGGACCCTCCCTTAGTTGTCTCGGTGGATGGGATAGTACTGAAAATATTTGCCGGAAAGAAAGCGCAGCTGGACACGGCTGTGAGGAAGATAGAGGACATGATGAGCAGGGAGTGTAAGGACCACGTCATCACAGACCCATCTGTGGAGAAACTGTCACTTTTGGAGCAGGCTAAGATTAAGGTATGACAGTTACAACTGGTTTTCTTTCTTTATTTACTTTCCTTAAGCTTGCGTCTATGAATATCAAAATGTCATTCACAATCAACAGTCTGTTGATTTGAAATACATCAATCTGATGTAAGACACAAGCCTTATTTTTGGGGTACTTGCTGGGTACAAATGCTTTAAAGATACATACAGATTAATGGTTGAAGGTGATTTTAATATTGACATTTTGCTGAAAAGTACCAATAATGTTTTACTTGTTTGGATTAGGAGCTGGAAAAGCAGCATATTGTGGCAATAACCATCGATTGCAGTGACTCCAGCATTCGAGTACAAGGCAATGGAGGGGATGTCAGTGATGTGGTGACTGATATCTACAAGGTACATCAAATTACCTCCAAGAGGTATTGTTTGTATTGTGTATGCTTGTGTAGTAGAGATGGTTACAAGAAGGGTGGGTGGGTATTTGCTCACTTGATTGACAGGGAGGTTATCAGTAAGTCTGTAAGTGACACAGCAGGTGCCAAGTGGGAGATAAGTTAGCACAACATGGAGGAATTCAGAAAATGGTTGACAGTTGAAGCACCTCATACAATCCCCTGCACAGTTCCAGTACATTCATGAAAATCAAAAACTCAAGGTTTGAAATCTCTGATATTTTGTCACAGACAATTGAAAAGCTGATGCTGTTTGTTGAATAACTGTGGCACTGCTAGTCCAAGTCGACCATGTTTGCAGTTTTTTAAAAGTGTCTCTCATTTTTCCAGGTTTTGAATGAGATCACAGTGAAGGAGTACAAGAGTCAGCAGGCTGAACTGATGTCCAGGGAGGTTCAGTGGTGTTACCTGGAGCAGGATACGTACCAGCCCTACAGTCCTGAGCTGAATGCTGTCCTGGAACAGGCCAAACGGGTATGGAAAACTTGTAGTTTTGTATCCTGGGCTTACTAAAGAACCAACTGAAGTCAAGGTTGTCATCAGTTTTATCCATTCAACTCACACAAGATTCATGAGTCCTATTAACATGTCTTCAAGGAACATGAAATTATGGTATAATTTTCAATTTTCTTATCATAAGATGTTGAAGAAACATTAGTCATGCTGTAGAAATGTAAGATTCCATACATCATTAATCATCATAATACACAAGTACTCATTGTATATGATGATACTGGTTCTTCATGATCACAACCGTTTGTTGTTGCTTTTTAGCATGGTAGGTCTTATGTTGACTTCACGAAGCCAGACACCCTGGAAGCTTTTCACGTGGACTTCATCAGAATGAAGGAGACACAGATTCTAACAGGAGACACCAGGCTTATTGTCAGGAAGGACACAAAGACAGGTAAGAGTACTGTAACTCAGATTTTCTGATGTAGATAGAAAAAAATCTTTCTTCAGTTGATGAGGATTTTGCTTTTTATGTAACCAAGGACATTACGTGTTTGTTCCAACACAAAGAATTGATCTCACCTCGAGTTTTCAACCATTCACCCTGGTCTTCTTCAATAGACTGACCCAGTGAGATTGATTTGTTTGTTGAAAACCCCAGATCTTCCCGAGTTCTGGGACCCCCAAGGTGATGATGAGGTGAAGGTGGTGGAACTGAGCGAGGGCAGTCTGGAGTTCCAGGAGACGTACATGTACTTCGCCAAGACAATTGGAGACAAGCCATCTAAGGTTGTCAAGGTAACATCCTTGTCTTGTTGTTTACCTCTTCTTATTCTTCAAGAAAGCAGCAAGAAAAGTTTGCAAGAAAAGTAACACACAGACATCTTTGTGAAAACCCTAGTTTTCTCTGCTATGAAACCTATAAAAGAACAATTTTCAGTACCATGGACAGCCACCGTCTGTCTTCATGATCAACAGCTTTTGTTACATCTAATTCTAGTGAGTAGTGAGGATACTCTTTCTGTACTTGGTAACAATTTAGTTCTGCTCTACAATTTTCCTCAGATTGAACGTATCCAGAACCCAGCCCTGTGGCGTCAGTACCAGGTGAAGAAAGAGAAGATGGACAGAACAAACAAGGCTGCCGACAATGAGAGACGTCTGTTTCATGGAACCTCCACCGGGTCCTGTTCCCACATCAACGCACACGGCTTCAACAGGAGCTTCTGTGGCAAAAATGGTGGGCCATCTGAAAATTGCAACATTATATCTAGAGTATGATAAACGACCATTGTCTTCTCCTCTTCACATGCTATGTTTATCATGTCATTTCAAGTAAAGAATCATCATGTTACCCAGGGATTTTTCTAGAAAAAATTAGCATGAGGGAGCAGATCACTGGCATGGCGAGGGAGCGAAGCAAATTTTGTAAAACACAGTTTGTAATGCTAGAATGCATTGTTATAATGTTTTGTTTTTATATTTTCACTGGAAAAAGATCGTTTTGAGAAAGACTTACGGTGTACGTGTATGTAGCCACTTAGGGTCCAATTTGAAAATTGATATGGGGGTGCTCACAGGCTGGTTACATGAGGGAGCAGTGCCCTTACTCCCGGTTTAGAAAAACCCTGCATGTCACCAGTATTTTGGTGGAAAGGGGGCCTAAGTTACTTTGTAGTCTTCATTGATGCTGACATGTTATTTGTTCCATGTCTTCTTTTCTAATAATCCAGCTACCCTGTACGGCAATGGAGTGTACTTTGCTGTCGAGTCCAGTTTCTCAGCGAAGGACCAGTACTCCCTCCCCGCCACCAAACACAACAAGCACGTGTACCTGGCCAGGGTGCTGGTGGGAGACGCTACAGTCGGCAAGCAGGGCATGATTGTCCCTCCACCTAAAGACCCCAACAACAAGACTGTCCTGTACGACAGCGTCACCAACAATGTCAAAAACCCAAACATCTTTGTGATCTTCCATGACACCCAGGCTTACCCCGAGTATTTGATAACATTTCGTAGTTAAGTCATATGCTGGCCAGCATTCCTGCAAGTAATGCGAAAAATGTAATACACTTCTTTAACAATTGATAACAGAATAAACCCAGTTAAGCCTACCTATCTCCGTCTCGTCAAAATGTAGAAATGCAAAATAAAAACATAGAAATGCAAATATTTGATAAACATGCAACCAATCTCTCATTGGATGAACTGCTAATTGCCATAATTGTATCATTGGTTGAGCTGCTGATTGTGATGGACAGTCAGGACGGGCTATTGTTGGGGTATTGTTGCAAGCTGTCTGGAGTGTCATAAGTTGCCCGGCTTAGCTAGTGATTTGTGTTGTTGTCATTAGTTAGTGATATAGCTAGCACACAGCAAATTCAGGAGATGTTGCATCAAAAGCTTGTCAATGAGAAAAATAAAAGAGTCATGAGCACTATTGAGTTGCAGAGACAGAGGACAGTACCAAAATGGTATTTTATGTATTACAGTAATGATTCTGAAATTATCTGTCTGGGGTTACCTGACAAGATTGCTGCATGATTTTTAAGCTGTTCATTCTATTTATTAGCATCTATGTTAATGTTACATGTTATGTCAATAATTTGTACATCTAGCAATACATGATGTAGGTGGTGTAAAGATTTTTTGAATGCAATATTTTTGTACATAGAACAGCTTGGTTATTGAATAATGGGAAGCAGCATGTCTTTAAGAATAGTAGAAATGATAACTTTCTCCAAGGACATATATATAGAGAGGACTGTTGCTACGTCATACCGGTATCATTTAAGCTGCATTTTATGAGTACATGTTCTTTTGGATGGAATGTATCTGTCAGGTTCATCCATCATGTTTGTAAAAGGTTGTTTTTTTTTTGTTTGACTCTTGAGAGTCTATACACTCTCATCAAGGGTAAGCTGGCATCACAAGTATTTAATAATCAATAATAAGTTAAGTCCTATTTAATTTTGAACTTGCTTGTGTTATTTATTATAATTTATATGCATTACAATATGAATGTATTATCTATTTATGGCCATACTGATTAATATTATATTAACCTTGCATCATCTGGGGCATTTTTCTAATAAAAAGCCTCTATCTTCTAGAAGTACTCTATCTTCTAACCTTATTTGATATCTTATCAATCAATATTGTTAGGATCTCGGCTTCCTCGCAAAACCAGTAAAGTTAACTTTGTTGGATTAGAAAAATGAAAAATAAAAGCAGGCAAACATACAACCACAAAAAGGTTGACTGTTATGGAAGGGGCGTGGTGTCTGTTGATGGATGTTTGCGCTTTGATTTTCATACGTGCTTATTTCCCTAACTCTTTTAATTGGTCACATTGCAAATTGTGTTAACTGAAACACCTTTCCGTGGCGTGCAGGGACAGGCGTAGCATTGTGTATATTACAGGTAGCAGTAAGTTCAACATTATGTTGACTGTTATCTACGAATATGATTTCACAAGGAATACGAATTTATCATGAAGGAATATTCTTTTTCCTTTACTAAATATATACTAACATAGATGAGTCAATTGCAAAATTGTATCAAACCCATTGGAGACTGATGTCTAAAAATGTCCGGAAAAAGTAGACATTCCGAGAATGTCCAATATCTGCTAGCCGTTTTATAACAAATTTATTACATGTTAGGCTCTAGTAGTGAGAGACAGTCCAATGTTACGCAAGTTAAGTTAGTGAACGATATGGCAATTGAGACACTTGACAATGTTGAAGCCAGTGCACCTAAGTCGCTATGTCTAGTTAGTGGTAGTTTAATAGCGTTGACGTTACCCTTTTACACGCTTTTTGCCAAACGGCAGTCCTCTCAACAGCATGATTTAACATTCGTCTCCATCAAGGACATTCTACCAGGCCTGTTGAATGCTTGAAAAAGTTGAATAGAAGCTCCTTGTCTCCATCGATAGAGATGTGATACAAGGACGACATCTTGCGGAACATATTAAAACTGCAACCAAGGAAACTGGTCAATACGATTTCACGATTTCTTTTTAAAAGCACCCCGCGGTGTTTTAATCAATCAGCGCAGTACATAGCCTTATTGCAAGAAACTATGACGTTTAAACTCGCTTCAAGAACGAGATAAAAGCGATTTTTGCCGAATTTGTGTTGTTTTTTCCCTCCAACCTCTGACCCCCCCCCGGTCACAGCTGATGGTTGGGCCCAATTGGGAGAATCGTGGGTAATTTCCAACATGGCAGCCTCCGACGGTCAGCCGAATTTGTCTCAACTTTTTTCCGATCTAAATCGAGCTGGACAAGCCGGAGACTTCAACAAGGCTCTGAAAATTGCAACGAAGAGTAAGTCGCATTGCTCCGTGCATAGTTTTGCAGCGTTCATACATTTAATTTGTATTTTATGGCACAAGAATGTAGCGCGTGCATCGGTAGCATATGGTTCAGTGCATGCAAATCGATGTGAGTTGACTTTAGAAAATGAACGTGGCTATATACACTCCCGGAGTGTATATAAAATCTATTTGTCTTTTATATACACTCCCGGAGTGTATATAAAATCTATTTGTCTTTTATATACACTCCGGGAGTGTATATAAAATCTATTTGTCTTTTATATACACTCCGGGAGTGTATATAAAATCTATTTGTCTTTTATATACACTCCGGGAGTGTATATAAAATCTATTTGTCTTTTATATACACTCCCGGTGTGTATATAAGATCTATTTGTCTTTTATATTTATATACACTCCCGGAAAGTTGATAGGGCATTCGAATGATCTGTCGCCGGTGCGAAGACCGCGCGATCGGCTGTGTTATCCGGAGTCACCAAAGGGACCGGGGCGAACCCCGGGTTGGTCTTGGTCTGATAAATGCACGCCAGACCGTGAGGTCGGCGCTTCTTCCGCATGTATTAGCTCTGGAATTACCACAGTTATCCATGTAGGATGTGACGATCAAAGGAACCATAACTGATTTAATGAGCCATTCGCAGTTTCACTGAGACAGTTTAAACTTGCACGTGCATGGCTTAAACTTTGAGACAAGCCTATGACTACTGGCAGGATCAACCAGGTAGCGAGGACGCCAGGGGCGCGCGACCGGTCTCGCCGCCGCCGCCGGGAGCGGAGGGTCCCGGGCCCCGCGCAAGCGGGGCGGGGCGGTCCGCTCGACCGAACTTCGGTGGAGATTTCCGTGTTGTTTTCTGATTTTCATCATCCAATAAGATAAACTTGAAGACCGAGGTTTAAACTTGGTGCCCCTGAATCCTCAAACACTCACAAAAACCCAAGTTTTGGGCCTACCAAGGAGGCTAGTATTTCGGAGTGTATATAAAATCTATTTGTCTTTTATATACACACCGGGAGTGTATATAGCCACGGCGTTAGAAAATTATATCGGTCTTCTTTGTCTCTCCCGCAAATCACTCACCATTTCGGCATTGGTGTAGTTTTGTCCTAATCGTTTTGGTACTTAAGTAACGGCTACATTTATGAAAAGTAATAAAACAAGGGCTTGAAATACCACCTGCAAGCTAGTGCCGGGTAAAATTTTGGAGCTGTGCAGATTTTATAAATTTCTGATTACTTAAGTACCTGCACCATCATGAACTGGGCTTTATCACGAAGCATTAAACAAGAGGCTTCTTAATATAACGTACTTGGTTTTATGCAGGTGTACATTTATAGCTGTAGACAGCTATATGATTTTGAAGCATAAAATTAATAATTATGCCAATGGTTTCTGAACAGTTCTTAGTATGATCCAATATTCCATGCTTCCAAAATCCTGAGTGAACAATTGGTCGGCCTGACTGTGACATGTGCGGTCACCTGTTCCTCCCCAGTACTGAAGCAGGACCCTCACGATGAGAAGGCGTATCACTGTAAGGTGGTCAGCATGATCCAGCTCGGACAGTTCAACGAGGTCATCAGGTTCATGGGCGGAAACTACAAGCTGTCCGAGTCAGTAGTGGTCTTATTTTATCTTCATTTCCTGCTTATTACTCAGTAGTGGCAAGGAATTGGACATTGTAGAACATGGGGGTTACTTCTTGTTGGCCTCTATGCAGGGGTGTTAAACCAAATCTCCTGATGGTACTAGTACTTTGAAGTTGTCAGTGACTTTAAGCTTCATTTTTGCCCCTTTAGCCCCCTGAAGTTTGAGCGAGCCTATTGTCTGTATCGTCTGAACCGGACTCAGGAAGCTCTAGAGGTCATCAAGAAGATTCCTGAGCCTGACCTCAGGATTAAGGAACTTCTGGGACAAGTGGTCAGATTATTACTCAGTTCATTACTACTGTAGTGTATTTGTATTCATGTTTTATATGGAACAGCCATTGTAACAAGTAACTGTACCTGTAAAATTATTAAGTACAGGTCTGTAGCTGGACATCTACATGTAGCTATAGTATAGTGTACCTACTGGTAGTACCTGTGAACAAGACAACATACCTGTACCTGAACAGAATAAGACACTAATGGCTGGCTTACACATGATCTTTGATTAACTGATGATCTGAGAGTCACTGTTGGTCATGGAAGTCAAGATGTGATGTGGAATGTATGTACAGTATTCAAATGAATCTTCTAACATTGTATTTTTTATAATAATGCTTTCCTCATGACTTTCCAGCTGTACCGTCTGGAGCAGCATGACGAGTGCCTGGAGCTGTACAGGGACCTCATCAGGAATTCACAGGTCAGGACTCATCAGTTATTTATTCTACAACAAAGTCCTGCAAGTTGAACTCTCTAATGTACTAAAACTACTATACTTAGAACTATAGTATAGTCACGGACATGAGTTTTTCATTGCTTTTGGTATGATTTTACCCCAAGCCTGATGTTCAAACTACCCTGAGTACATACCTGCACATTAAACTTGTTTACAGGATGAGTTTGATGAGGAGAGAGAGACTAACCTGGCTGCTGTGGTGGCTGCTGCTCAGATGTGGGGAGGCAAGCAGCTGGTAGGTTTGTTTTTACTCAACTATAGACAGTCACATGTCATAGTACAATGCTACATAGGAGAGTACACCTCTTGGTTGGCTCATTGACAAACTCAAGCCAACGTGGGGCTCAAAACATAAACACTGGACCAGCAACTTACAACATTCCCTCATAGGACCAAGTCTGCTGCCTGTAGCATACATATTAAGTTTCAAAACACAGTCGGTTCGGTAGGGATTCAAGTCCTATACTTGTGAGTTGTGATGGCGGATACAGAAGTTGGATTGGTAACCATTATACATTGTATCTGTACATGTTCTTTACGTCTTTTGGCATACTTTGGCTGTAATATTACGGTATGTGTAATTAAGTTGCTGGTGATTTTACACCCCAGGAGGATTATGGTCTACGGGAGTCCACCTATGAGCTGTCGTACAACGCAGCCTGTACTCAGCTGTCTAAGGGGGACGTAAAAGGGGCTGAGAAAAAACTGCAGAAAGCAGAAGGTTAGTTATTGTTAATTATTCTTATCTAGCTGTTGGTTTATGGGGAGGATGTTCTAAATGACATTTTTTGCCTGGTGAGAGCCTGTTCATGTGTGCTAAATTGTAGACAGCATGCCAAACAGCTATCGGTACATGTAGTAGTATCACTCTGGTCTCAACAACAAGGACTGTTTGTTTATTTCACAGAGCTCTGCAGGCAAAACCTGGAGGAGGACCCAGTAAGTACTGTTTTGTAGTTTTATTCTCTGCTCTGCTATCTTAGCTGTATTAATGCCAAATTGCTCTTAAGATAATCATCATCATGGAAAAAATCTGTAAGAGACTTTTAAGAAAAGAAAAGGAAAGATTGCTCAATTTTTCAAAGTTTGTTGAAGTGGTTTTTTTTATCTGCCACAGGAAGTGACTGAAGAGGACATCGAAGCAGAGCTGGGAGTTTTGAAGTAAGATGTCAGAAATACCCAGTAAAAGTTTCTCTCTCATAGAAGTGCCTATCTGTCAACTTTGGGGTTTATCTTTGTCTGTCAGAAACAGGATACTTTCGTCATCTCATATGGCCTGTACCTGTTGTGTTTGTTAGAACCCAGCGAGCGTACTGCCTACAGCTGCAGGGACAGAATGAAGAGGCCACCAAAATTTACAACCAGGTTTTGAAGTCCAGGTACAACAGTTTATCCTTCACATCCTGATTGAGAAGTTCACTTTACATGTATCCCAGGGTTTGCCTGTTTTTGTTGCCTGGGGAGCTGTAAAAGTGTTCTGGCTATATTTTAGTAGTAATGATAGAGGGAACAAAGAATTTGCCTTTCCAAATGTTTTCATTGAAGAAGAAGCATCTAGAGCCCACTACTACAAAAAATTATGGGCATGAGAGTATTGAAGCATTCAAGGCAATGGAATATAGTTGACATAGAAAACATGCAATTGGTTGTTTAGTTTTTATAAATGTTGAGTATTTTGGTACATTTGTCTGTTCCCTAATTTTGGGGTGTATTTTGGGAATGTTTTCAATGTTTTGTTTTTGTCCTGCAGACCAACAGATGTGGGCCTTATAGCAGTGGCATCCAATAACATCATCTCTCTCAACAAGGTGTGGCAGTTTGTTTTATTTCTGTTAGGGAATCCCGGATGTTTTATTTCTGTTTAACTCCCTAAGACTTGAAGTACCATTTTAAAGTGGAGATAAAGCTAGACAGCTACATCAGATTCTATCTATAATGTATGGGCTACCGAAGGGGAAACCATGTACAAAATATTAGCATGTTTCTTGAACGTAGGTAGCAAATACATTGAAATGTGTATGATCAGTTTTTAGGCTTCTTTTAATTGTAACTACTTTATACATTGTATTTCAATATTGAATATTACCACCTTTTCTGATAAGAATTTTCCTGCCAGTAAGTAATTGACAGTCAACCTTAAATGTTTTCTTGTGCTTCTCATGTGCTTTTGTCTCAGGACCAGAATGTCTTTGACTCGAAGAAGAAGATAAAGTCAGCCACAGCAGAAGGAGTGGACCAGAAGCTGACTAAGCAGCAGCTGAGAGACATCGCCTTCAACAAGTGTCTGTTACAGATGTACACCAACCAGGTGAGTCAGGAGAGGGCACAGAGAATGCTGTATATTTCTGGGTATGGAAGTATTGTTTGGGGTTGCTGAGGTGTTTGTGTCTGTCTGTCTGTCTGTCTGGGCAGAGTGGGTTGACAGCATGTGGGTGGGGGAGATTGATAGGCAGAATGTCAGGAGGTCAAAAGGTCAGATGCAGGAAATGGGGTGAACTTTAAGTCATGACATGAAACCCAAAATACCTCCTGGAAGTCTGAAATCTCTGATTTCTTGATTAAACTTTGTTTCCAAACCTCAACCAGTAGCCTGAGTGGAATCTAGAGATATTGATTTTATTTTCCCCCTTTCAGTGTTTCTTCATAAGTTAAATTTACATATGGCATTGTCATTCATATCAAAGATACGTCACAACATTTTAATGAGATGTTTCTGCAAATGTGTGTTTCTGTGTTTCTGTGTTCAGAGTGACAAAACAGAGGTAGGTGATCTTCAAATGTGAAAAACAGTTTCAGACATATACATGCCTGACATTCTCTTTTGCAGTGTTGTTGTGCATGTGGATGTAATGGGCGCATGGCTTGTCATGTACTGTAAATGCAGAAATTTTTGGTGTTGATTTTATTTTCGAGGTCTTTACTGTCTGCTGCAAATTCATGACACCAAAATTACTGAACCAGAGAATTGTTTCAGCTGCAAATTCAAAACTCTGCAAAAACCTCCCCTTTCCCTCGTACCACAAACTATAACCACTGCAAAATTAAATGCATTTACAGTATATGTAATACTTCCAGAAGTACCAGTAGTATATGAGTGGCCTAACCAAACTTGCATTTTGCCTTCGGGAATTGAAACACAAACATAACAGGTTTTAGTGAAGTGTGTCTGAATGTGTCAGCATGAAGGCTGTTGAGAGATGCTCCACTAAATTTGCTCCTTTTCTAGCTGTGATGACATGCTCCTTTTGTGTAATTCCATAAAATTCTAAAATGATGTTTTATAGTTTTACACTGCGATTTAGCCCTTGGCCTAGGATGTTATATATTGATGTGTGTGATTGTTGTTCAGAACGAGGCGTGTAGGAGGCTGGCTAAGTCCCTTCAGGAGGAGTACCCAGACCAGGACATGCCCCTACTCATCCAGGCTGCCCAGCTCTGCAGGGAGAAACACAGACAGAAGGCTGTGGAACTGCTCAGTGTAAGGGCACACGTCTGCTTTTTCTGTCAAAATTACCTTTCGATGATCTTCTCTCTGTAGAGGGCACAACATAGTTATACTGTCTATAACATACTGGTAATTTGTCAGGGAGAAGGATAAGGCTCATAGCCTTTCATACTCTGACCAGAAAAGAATTACGTACAAAGACGCATGTTAGAATTACACATGTATAGCACTACTGAATGTACACCTACACCCACATCTATGTTGTGAAACCATGTTAACTGGCAGCAGCTGTGGAGTGATGTTAGTCCTCATGTTTGTCTCTGTGTTTATTCTAGGATCACATCAACAACCGGCCTGATCCCAGCATCACCATGAAGCTAACCCTAGCTCAGCTGCACTTAAACCAAGGTGAAGTTGACTGTGGGTGCACTGGTGTGCCTGGTTATTTGTGGCAATTATGTATTATTCTACATCATATTCTTCACATTTTAGTGCTAGAAAGAAATAATAAAACCCTTTGTTGATTTTCGTGTTTAGTATTTTGAAGATTTTAGCAAAGAATTTCAGATTTGATTTCTGAAGAGAGGCAGAAGTTTTGTTAAAGGTAATGCTGTTTTGCTGCAGGAAATGCTGGGCAGGCAGCCAAGGTTCTGCAGTCTGTGGGGGAACTGAGATATAAACCTAACATGGTACACACATCATAATGTACATCATGGCAGTAGGACATCACTGTCAATATAATGTTATATTAGTGCTCAAAAGAACCAGTTAAAAATTGCTGCAAACAACATCTTACTAGTATAGATACAATATTGTATCATGGTATCATGTAGGTTCTTCTAATAGCATGTTGACTCTGACCTGTTACATTTGTATTAATGTATAAATAAGATGAGGATTTGTACTGAATCTGAAGTTGAGAGATGCGTGTTGTGTCCATGTAATGACATGTTCGCTACATGAGTGTTGTGTTCATGTAATGACATGTTTGCTGTGTGTGATGTGTCCATGTAATGACATGTTTGCTACATGTGTGATGTGTCCATGTAATGACATGTTTGCTGTGTGTATTGACAACAGGTGTCGACCCTGGTGAACCTGTACACCAGCATGGAGAACATAGAGGGCGCTTCTGAGGTGCTGGACACGACCGTCAACTGGTACAAGGAAAATGATGTAAGCAGAGGAGTTTGTAGTCCCTTCAGGGTCCTCATAATGATAAGGGTCCTTTTTGGTTGGATGAGCAGTGGGGTTGTGTATCTGTTTGTGCAAACAGTAGGTTGACAGCATGTGGGTAGGGCACAGCATGGCAGGAGGTCAAAAGGTCAGACTCAGGAAATGGGGTGAACGTGAAGGTCTCAGAATCTGGCCAGGAGCCAGCCAGAATTAGTGGTCGACATGGGGGAATTCAGGAAGCTTTTATACAAGGTTATAAGACAATGTGTGAAAGCATGATTTTATGAGATACAGTTTCTCATTTGATAAGTACAAATGTCCCTTTGATAATATGGTAGAGATTGTGCTGTTATAAGGCTGACATTTTGTCCCCCTCCCTCTCCAGCCCTCCTCCCCATACCTAGCTCAGCTGATGAGAGCCAGCTCCCAGTTCAAACTCAAACATGGCCAGGCACAGAAGGCCACTGAGATACTGGAGGAGCTCAGGAGGTAGGTCATTAGACTGTCTGTTTCAAGCCACTTGTATCAGGGAAAAGTATGGTTGTTTTTAAATCTGACTGTATGTAATCCTTCATTTTGTAATTGGAATATGATAAATGATATACCCTTTAGAAGTATATTTAAAAAAAGACAAGACACAAATGTAAAAGTTTCCTTTATCCATGAATTTCCTTGAGCAATATAGAATAGAAATATTTTTGGTACTTTGTAGTCATAGCCTCTATTGGAAAAAAGGTGTTACACATCTGGCCTAACTTGCTGTTCCTTTCCAGCATGTACCCTGACGATGTGAAGACCATAGCCCAGCTGATTTCTGCTTACTCCCAGTGTGACCCTAAGAAGGGAGAGCAGTATCCTTTCTCTGTTGGGAAGGTTCTGATGTGTTTGCCATATCATATGATTATCATAGTCTGAAAAGATGTACTAGTACATGTCCTTCAAATGAAGAAATTTGGGTCTATGTTTTTTGCTGTGTTCCATATTTTTATGATACTAAAGGGTGAGGAGACAAGCCTGTCATGTAGTGGTTGATGAGTTCAGCAAACCTTACAACTATTGCTCCATTCAGCTGTTATTGAATCTCAGACTGCCACATGTTATATTTTACATGTGAATTTTTTTCATTTATTCCATGTTAAGGTACATTTACCTGTAATAGTGAGAATATTTTGTATCCAAGTCCACTCAATTAGTGTACAGTTGAAGATGCTATTCCTTGCCCAGATGATACGTTTAGTAGCCAATTTGTGTTTTACTGGATTATACAACCAAAGCAGACAGTTATATTTTATAGTTATAATCATTTTGTTTCAAATATGTGATATTTCCCTTAATCACGTTTGTTCTAAGAATAAGCAAAGAGCTGCCTCCACTAGACCCTAGTTTCTTCTCAGGAGTAGACATCGAGGCGCTGGAGAAGGCAGCCATGACCATGGGGACACGCAAGAAGGCGGCTAAAGCTGCGGCTGGGACAACGGGCGGAGAGAAGGCAGACACACCTGTGGAGGAAACCAAGTCAGTATCTCATGGTTCTGTTGGTCGTGGAAATCACCGGTTATTTTCTCAGTGTACGGAAGTATAGTTTGGGAGTGTTTTTGTGTGTTGCTTGTATGTCCATCATCTGATGTCTGTACAGTTGAGTGACAGCATGTGGGTGGGGGAAATTCCCTAAAAGCAGACCACAAAAGGTCACACAGGAAGTTACATTGTACATGTAGGTCCCAGAAGCTGGTCAAGTGCCAGCAGGAAGTTGGCCAGGAGTAAGTTGACTGGTGCCATGCAGAATTGTTTGTGGAAACTATGGGTTTTGTGAAATTTAGAAACCCATATCCCCATGGCCATGGTCTTTGTTGAAGTCTGCAGGACCACTGATTGCCACTGTTCATACTTGTACAAAAATGTCTTGCTTATGTGTTCTTACAGGGATTCTGTCATTGTGCAGAAGAAAAAGAGGAGAAAAAAGAAAGGTCAGTGGATTGGAATTACATTTCATACTGTCAGTTGTAGTTGTAATTGGGTATGATTGATAACATTGTGTTCTCAAAATATTTCTCATCAAAGTACAATGTACTTCAGGATATAAATATGTATCACACAAATATTTAGATCCAAAGAATGATGTAAACAAGCCAGTAGTACAGTATGCTTAACATATTTTCTAACCTGTAGGAAAACTTCCCAAGAACTATGACCCTAGTGTGACCCCTGACCCCGAGAGGTGGCTTCCCATCAGGGACAGGTCATACTTCAAAGGTCGTAGGAAGAGGAAACAAAAGGACGGAGTCGGTAAGATAAGAGTGTTTGTAATAGTGTCAACAAGTGTAGCACAAAATTTTGCTGTGTTTGTGTACAAAATGTTAGTGTGCATCTCGTTCTCTCTGTGTACAGAGGGAATGTTTTGCATGTGTGTATGTGTGTGTGTGTGTGTGTGTGTGTGTGTTTGCTTGTATGTTTGTACAGTTCATGACAGCACATGGGTGGATGGATTCCCCAATCATAGACCAGAAAAGGTCAGACACAGGAAGTTTGGTCCCAGAAGCTGGTTGAGAGCCTGCAGGACATTGGCAGTGTGCCAATGGGAAAATCCATAGATGTAAACAGAGAAATTCACGATGACTGAAACAAGAAATTCACAGAAGCTTGAAAAACTTGTTTGTAATACACCATATAGTTTTGAAAAACGTTGACCTTGAGTTTGCTTCCTTCCCTTCCCCTATTGTAGGGAAAGGAACACAAGGAGCCACTGCAGGAGGCACATCTGACTTGTAAGTAACACTAAACCATGCTGTTTAATAGAAAGAATTTATCACTCAACGTGTAGCAAGTCCTTGTGTCTTTGACTGTTTTTCACCCTGAGTCATTAGACATAAAAATGACTCTAAAAGTCACCCTACACTTTTGTAGTGTTGCTTTATGTGCCAAGCAAGTTACCAATACTAGATACCTTTGTCTATGTATCTACCTGGAGATGCATCATCAAGTAATAAACTTATCAGAACATAATCATTTCACTGACTACTAAATGTCTCTATTGATGCAGGGACGCCAGCAAACCCCAGGTTACCCCAAGTTCTCCCAGGGCAGGGGCAAGTGGGACGTCCCAGAGTCCCCCCGCCGCAGCCAGTGGTACAGCCCAGCCTGAGATGGTCGGCCCCAGGCAACAGAAACCACAAGCCTCTAGCAAGAAGTCAAAGAAAAAGAAGGGAGGTGGTAAAAATAAATGGTAACGGTACTGGCATGGCTCCTGATAGCAAAATTAGGTAATTTCACTCATTTTAAAACAAAAATGTTAATGTCTGTAACAATCAGACTGGAGAAAAGAAAGGTTGATACAGATAACAACTAGAAATATCTTTGGGCTTTAGTATATTTCACCTGCAAAAATATAATGATAAAGTACAAGTTCTAATGCAACAAATTCATACTTTTCTTTAGTTTTCAATCTTTTTTAGATACAATTTACAAATAATAAGATCGATCATATTACATGTGTAAATGGCCTGGAGGTCAGTGAGCCTTTTTTCTCCAAGCTAAAAGTGGTATGAAAATCACCTGTGCATGTATCCTAGCATACAACACATCTCCTAGCAACATTAACTTGGTCACTAACTCTTGTGATAAAACAATTTGTCTTAATCTTTTTCCCTCCTTTGGTTTAGAACCAGTCAATACAACTGGTGTGGTCTCTGTTAATACTTTTGTCCTGGTTAAGGTCAATATGTTGCTGGGGTTTAATAAGCCTGAATATTGCAGATAACGTTACATGTCAAAAGATTGTATGGAGAAACGACAAAGTAAAATATGCAGTGATAATAGATTCTTTATTGACAATATAATACAGTGCACGATCACTAATACCAAACTCAAATGCTTTCACAAAATCCTATCAGTTATTATGTATCATGATTTATAAAAGGTACCAAGTAGACAAAATATTTTGATATTTGATAATTATATCTTTATGTTAATCTCTTTTCTCTCCAAAGCTTAATAATTCCCATAACATTGCCCCATGTACTGTTTCCTTTTCTCAGCTCAAATCTGCAATGAGCAGCATTCAATAAAGGCACGAGATAACCATATACCTTGGTAGCTTTCGAGTTTTATTACCACTTGTTTAACAGTAGTGTGTGCTACAGACAAATTGGGATGAAGTTGGCTCCAGCAAAGTCAGTTAGGACACATTTTTTTGGTGCAAAGTGTGAAAAAATGGCTACTCAGGTAGTCTCCCTACACTAACAACCCTCCACCCCCAAGCCCCGCCCTAGAGTTGACTGACCCAGAGGTGACTCAAATCGATGTGAGGGGTGGCTCAGCAGGAGGGCCAAGTCATGTTGACTTGGAGGGAAGAACACAAGGTAGCTGCTAAGTGTTACACTGCAGGGGTCCAAATCAGTTGCGGCCAAATCAGGTTTATGTAAAGCAAATTATGGTCTTTATCCTCTCTGTAGATCAAACCTTCAGAACAATGCAGCACCTTAAGATGCACCATGGCAGGTACATACCAGGATGATAAGGGCAACGAGGGGTTTTAACAGCAGAGCTGTTTGGCCACAACTGTTTAACTTTAAGCCCCTTTGTGGATCTCAAAGAGACCTGGATTTGGCAATTTGATGGTCTTTTTGATAGATATCGTTGGGGTTGTAATTACTTAGGCTCTAAAAGAGTACAGGTACTACAGTATACCTGGTATCTGTCTGTTTTTGTTCCAATGCCTTGTTCTCTATGGCTGTCGCAAGCAGAGAATATCAGAAAATGATACTCTAGGTACAAAGCAATACCAGGTGTAAGTAACACCATTTCCCGAGCTGTATTGTTCTGGAGTAAAGCTCCCACCAGAGTTTTCTGTTATAGCCCGGTCATAAGTAGGTCGTCCCACGATTTTTATGTCATAGAATTTTTAAGCCAAAAGTCTTAAAACATAGGTGTGCTCAATGGTACACTTACTCGTAACTCGATTACTATTTCCTAATTGCCTGGGAAGTGTGCCCTTTTACTGTTTATATTGTTCAACGACAGCATTACATATTTACAAATTAGCCAGCGATTCTGTATGGGCGCTACAATGAGTCCTGATTGGCAAAAAGCCATTTTTCAAAAGCAAGTGATGAAATATTTGAGTTTACGGTAATTACCTGCTCACCTTATTCGGGATACAGTTTCAACATTAAATCCGTTGTGTAAGAGTTCACACGTCATAGGGATTACGGTTTCCAAATGCCATTACAGCAGGCAAAGTCAAACACGTCTGTGTAAGAAAGGGCGTCCTTTTAACATATTTTGTTGACTGTAAACCACGAAGTGCGGAATGCAAACTGAAGACAAAGAGTTAACCTAAACTTTACCACAAGTTTGATGTGAGTTCGCGTTGCCATGACAACTTAATTTCCGCACCGTCTAGTAAAAAGCCACCGTGTGAAAGTTTACTTTTTCCAGTCTGTAAGCTTTAGATTGTCTGGGAGTTGGACCAGGTGCGAGGTCTGGTCAGAAGGAGAGATGCACGGCCTCAAGACGACGTTTCCGTGGTCAACGGCAGAATGTCACTCCATCCTTCTCTTCATCGCATCTGTGGCTTGTATCTTGGAGCTTACAGGTATAGTCATGTACCATTTCTATTTGATAACACTGGGGACATACCGGAGAATTGTTTAATCATTGGTCTAAAGATAGGTGACAAGTAGAGAGATCGTGTGGGGCACTGGTCGGAATCCAGTCACCGAAACTATAGCTACTGCTACATGACTTTTAAATTTGCCCTCAAAACGGCGCCAGTATTTTAAGGACGCCTCTAAATAGTTCTACTCTCAATTGTACACCCGTTTCTTTCAGGCAATTTATCAAACACTGAAATATTGGCCTTTTCGATATAGTGATCTTTTGTTTTGCGTTGCGCAGACAGAAAACCTACCATACTAATGCAACCTTGGGAGACAGAGTGTAAATGTACTCTTAGTTGTCCCTCAGCCACGTAATACGTATACATGTACTGTTCTTCCTTTGAGCACTCGCCATATCAGAGTAAAGAAAACAAGTGCTGGTTCTTTGTAATACGCCCACTTAGAAATAATGCAAGGATGTATTCGTGTCCACTGCACTGCTCAAGGTGAGATCCAAATTTCCGACTTACTAGTAGGAGGATTGGTAGAAATGGCGCGAAGCGGGGTTTCGATAGGAAACCACACGGCACTCACGTTTGGAGATCAGCGTTTGTTGTCGGTCTTGGTCTTATGTGGGGAATGAGTTCCCCAGGCCCTGACTAGTATTCGTTTTCTACCACCCTACTGGATGTCTATTAACCTTGGTACTGAGCAAGTACAATGCACCATTATATAATTACTTACCGTAATCTTCTCTTTTCATGTCCACCAACAACTGCGTGTCTTCATCAGGATGCTTTGATATCAATGCTGAATTAGGTGGGTCAGTTTCACATTTAGTAATACTACATGTAGTGCTGCTCTAGTCATGGTCTGGTTTGTACAATTCTGACGTCTTATGCTGTGGACGTTTTTCATCCAAGACTGGCGTTTTTCGTGGCCAGTCTGATGGCGACCTCCTCGACACTATTCTCGGAGTAAGGACATGGTAGTTAGAAATATGACTGAGTACATACATTTGCCAAGTTTTCCTGTTATCAGATTCGTCCATGAACTTGATAACCAACACTTTTATCGAATCAATGTTATTCAGTTTGTTTTTATTTTGTTGTTGTTATTGACGCGCGTACTTGTGAAATGTACATCTCGACTGGAAATATGCATGCATTCCGTACGGCTATGCCAAAAATGCCCTCAGTTTGCAATCGCACGACGATCTCACGACGAATGTAACCGGACTACCTACTGTTGATCATGAATCTGAAATGAAATATCTTATATCCATAGAGACGCAGTACATTTCAACATCGTTATGCCCAGTTAGGTTGAACCACCTGTAGATCTTATACACATATATCGCCCATGATCTACAGCACCTTGTGACGCTGACCGTCGACCTGTCGTCACCGAAGCGCAGAGTGGCGTGGTGTCCAGTCCTTTCTACCCTGACGTGTACCAAGAAGACGTCACATGCACGTGAGTACTAGCCATGTATCTTCACAGCTAGGGGACGGTCGGGCTGACGGAAGGCTGTATAGACAATTTTATTTGCAAACTCATGCCCAAACACTTATTGCAGGGTAACAATTGTAAAGAAAGTAAAAAAAGTATACGTACATTCTACGTGCATAACGGAGGGACTCGAATTCTTTTTTGAAGGCAGTTGCTAATGAGAAGTCCCATATTTTAATGATGGTTTACTGGTCTATTTTTTCAATACCCATGTTGCCAATTGCAAAGTTCAAACAGCTACACGTTACGGCATTGGAATGTCTGTATATGTGTCATTTAGCTATAAGTCTTACGGCTCAATTATAAACAGTAGAGAGGTTTAGAGAGGTTACAATGTTTTGAATCTGCCCTGCTTCAGTTGGCGGATTGTAGCGCCACCTGGACACCATCTTGTCTTGACATTCGACCCTAATTTCAACATCGAGACTTTGCCAAACCAGGAGGGCTGTAACTTCGACGTGTTGAGGGTATGTTCTTTTTGTTGCTTTCCATCAAACTTTTCATCTATATTTTGCTACAAGGTCGATGCTGGGTTGAAAGTTGCATGACATCCATCCTTTTCTAGCTCCTCTGATCATCTTATCATATATATTGTGATTGGAATTTTAAGGACTAGTGGGCAACCTGCCTGACCAAATCTCAACCACAGATGACCTTGCTTAAGCTAAGGTCACAACCCGCCGTACGTGCTTCTGCGTGCTGTCTACGTGCAAAAACGTGGGCAAACGTAGGGCATCCGTGCGTGGTGAGTACCACCTCCGTACGGAATCCTACGGATTTGGGAGCACGCAGACACGCCGTAGAACTTTAAGTGCATGTAAAACTTTTTCTATGTGCGGTCTGCGGATTCACCACCCGTACGTGCGAGTACGGGCGACGCGCGTGCCCCGTACGTACCGTACAAAAGACGCACGTGTTAGTACGGCCTCCTTACGGTAAAGTTGCAATCGCACAGAGATCGTACGTTGTAAGCACGTATAACTCACTTACCACTTGCGCAACGTACGATGCACGCAACCGCTCACGGCCAGACGTAACGTGCAGACCACACTCTTACACCTTGCGCAACCGTGCGATTGACGTGCGAGTGACGTGCGTCGACGCCACTCCTTCCGTACGTTTTCAGAAAAAACGTAGCAGACGTAGCCTCCCAAAAAACGTACGGACAAAAAGCACGTACGGCGGGTTGTGACCGTAGCTTTACGATTAGCTGCCAACCACGGTCTGGAGAAGGTTTTGGGAAGCTATGGTTGGCTAAAGCCTCGGTCACAACCCGCCGTGCGTGCTTTTTGTCCGTACGTTTTTAGGGAGGCCACGTCTGCTACGTTTATCTTAAAACGTGGGAAAGGACTGGCATGAGCAGTACGTCAATGCACGTCATTCTCACGGTTGCGCAAGGTGTAAGTATGTGGTCTGCAAGCCACGCGTGGCCGTGAGCTGTTGCGTGCATCGTTCGGTGCGCAAATGCTAAGTGAGTTGTGCGTGCTTACAACGTACGATCGCTGTGCGATTGCCACTAAACCGTATGCAGGCCGTACTTACACATGCTGCTTACGCACGGTACGTACCGGTACGTACATCGCACGCGCGTCTCCCGCACTGGCACGTACGGGGGGTGAATCCGCATCCCGCACGCAGAGAAAGTTTTACATGCACTTAACGAGCTACGGCGTGCCTGCGTGCCCCCAAATCCGTTGGATTCCGTACGGAGGCGGTACTCACCAATACGGATCCCCAAAATTTGCACACGTTTTTGCACGTAGACAGCACGCAGTTGCGCGTATATACGTACGGCGGGTTGTGACCGAGGCTTAAGTGTTGTGACAGGGGCTATATTCCGCAGCTAGTGCCAACTTTGAATTGCATCTAGACCCTTGTCGTCTGAGCACTTATACGTCAGCAGTGACTATTTGAAAGTACTCATTTATACGTGTAGCATATATCATAAATTGTGGCTTTAGATCTACAATGGACCAGACACGAGCTCGCCGTTGGTTGGAGAGTTCTGTGGTGAGCAGGCCCCCAACCCTATCCAGGTCGAGGGAAACGAAGTCCTGCTCGAGTTAGTCTCTGACCCCAACACCGCATACGAGGGGTTCCGCGTGAGCTGGAGCTCGTCCTGTCAGGTAAGACATAAAACGTGTTGTGGACCGGACCAAACTGAATTTTGTCATCTCCCACATAAAACACAGTTTTGTCATCTCCCACATAAAACACAGTTTTGAGTCCGTACATTCTAGTTTTAGAGTGTCTTAAATTATGCGTAAAGACTCACCTTTACCTATGCTTTCATGTCTAAAGATCAAATTTTGAGCAGTGAGTGATGTAAGAAAACAAACCAATTTTCTTACTGACGGTGTAAGTGCTTGCGCAGTAGTACTGGTTTTGCATTTACATTTTACATTCATACAGTTATGGAGGCAGTTCCTGAATAGATTAATGTGTAGGGCCACGATGTATTTGATAGGCCCTAATACCGACCACATGCACACACACCACCCCACACTCCTTTGCCCCCTCCATCCAATGGACAATGAAGCCCTCCAACTATTCCTTTGCCTCCTACAGCCTGGCATGATGACGTGTGATACTCACACATGCGTGGCGTCAGAGGACCAGTGCGATATGGATCAGCATTGTCTGGACTGGGAAGACGAACTCAACTGCAACTATGATGGTATTTTTGTTTTCCTTTCTCTTTCTTTTCACCAGTTACTCAACTGCTAAAAAAACACGCAGTCCCAGCGCGGAAAGGATATTGGATTGTAGATTTTGTGCTGTCTGAAATCTATCTTCATCTGAAACAAAAAAGCGCGTCATCTGTAAAACCGCTTTCCGTTAGTGGCTGAGACAGCTGAGATTTGACATATCGCTCAACGACTTCGAATTTCATAGAAAAATACTTTTTTACGGTTCGTGTGTTTTGTTGTACATGTATATATATCTTCCTTTTTTCCTAGCATCATATTCCAATTCCAATAATAAGATGAAAGGTCACATAAATCCAATTTAAGTCGCTGTACTTTCGCTCAGCTACTAGTATCTCCGTCTAATGGAGAGTGTCTAAACAAGGAATCGCATTTTGTTATATACTTACTATGAAATGTTCTATAACGTATCCATAAGCTGTAGCGCCAAGATACGGATGTGCCGTAACCACAGATCCTTCCGAGTGTTGTACTTCTGTTTGATCACAGTTGAGTGTGAGGAGATCCTCTCTGACGTGGAGCAAGGGAACCTCACCAGCATGAACTACCCGCAGTTCTACCCACCAGGCGTCAGCTGCACGTGGATCATATCAGCACCTGCAGGCCAGCGTCTGGCAGCCGTCTTCACCGGCATCTTTAACGTCAGCTGCGACAACCCAGTTTCGGTATGCAGCCACAATTCCCGCGTAGTTCAGTTCATTACTTCCGGGGCGGAAATATTGTTTCGGGCGGCGCTGGTTTAAGGAGTGTTTGTATGTATCTTGTCTTGAGCAGTGAGTATTGAAAGTGAACATAATGCGTGTATGGATGTTGAAAATGAATATTCAAAACGATCATTTCAAAGATGTCTACACTTGACTCTCGTGAAGCGTGGCTCCTGAAGCTGTGGTCATTTAGGACACTTAACAAATGAGCGCGGACACAGTCGTGGTCTCTACAAATGCTTCACTAGAGCAGCCGGGAAGGTTCTGTTTTAACCTGACATACATGTATCACGGCTCAGTACTAGTATGTAACGGTCGTAGAGACCAGTTCGTCGACACCATGCCTCATTTCCTCTCGTTTCTTTGGTTCCTTCCTGACCCCTGTACTACTTTAACTTCCCTCGTCCGTACTTCTCTCTTTCTCCACAAATTGAGTCTCTCGTTCTCTAGTCTGCCTATGGGAGGTAACACACACACAGTACAACGGTGTTACACTCTGGTCTATCTGATTTCCTCTCGCTGTCATTGCCATCGAGCGAGCTAGACTATATTGCCATGTGGCCTTCCAGCAGAGACCGCTCAATGCAGTCTTCTTGCATGGTGTGGAGGGCATTTATGCTGACTGATTCTGGCGTCCGTAAGCATGCTGCAAGCGCCACAAGATAACAGGTACCTGTTGGATCAAAGATCTTTCACTACGAAAGGTAGTGGATGCTACCTGAAACGTCTAGCTGTTCCCAAAATTTATCCAGTCGATGAGTAACTGTTATCTTGTGTACCTTATTACCTGGATGCCTAACCTTGGTGCCTAACCTTGGTGCATCGAAGCATGATGGAATCATGTGCCCTTTCTCTGCACGTGCTGTTAACGCCTTCAAAATCCAGAGTGCGCTGAGTGCCTCTGGTCGGAGCTTTTCTACATCTCATATCGTCTTCGTCTACCTCTGAACAGGTTCTCTCCTATCGGATGCCTAACAATGGGACAGGCGACCAACCAGTAAGTGCCTTATTGCTTTCAGACGACGACAGGGAAAATGTCCATTTCTAGCCTTTTTCAGGTCAGAAATGACCATCTTTGTCACTCTTTCGTCACACTTGGAGTAGATGCACGATGCAGAGAAACATTGAAGCTTCCTCGAACGGCAGTAGCAAGCAGTAGGTTACAACAGGACAGGTGGTGTTAAACGTTCTACATTTTAAATTAAAATGCTCTGCGATGCAGGGTTTCTTTTGTTTAGTTTTTTCTTTAAAATGATACTGATCGTCACCATATGTTGGGCAACATTTCTCATACGACGTCTCTTCTCTCAGTAATTTTCGTCTTTGGTGTGTAGGTAATGCATGGATCCCAAAAGCTTCATATGATGTAATATCAATGCAATGGTTTGTACAAAATTAGACTATCACTACTTTGTTGTTAATATAATGTTTTTAGTGTATGTAACGATGGGCGGACATTTAGTAGCGTTCGATAACTTGCCATAGTATATAATAAATGTATTATTAATCCAACGCTTGTCACGCTGTAATCATAACAGACATGTATATCTGCTAGCGCGCACGACATGCTCAATGTTAACTTCCAGATGTGCACCAACATAGCTCGCAGAAAATGTTGCATAAATGTAGGAAACTAATACTATCCAAGCAGAGGTTAAGCATTTTAGGACGTTTTAAATAAACTTTTAGACATTTTGTCGGCGTTTTCTTTCGGTGTCCTGGCCTTAAAGACGAAATGAAAAGCCCGACCAAAAGTCTATTTGGAAAATGTCCCAAAACAGTCCTATCCTCTTCTTGAGGAATATGAAATAACAATTCACCCCACCCCCTCTATAGGTTATCGACGTGGCGGACCTAGCAGCAGGTGTGTTGGAGACTCTTGGCGAGCCCTGTGGGAAATCCGCGCCCACGGAGGTCTTCAAGGCGACGGCAGAGGCTCTGGCCATCACGTTCAATCCCAGCGCCGAGGAAGCGCCGAGGGCGGGCTTCGCCTTGGAGTATTTCCACTGCCCGATGGAAGCCTTCATCTGCAGCGACGGGACGTGCCTGACCATGGACATGACGTGTGACGGAACGCGGGACTGTCCTGACGGGGAGGACGAAGGAGCAGCCATGATGTGTCCGACTACAGAAGCTCCCGGTGCGTTCTCACGTGTTACTGCACCTAGTTGTTAGAAAGGTAGCCTCTCGGTGGCATACTAGTAGTTTGGACTACGTTCAATTTGTGTCTTTTTAACATCCAACATCATCATTGTTCTAGCCTGTTTCCTGTTCCACTGTGGTCTCCAGTACAGAAAAAGTTAGCAACTCGACAACTCACTCTCCAAGCAAAGGGTGGGCCTGTTTTGGACTTTTTCTTTAGCTTTTTAAGGCGTTTAGTCGCACTTTCTATTTTGTCGGCTTTGGGTGTCTTGGCCAACTAAAGTCCAAAACAGGGCTGACCTCTGCTTGAAGAGTACACAACTAACTATCAGTGCTCTTGTAATACCAAACGACTACAGAGAGAACGACAACGCTCCCCAACGATGAAACAACAATGGCTATGGGAGGTAGCGTTACGGCAACCGCCTCGCCGGGCAACGAGCTGACCCTGGATCCTGGGCTAACCACCGCTCAGGATCCAACAGGACCGGCGGGCACCAACGGAAGGACCAGGTCACCGGACAACTCCACTGTCACGGCCGCGTGGTACCACACCATAGCAACAGCCTACCCGCCAAGGGACACAGACCCCGGTAGGGCGTTCAACTGTCTTCTGTGTTTAAGCATCTATTATTAAAAGGTTGATAGCTGGGCGGTCATATTCGACGCAAGTCGTCGTGCGATTTTGATCTAGTACAGTTTTCAAGCAGGCTGTGACAGTAGTATAAACTACCGACAAGGATCTAAGACAGCCCTTCTCGTAACAAGACAGCTGAATTTTGTAGGACACATGTACGACTATCCCTGGCCAATAATGCCCTCGGTTTGCGATTGCACAATGTATGTGACCGCGGCCTATTAAATTGATTAAAGAGAAGAATACTCGTGTGCAACGTAATAAAGTATTTAGCAACAAAGTTGTTTATCATGATGATTGATTGGAATCCCATCCAGGTACGTTGCCCGTGCGCCGCTGCTACTCCTGCTACGGGAAGGAGAACTGTGAGAACCCTTGGGCCGATCCCGACATCACCGTCCCCGTGACAGAGTGTCTGGACGACGAGGACTGCTGGGTAAGGAAAACCGACAACGCCTTTTTACATGTGTATATATCGTTGTCCTCTGTTCAGCAAGCTGCGACTTAACCAACCGCTAACAACGGTAAAATACAGCCTTTTTCGTAAGAGGATAGCTAAATCTTGTACTACACGTGAACGACATCCCAAAACATCCTCCTTTTGCGATCATAGGAAATCGTACGTATAGCTTATGAAGGGTCATGGATTGAACACAAAGTGCATCAAAGACTAAGTCTGCCGTACACACAAGCAGTCCTCATCGAATTCCTCCTCTCTCAGGTTGAACGTATCGTCGGTCCGAGTAGGTTGGGAAACGCACGCCCAGACGGAGAAGTCCTCTACCGGCGGAGCTGTGGTTCCAAGTGCCCCGCGTTCTGGCACGACGAGGCCTGTAAAGACGGGTGGCTACAGGTAAAATCCTAAAATCTTCCATTAGATCTTTTCTGATACAAATGGAAAACCATGCACACGCATGACATGATGGTATCATGGAGGGGGGGTCTCTTAAATACAGAAAGACAGCAGGTTGAAAATGGAATAGACCCTTAACCTACCATTAAGTGCATGACACGTAAACTGTGTATCTCTGGCCATTATACCAACTGCCGTGCTACTAGCGTTGTAGTACTTACATGTATACATCTAATGTACATCTAATGAACAGGTATGCAGTGTATGCTGTGAAAGAGACCTCTGTAACCGACAGCAGCTAACAGGCGAGGGGAAGCCGTTCTTCAACAGAGACGTTTTGTCTGGAGGTGTGGCAGGACTGTCAGGGCACCGCTGGCCCAGTATCAGTCTCGTCTGCTTGGCCTTGGCGATTTTCATGGTTTCTTCCTAAACATTAACGTTTGATGGAAAATGAAGCTACAACAGTAACATTGCGTGTACATACATGTATTATGTGCTGGCGCTTCCCTATACACAATTGTACGCTTCTATAATAGTAGGGTGGACCAGATTATCTGTGTTTTGTGATGCCAGTGTGCTTGATTTTTTTGTGATATTCTGTATATGTCAGCAACAATGTAAAAAGTACTGCTATCTGTGAATGTTTATCAATCCATCTAAATTTAGCTGTTTTTCGTGGCTAGCTTGACAAAATCCTGGAATTGTTATGGGAAGACAAGGGGACATTAACTCCTTGGTTTTGCATGAAGTAATGTACATTTTCTCATTTAGAAGCCGGCTATATACAATACATTGTATAGAATGTTTGCTGTGACTGAAGATACCAGTATGTTGCTTGTTGCCAGGTAAGTCATGTTTGCTATGGGATTGGTCTAATCAAATAACTGCTTACGACCATCAACTCTAGTTCAGAACTCATAGTTCAGAAATATCCTACATGTCCGTAAACGAAGGAAGCAGAAGACAGAAAAAATACAATGTACCTGACATCTGCTTAGGGATAAACATAAATGTGTGAAAACCAGACATGACATTAGATGTACGGTTCTCAAAATAACTTGTTTTTCCATTTCCACCTGCACATTGCCATCAATACATACTCAACAAAACACACTTGGCAATCTCTTGCAACAGCTGTTCTAATCTTGTACACCAATGTCTCTTTGTACAGAGTCAACTTCCTTACAGCTATGTATGCAGCATTGTTTCATGTACTTAATGTATATACATTTCATATCACTCATCTTCAAGCATTATGATAGTAAGTAGATGTAGATTCATGATTTATGATTATAGCACCTGTCACAAATATCCTGATATGTTCTTATTGTATTATAACACCCAGCAGTTTTTGTGATAAATCATAATTATAATAATAATCAAGAGGAATGTGTCTGAATGCATATATACATGTACAATGACAAACAGCTTTCAAGTTAAGTATTCTAGATGACCCATAACTTGACCAGTATTCTAAATAGCAACGGGCTATGATTATAGAACTTTCACGTGTGTGTAGAATAATTTCTAACTGAAAAGAAATAACACAGATACTACTGGTACACTGCAATATCAATCTATGATCATCATACTAATGATTCACTGACTGTTGTTTACTCCTACCTTATACTTGTTTTTTTCATGGCACTGTGGATCAACAAACATTATCAAAGTGTCCACTGAGGTTTTATACTTGTCAACCATGTAGTTGAATTGAGCACCACTGAACGAACAAAGACTTCACAGATAGCTAAACAAATTTCATAGATGAAAAACAATTTTTGGTACATTTTGGGTGTTTTGTTGTCTTTCAAATCATAGTTTTGCCACTTAAGAAAAATCAAGTGTCCCACAAATTCAACTTTGGTTGCTGACACTCGCTCAGCGATCACCATCCAGTGAAAACAGGCCTATCTTCTGTCAGGAACCCTGTTGTTTCTCCTGTGGTGTTGCATGTGCTGGATCCCAGTCCACCTGTCCTGTAAACCTGCGCCCCACACAGCTTACACGTGAACACGTAGAACACCCTTCCCGTAAACGGGTCGCCAAGGGCAACGGCATGACTAACATGTTCTCCCCTCCGCCTGCCGATGCTGCCGGGCATGCTGCTGGTACGTTCTCCACTCCTCAAACGTCCGTCCGCACAGTTTGCACGAGTACGCGTCGTCCGAGCCGTCGCTGTTTGTCGCCAGTTCCTCTTCTGTGTCAATCCCAGCGAACAGTGTGTCGTCCCCATACGCGAACACTGGGGACCTCTCCTCAGGCTGGATCTGGAGGTTCCTAATGTCCTGCATGGCTTCTACCTGCCTCTCCTCTCTGTGCACCGCCTCGTGTCTGTCTGTCCAGAACTCCAGCAGGGAGGAGTAGGAACAGTACCTGATGGACACCAACATTCCATTAGGTCACACTTATTATCAGAACTGCCTATTTCAAAACTGACTTGACATACTTAAGTATTCTCTCAACAAAAGGTTTCTGCAAGGGCAAAGTGTGAAAGATTTAAAAAGTGGGTTACCCCCCAGTTTCCTTAGCAGATCTGCAGTAATGTATGGATTATCTTACTGAATATTCTAAATCTAATGTTTAGATCACTCCAATTTTTCACCTCCATGACAAGAAATATTCATAGCACAAGATGTTAAACATGTGTCCACTGGAAGAGAGGTAATAAAACCACACCTGCATTTAAAAGGCAGCCCGGCGTTGTGGCGTTCCTCGTGCCTCCAGACATGGCTGATGTGTGTGGACCCGTACGGGCAGTACCTGCAGAAGTACCTCCCTCCCTCTGCCTCCCTGTCAGGCTGGGCTGCAGGCAGTGACCTCTTCATGCTGTCACTTCTGATCATCTTCAGCTCGTGCTGGGCCTTGTGCAGCTGAAGGAGACGCCAGGACTTGCTGTAGAAGTGACACTTTGCACAGCGGAACAGGCGAATTGAGAGCCGACCCTCAGCACGCAGTGGATAACGGTCACTGTTGTCAAACACAGCGTTGAGGCCTCGTTTCTTGGATACAATCCCCTCACTTTGCAACTCTTCATCCGTGGTCACGTCCTCACCATCTTCCATTGTACTGCAGACTGCATTTTGGCTTGCATCCTTGCTTGTGTCTGAAAGTCCATCTTCCTCTTCATGCAGCTTCTGGTGCTGCTTTACCTTGTACTGGAACAGGGAAGAGTAGGAACAAAAGCGACACTTGTTTGGGAGGTTGGCATTGTGGAGACGCTCGTGGCATAAGACGTGCTGACACTTGTAACTCCTGTATGGACACATTGAGCACTTGAACAAGGAAACTTGCTCTCGTTGAGGAGGCTGGTACATAGTTATACCCTCCTGGTCAACGATATCATCCTGAGTGTGCAGCTTGATGTGATCTTGCAGCTTGGCATCAGTCTTACAGGAGTAGGAACATTTGGAGCACTTGTGAGGGTAGCCAGCCTTGTGGTACGTCTTGTGCTCCTGAACAACAGACTTCTTGTAGCTGGTGTAGGGACACAGTGGGCACTTGTACACAGTGATATTTTTGGGCACAGCAGCTTGGTACACATTGTCCCCCCTGTCATGTAGCGCCTTGTGCTGCAGGAGCTTGTACAGGAACTGGCAGCTGTACGTGCACTGGTCGCACTTAAACGGGTAGTTGGCAGAGTGATACTTCTCATGAATGTTGACATGGATACGTCTGTAACTAGAGTATGGGCAAGACTGACATTTATATAATTTGAAACGCCGAGGATAGCGGGCGACCTTTTGTTTCTCTACATCAGGTTCCTTCCTGTGAGTGTTCCGCGCATGAGCCAGTACCAGGTGCTCTCTTGTTGCTGTAAACTTACAGTCTGGACATTGGTAGGTTGTCTTTTCTTTGTTCCCCAGTGGCACACTCTTACGAGCTGTGTTCTTAGATTTCACCACTGATTTTTCACAAGATATAACATTGCAATTTCTAGCACTGGATTCGTCACCAACTTCCTGGTTGTTTTTCATCAGATACAAGTGTGTTTCCATCTGCCTGTGTCGCCGCATAGTTTACTGACCCGGATGTTGCCCCCTCAGTAGGCTGTGGGGTGTAGGCCAAGTCTCGTAGGTGGATCCTGATGTGCCTGGCCATGCGATTTTGTTTGGTTGCTACGAAGCTACAGTGCCTGCACCTGTAGTCCCCGTCTTTGTAAAAGTGCTTCTCTTCCTCCTGGTGTTGAAGCTTGTGGTGTTCCCAGAGCTCGGCTAAGGTAGCAGCTTGGAAGGAACACCTGATGCACTTGTACTCGAGGACCTTCACTTTGGTGGGGAGAGGCTTGCACAAGTGCTGCTTTTGGATGTGTTCTTTCAGGTACTTTGGTCTTTCAGTGGAGAATTCACACTTGGAGCAATGGAAGACTTTGGATGTCCTGTGCCGGGAATTCATGTGAACTTGCAGGAAGCCCTCATTGTTGGTAGAGTAGTAGCAATGTTGGCACTGGTACCTATAAAGGAGGAAAATTCAAATGGCATGAATATGAAACATGCAGCACTCTTTGTCAATGCAGTTATAACTGTTTAATGCATAACACATTGCACATATGCTAAAAGGTCTCATCTGTCCTTCAACAAATAACTGTTTGGGGCACTTCCTATGTCATGATCATGTTGTACAGAAAATCTTCATTGCTTCTGTACCCAGCAGATGTTTTAGTTAGTTTGTATGTTTCCCAGCATATGCTTCTAAGGTCAGAGGATACCAGTGGGTACTAGTATGTGTATAATGTCCTTGGTATGTGCAAGAATTCAGGAAGAGTTCCTCCACATTTCCAATACATTCACAAAAACCCAAAGAGTCTGACAATTCCAATTTCTTGTTGACTTTGAAGTTGATGAATAAGGAACATACTTACCTCCCAGGGCATCCATGGACCCTCATGTGGATGGCAATCTTCCCCTCAAAGCGATCACTGTAGGAACACTTGCTGCACTTGAAGGGCAGATCAGCACCATGCTTGGCCTCATGGGACATGTGATGGAGCCTTTTGGATGTCTTGTAAGGACAGAACCTGCATGAGAGGTGATAACTGGCATACGACTTGACCAAATTAAAGACGGTTTGCTGTTTTTCTGTTTCTTGATTGGTACTGGTGGTGGCTGGGGAAGGGCCGGAGACATCTTTCACTTTCGCTTCAGTACTTTCACTTTCCCCAGTCACGTTCCTAGTCTCATCTGTCTTTCTGTTTTCTCGTCCATGACTTGACTGGTCAGCATTGTAATCTTCACTAATATTCTCCACATCCACATCTGACTCATGATCACCTTCTGTCCATGATGGTTCGAATTCTGTCTTTTCCTCCTCTTTGTCACTTCTGCTATCATGCCATTCTGTTGAGGATGTTGAGGCTTTTGTCTCTGCCTGGTGCCTCTCTTGTGAACCTTTGCATGCCTGTGAAAGTGCCAGCCCAGTGCTGTGGAGAAGGAGCAATGATCACACTTGTATTTGAAGTTGGCGTTGTGGTACTTCATGTGAGTTTTGAGGATCGCCCCCCGGTTGGTGACAAAGGGGCATTCGCTGCACCTCAGCTTATTGTTGTTGCACTGGTTGACTATGTGGTTTCTGAGTGCAACCATGGCTTTAGTGCGGAAAGGACACTTGTCACATGAAAATATCCTCTTTTCTGTGTGCAGGCCCCTGTGGATGAGGAACTGATACCTGATGTCAGTGGTGTATGTGCACTCATTGCAGCGAAACTTTCGTTCATGCATTTTATTGTGAGCTTCCATATCTTTCTTTTTGCCTGTAGAGTATGAACAGTGCTTGCAGCAGTGCAGCAATCTGGCACGATGCCTCCTCTGGTGTACTGTGTAGTTACTCTCAATCACTGTGCTGTACGGACACAAGGAGCACCTGAAGACCTGGGTCCCGTCATGCTCCTTCAGGTGACTCACCAGCAGCTCCTTGTCTGACGTCTTCAAGTCACACCGGTCGCAGCTGTACATCCCATCGGCCGCGTGGGACGCCTGGTGAAGCAACAGGCAGACTTTCTTCTCGGTGGAGTACGAACATTCCTGGCAAACAAACGCCCCCTTGACACCATGGTACCTGGAGTGTTGGGTCAGGTCTGTTTCCCGTTCACATGTGTAGGAACACTGCGTGCACTTGAAGGGAAGGCCCGCCCCATGCTTCTGTACATGATCTTGTAACCTATGAAGATCCTGGGCTACAAATGGACACTGGGGACACTTTGTTCTTTGGTAACGCCAACTGCCAAATAATGCAGAATTGACACCAGATGTAGGGGCATCGTTATTTGATCCTTTTGACCACACAGGTTTGACTGGCTGTTGTTTTTTATGATGGTTGACTTCGTGCCAGGCTAGTGAACACTCTGAGGTGGCTACAAAGTCACACATCAGGCATCGAAGATCTGCTTTATTCTCATGCAGCTTCAAGTGTTTGCTAAGGTGCTTTTTATTCTCACACGAGTAAGTGCAGTACTTGCATTTCTGAGAGTGATTTGCGTCATGTTTTAGTCTGTGCACCTTTAGGTCTGTTTTACTCATTGTTTCAAAGGGACAAAGTGGACACGTGTGCGTTTTTTGGCCACTATGTCGAGTAGTGTGAATCTTGAGTCTATGAGAGTTATCTGTGACATAATCACACTGATCACACTTGAATGTCTTCCGACCAAAATGCATGGCCTTGTGTTTGAGCAGCCTGTACTTCTCATCAGTGGCGAAGCTACACTGGTTACACTTGAAGGACCCTGCATATCCATGGAGCTTCTTGTGGTCCTCTATGATGTATGATCGGGTATGAGAGAAATTACAGAAGGGGCATTTGTAGACTTCATTTGCACCATGCCACGACAGGTGGACAATCATTGATTTTGGCTGAATAGTTTTGTACGGGCAGAGTTTGCATCCGTAGAGCTCATTTTCAGCATATACTTTGCCTTTGTAACGGCGTAAGAATGGCAGATTTTTAGAGAAATGCTCATGATTATTGTGTTTCTCCTTCAGATGTTCCTTCAATGCATTTGCATCCTTAGTCTCAAAGGTCTTACACATGTTACATTTCATTATCCCCATACTTGAGTGCTTTGCCTTGTGAACAAGATGTAAAAAGAGATTGTCAGTGTTGAAATGGCAGTACTGGCATTTGTACTTGAAACGACCATGCCCGTGTAGTCGCCTGTGGTTTTCTAGGTGCTGTCGTTCTGAACATGAAAACGAGCACCAGCGACATTTCAGGGCTTGCTTAGCTGAGTGGAAGCTCTGGTGTTGGAGAAGGTTTGCCCTGCCTGTGCCTATGAATGAACAGAGGTCACACTTGAACTGATTCTCACTTGTGTGAGTTTGCCAGTGTTCTTTGAAGAGGGATTCATTGCTGGTTGTATAATCACACTGGTCACAGAGTATTGTCTTGTCATTGGTGTGTACAGAAAGGTGAATTAGGTGGTCCACATGGGTCGCTGATGAATGTTCACACTGATCACACTTCACTTGGCATTCCTCCACACAATCAGTGTTACTCTGATCGGTGCTCTCTTCCTCGTGGGTTACACTCAAAACGTCTGCCTGCTCTTCAGAATCATCTGCACTATCACTGTCTGCCTCATGCTTGTCCATTGCTGGGTCCAACCTTTCTCCAACCGTGTCAGATGATTGTTGAAGACTAGGAGACTGCCCAGCCTCTTCATCTATGACACAAACATCTAGTTCCTCTTCGTCTGTTCCATCCTCTTCCTCAGCACTTTTACTGCTATCGACACTGACTACATCTTCATCCTGTTGAGGTGGGCTCTTTTTCTTGACTGGAAGGGTAGAAGTAGCTACTGTAAAGCCCGACAGTACATGCTGCTTCCTTATGTGTGTGTTGGCAACACGATAACTGCTGGTGGTGAAGCTGCAGTGGGGGCACCTGTGCCAGTTTTTCTTGTCATTATGCAGCTGGACATGTGACCTCAGCAGTGAGGCACTTCTACAAGAGAAGGTGCAGAGTTTGCATTTTTCTGCCAAGTTTGCTTGGTGATACCTCCGGTGCTTTTGTAGATGATGGGACTGGATAGCCCTGAAGGGACAATCGGGGCAGGCGTACGGTCTCTCGCCAGTGTGGAGCCTGACGTGGACCTTCATGTCCCGAGGACGAGTTGTGCTGTGATCGCAGTAATCACAGTAGATCCTCTTACCTGCTGGCTTGGAAGGCTCTGTTGTTTTGTACTGCCCCGATCCTGTCATAACCAGCCTAATACCCGGGACTGGTTTGCTCGTCTTTTCTGAATCTACCTTGCCATCAATGTCGAAATCATCACCATGCGATGTCTCAGGATCATCCCCTTCTGTTACAGTGTTGACAACACCTTCACTATCCCTCCTGCTCTTTTCTGTTTCTACCCTGTTCTTCTTACTGTGGATATGCAAAAGTGTGTGAACACGTATGTAGTACCCCCTGGTTGCAGTGTAGGAGCAATACTTGCACTTGAAGGGGAGGTCTGCCTTGTGGTTGTTGGTGTGGTTTACCAAGGCTCTTTGCCTCTCTGCCACGTACGGGCACTCATCACATTTGTACCGCTTGAATTTTCTTCGTTCATGTGCACGTAGATGCAGACTCAGGTTATGCACATTGAGGGTGGAAAATTCACATTCATCACAGTGAAACGCTTTTTCGCCTGAGTGTTTAGCTTCATGGACAAGCAGCAGATATTTTTTGTCTGTCGTGTAGGAACAGGTTGAACAACTGAAAGGCTTTTGTTGAACTGAAGGCTCCACCAGTTTATCCTTTCTACTGTCCCCTTGCTTCATTCCAACTTTGCCCCTGCTGAGATGCTTATTCTTATGGCTTCTGAAAATAAACCTTGAGTTTGTAAAGAACTGACACCTGTTGCATTGGAAGACTCGTAGGTTTTTGTGCTCAGCTTGGTGACACATCAGTGCATGTTGACTACATGCAGTGTGCTCGCAATACTTGCATTTGTACACTGTAGTGGGCTTAGGCCTAGATTTTGCTTCTTGCCCTGGCTTTTGTTTGTGAAGCCTATGGTGCTTTGTCAGCACAGACTGACGGACAGTTGTGAATGTACAAAACTTACACTTCAGGGGGAAGTTTGCAGAGTGAGCCTTCATGTGGCTCCTCACGTTTCCCTGATGGGCTGAAACAAAAGGACACTTGGGATCCTTTGTGCAGACGTAAGGCTTCTGCCCAAGGTGGACAAACAGGTGTTCCTTTAGGGAAACACTGTGTCTGCTCTTAAAGTCACACTGATCACAACGGTATATCATGTCACGGTAGTGTTTGGCTGCATGTAGGAGCAGCGTATACCGGTCTTTGGCATAGAAGGAACAGTGTTTACAGTTAAAGTTTTCACCGTCGTCATTGCTGTCTTTGTCCTCAGCTTCCCTACTATCCAACTGTTGAGTTGGTGTTTCCATTTTGGTGGCTTCAAGACTGTCATTGGTTTCAGAGGCACTGCAATGATCCTCTAAATCATCCAGTTTCCTTCTGCTGCTCTTTGACGTGGCACTTGTCTTCTGATCAAACCTGTTGTGGATGCCATGAACATTCATGTGGGCAGACAGAGGACTTTGTCCTTTGGTTGAGAAAGAACATAGGTGGCACTGAAAGGGAAGGTTTGCATTGTGATTTTTTTTGTGTCTGTCAAGAGACTTAGCGTGTGCAGTTCTGTAAGGGCAATGTGTGCATTTGAACGGCTTTTGGCCATCATGGGTCCAAAGATGGCTCTGAAAGTTGCGCTTGTCCATAGTCACAAGATCACACTGGTCACATCTCATCCTGTTATCCTCATAGTGTTCTGCTTGGTGCTCCAGCAGATAATACTTGCCTTCTCTGGTTGTGAAGGAGCACATTGAACAGAACAGCTCCGGTTCAGTTGCACGGGATTTGGATGTTTTCTGACAAACAGTAGGGTTTGAACTGTCTACCTCGTGCAGTTTCTTATGCCTTGTGAGGATGTTCCTGTGGTCACTACTGAAGGAGCATTTACTACAACTGTAGATATGATTGTCCTTGTGCATCTCTGCATGCCGTTTCAACTTGGCGGTGTGCTTCGTTTGGAAAGGGCACTCACTGCAGAAGTAGGTTTTGAGATGAGCCTTTTGATGTTTGACCAAACCTAATCTTGTTGGTGCCCAAAATGGACACCTTGAACACTCATGCCGCCTCGGCCCAATCTTCTCTCTGAACACATTGTGCTTCTGCTGGGCACAGCTCCCCTTGCGCAGGTGTCTCCTCAAGTTGTCAAGATAGTAACTTGTGAACCCACACTCACAAGTCCAGAGCTTTTTTTCCTTCTTCTTTTTCTTCCTTGTACTGTTGCTTGAACTGACTACCTCACACTGGATATCAGCACCTGGGTCAGCTGTTGTTTCAGCTGTGGTTTCTGCTGTACTTCCAGGTGCAGCAGAATTGGTGTTATCTGGGGAAGCACTGGTCTGTGACTGTTGCCTTTCATTACCAGTTGATGTAATACAATCAGCCATTGCAGAACTAGGCTGCAAGGTTGCAACTGAAAAGTCGCCCATCAACTGGGCAAAAATATTTCTCGACTGATGACTGGAGTCCCTGTTACCTGGAGGGACATTGTTTCTTGCCACAGTTTCTTGGAACAAGTTCTGTTCAGGTTTTCCATCTGAGCTCAAAGGTTTGTTCTCCAAAGAAGCATTGGAAATGGAAGACTGGCTGTTATCAATACGCGGTTCACTCTGTGGTACTTTGCCTGTTGCACTTTCTATGTCTGATCTCTGGTCTTCTAACTGAGCAAATATTTCTTCTCTATGTGTGTGTGCTCTTCCATCTTCTTGTTCATTGTCACTTTCAATCAATATCACTGCCTCCTTTTCTCCACCACTATCAGCACACTCTCCATCTGAAATCTCTATTGTCTCTTCTTGATTGTCATGTTTCTGATCACTTTTTTCCCCTCTTGGGTCTAAAGTACTGGAGGTGTTGGCAAACTTTTTTCTATTGCTGTGTGTTTCCGCATGCTTTTTCATCTGGCCAATGGATGTTGTAGTGTAGCTACAGAAGTTACACTGGAAGCACTGTTTCCAGGTATGTGTACTGTGATGGTTGTTCAGTTGGCCTGCCGTGGGAAAACTCTGGTCACACTCTCCGCAGGTGAACTGTGGCTTGTCGTTGGATTCTGCTGGGGATTCCATCATTTTTGATGACCAGATGCTCTTTTTTTTCAAGAAGTCACCTGAAATTCAAGAAACAAGATGTACATGTAAGTTGAGACAAAAATATCATCACACCTACAAACATCATGATTGAAGTTCACATGTCCACCCACTAGGGGTCCTCGTAGGACTAGCTGTCAAGGACCACCTGTCTATATGGCACATGCTTTTGCAAATACATGTACATGTACAATACATCAGTAATCTGTGCTAAGAATTTTCCACAATTATCATGTAAGAGTCTGCATTTTAAACCTAACAGGTGAGTCAGGTGACCCTGTTGAAAATTCATTGCTTAGGCTTCTCACAGTGCCCATAGCTACCAATCTGAGGTGTTTAATAGTATCTAGGAAGCCGATTATCCAAATTACTCTCTCTCTCCTCTGTTTAATCAGGCCATGTTGATTTGATTATATGGATGACATCCGCGCGCGCATGAATTTTCGGCCGTTTCCAAAAAAAAAAAGTTTTCAACCATACTGTAAATCGTGCAAAACAGTTGCTTAATGAGCAAAAATATACCATAAGTTGCAAGGAAAACATTTAGAAACGATACCAATGTCGTAGAATGCCAAAATCAAAGGAAAAAGGAAAAAATGTAAAGAAATGAATTCGAAGAGTAGATTATTCGCCATAACATATTCTGTGCCATTTGTTCAACCTTCATGACCACGTAGATTTCATTGTGAAAGCGACTTTTTTTTTTTGCAAAACTTTTTTTTTTATTCGCACGCGCGCATCAGTTTTGGGGTTCCCAGAGGATGTCATCCATATAATCAAATCAACATGGCCTCACTATAAACAACTAAAAAAAAAACAGATTTACATAATATATATCCTAAAGAATCAGACCAGGTTGGCTTGTTTCTTCCAAATTCTCTGCAACAAGTTTCTGATTCCATGCAGATGGTGCTTGGGAGCGCACCAACTGTAAATTATGAAATGTCTGCAGCAGTTTTATTTTCACAGTTTTCTCTTTATTTGAAATTATGACACTGCGAATATTGCATATCTATTGTAATACAGTATTGTTTCCACTGTGAACTTCAAACACTGTTAAAACCTCCTTTTCCCTCATACAGCAAAATATACCACGCCTACAATAAATGCATTTACAGTGTTCTCTATATGTGCTTTCCTGGTCCATCCCTATTGTAGGTCAAAGGACCTGGCCTTTGGAGTCCCAACCAATACACACAGTACACACAGCCCCTTACACATTCACAAAGAACTCAAACATGTAACTTGATATTACACCTACCATCCACAAATCCCTCAGGACCAGAATCACATAGAACCATACATATAACTTCATCACACTACATCATCATCTGACATCAGAGATATAGGAATAAAGATTAATAGAGGTCTATGGTTAATCTTTACTTACTAGCCAGTAGCCATTCTACTTTGGGGTCAAAGATCAAACACTGGTACATACACACACAAAATGTATGTGGGCTGCAGTGCCTCAGAGAGGAACATTGTTTAAAACTGTCAGTCCCAGGTTAATTGAGAACCACACCATGGTATATACCTACACACACATTCTCCAAATAGGTGGAGGGATTGGTGACCTGTGAGTGGAGTATCAAGTCTAGCATTGAAAGAGGAGTTCTCACTGGCCACAACATTGGTTCTTGGGAAAGAAACTTTGTTACAAGTTACAACATTACTGTAAATTGTAAAACTTTTGTGCCACTTTTATTTTCTTGCTTTTCATGATTCTTCATTGCAAGTATGTCTTCCTTATATGCCGACTGTACTATAGAATTGTTTCAACTGCCTCCTTTTCGCTCCTACTGCAAAAGTTTTATGATTTACAGTACTCACATTGACAGGTGTGCCAGCATTGAGCATAGAGCATCTAACACCATGGAAGATATAGCTGATACATGTGCAACCCAACTGACACTGTCCGGTGCAGAAACTCATTCTTGGTACATGTAAGAAGCTCAGTTACTATCATTGCATTCAGAGGTGTAGAAATTTCAACAGTTCTTTTTTATTGACTTGATTTTGGGACAAGGCGGGGGGGGGGGTGAGGGGGCACATACATGAATGCATGAAATCACAATTTAGCAGTCGTTTACATGTACCTTATACATACATGTACATTGTATACTTTACGCAATATATAAAAGGGTTTGAATGAACTGTAGTTCTGTTATCAAAAGCAAGTCCTTTGGGAGATCTGCATATAACAGTTACCTTTCATGAGCTGATCACATGACAATGCCTATCCCCCACCTATGTGCGTAACCTTACCCTTACAAGTTATAAATCAGCAGCAGGCTGACAGGTTTGTATAAAAGACAGCGAGGAGCCAGTTCTACTGTTACAGGCACACCTATACACTGGGTTTTGCCCAAGGTCAGAAACACTCCTACGTCTATTCATATGCAAATAATCTGATGCCAACCTGCACAAATGTTGTTGCTTACTCTCCAAGTGGAGGATGACTGGGGAGATTGTGACCTTCTTATATATAACCGTTATATGTGCTGTTTTCTGACAGACAGCCCAATCAATCAATTGGTGGCCTGTTGGATAGTATCTTGCCTATTGCATACTGCCTTCCATGCTGGCTACCACTCTGCTTTAACAGAAAGATCTGCTTGGGGTCGGGATAAGTTGTTCCTGCCACTGTGCCAGTGCAAGGACCTTGGCCAGTGTAATTGAGAGCTCAGTACCCCAAAAATGTAATGTTGACATAATAAAACCAAGGACATTATCCTATACATATAACGTTTTACATTAATGTCCTTGGTAAGAGCCATAACACACAAAAAACGTTTGAGTGCCACATTTTTTTTTTTTGTTTCACATAAATATAACATTAAACCAAGGACATTATGTATAATGTCCTTGATTAAACCAATTTTAGGTGAAGCACACCAGTTCTGTACCTTAGATACAAGCTCTGTAAGACTGAACAGAGTATAAGTTTTGATCCACTCACACTGGACCGCTTCACTTTTGGATAGATTGGACCTGCTTGAGGTGTGGCTCCTGCTTTACATCCAATCTAGGACATCCTATGTACTCAATTTCACCTGAATCGACTGAGGAAACACACATGTTGGTGTCAAATGCCTTCTCCAAGGACAGAACACTGGGGTCTGCTAGGTCAGCTAGGCCAGCTAGAATCTAAAGTATAACCTTTAGATTCAAAAGCCATTCTTATGGATCAGAAATTTATTCTATGACTTGCTAAAATATCAGCAAATACATTTTGTGTAGCAAATCTGTTTCGTCTTCAAACGAAAATCCACTTCACCTTAACGTTACTCCCCTGCGCGGCCCAGCGCGAACAGCAAGAACACCTGACGGGCCCCTTCTTGGAGAAACCGCGAAGCTCCTTTGAGTGACAAACTGTTCTCATGGACAGGCTATCGATCGTGCGAACTGCTTTCACTAGGATATGGAAAGACAGCGCTGGAAAAACCCCGACTTCCCGCCGCCGCCTTCTCCATCAGCTCACCGACCCTGCACGGCGCGGCGCGGCAGACATGTTGGATTTTGCGCAACGGCCACGATCAATCACGCCAAAACATTTTCCTATAGATCCTCTTTAAGATGTTGTATCTGTTCAACAACGAGACATTGGTTACATATGTAACGTTACCGATATGCTAAAGGGTATATTATCTCTGTTATCTGTCGGTAAACGCAGTGTTCAGGTTTGTTGGTTGAGAAATTTATGGACCCACCGGACTACATCCCGCCCACACCATCAAAATGTTTGGTTTTAAATGCCGACGTTGCCTTGTTGTGGGCGGGACGAAAAAAGCGGAACTAATCGTCTCGTAGCTACTGCTTCCCGTTTCTGCCTGTCATTGGCGTTTCTCGTTGCTGTCAATACTGTTTCTTCCATATGTAGGACGACACATTAGTCAAGTACAATCCACAATCCGCACAAAAAGGGCAACTTCTCATCTGCCTCAGCCCGGACTGTACGAGACATCAGGCCATGCATGCATGCCAGCTGAGACAACACTACGGTAAACCTTGGGCAGGTGTTTAGCTAAAAAAAGAAAGAAAAGAAACTATTTCCGACATCAACATATGAATTACCCAAGTCCTCAGCACACAAACTGTGCATGAATAGTAAGAATACGGCTGTCAACTCACCATTGGCAGGATATAGTCGAATCCTCTGTAGAAACAACTTCGGCTTTCATCAAGTCAAGTACACACACGCCACCGGTACTCCAATCAGGATCGCTCCTCTGTCCCGACCATGCTGATCGTGTGGCAATCTCTTCTTGCCTACAGTTGCTTCAGCTACGTTAACGTTGTTAAAGGAATGGAAACAAGGTCCGATTTTGACCAGCAGTGTCTGTAGTCAGTTCCTGATCCCATGCCGAACGTAAAAGGCAGAGGACTGACCTGAAGCCTGCATGCAAAACATCTCTCCAACGGCACCGGAAGTACGGGTCAAGGGGAGTTCAATGGGCAGCGCCATTGCATATAACAGGGAAGGCAGGCATCTTAAAGTTGTCACACTGTGCTGTGAAGTGCATGTATTGATTTTACTGTCGGAGTAAGATTATACAGAACAAATTATGCAGCTAGTCATGTGTATAACAGGAATCCTCCCTGTTCGGGACCTATAACGGTCCCTCCCTACAGATGCAAATCATTCTGAGGGCCGCTAGGGGCGCGATTTAATCAGGCTGATGATAAACCAAAGAGCTCTGAGGTTTAAAATCTTTATTTCTCACAACCTCCTTGATAACTTGTACTAGTTTCTTAAATTAAGCTAGCAATTGGGGATGTAGTGTTAAACGTGCAGTGAATTACAGTTTAGAAATCTTCTTGTCCTGAGTGAACCCAAGAAGCTTTCATCACAAGGTCCTCGGATCCTTGGTGGACTCAGCCTGAGATTGATATCTCCAAGAAGATCTTGGTAATGCAGTGTGTATCACGTGGTAGCCAGTGACATTAGGGAGCCAGCTGGCGGAAACAACGGAGGATGGCACCCAGGCAGTAGTGTGTATTCTGTATCTGTATAGCCGGTATAACAGCCTTTCGGCGTAACACACCACCTAAATGGGCACCTTGCCACCGTATGATCTGCTTGGAGAAATTCATAGAATGATGCAATATGTCAGTCTCCGCAGGTGTCATTGCAGAACCAGAGTTACAACCCGCCTACAACCAGAGTGTCCGCATGGATTAGATATACACATTAATTTCCATCAATCTGTCGATGATGACCATTGAAAACGTCAGCACAGGTATCAACAGATTTACTGCAGTGGACTTCAATTCCTAATGACGTTTTTCAATAAGGATCATACTCTACATGACTGTAAGCGAGTGATTGACTTGATCATGTCTTCTCAGTGTGATGATATATATCGATAACGAACCTAGCTAACTATATATAGCTGCTTATATACACTAATTGATACCCGCATTTAAAGAACTCGACACGTTCATGTATAGTCAATTTTATTTTAGTTGCCATGCGACCACCGCACAAAACTTTTCGGAAAGATTTCCCAGACCTGAACAATAACTTCACTAAAATCAAAGGTTACCAATGAATTATTTTGTGACACATTGAAGAAGTGCCATCACTTGCTATTTACAAGTTGTACTTAGTGGAAAACTTCGCTCAATGATGACTCATTAAAAATCTATACTGTTGTACATTCACAACTGTTACAAACATATGTTGTCTCGATTGAAGATTAGATTTTCTGAGCTATTATTGCTTCAACAGTTCTGACAGGCTTGGGGCCTTGGAGGGGTCGGAGGTTGGCTGCAGCGTGCTCTGCGCACTGACACCGGCTGGCCCTTCATGTGAGATATCGGAAATGAAGGTGTCCAGCTCCACTTCTGAAAAGGCGCCGAGGGGGTCCAGAGGTTCTCCGGAGGGCGGGTGGTTCTCCATGGAGGTGCCTTCTCCCTCGGTTCCATCAAGGGACGCGAAGATGCCTTCGTCGAAGTCCGTCATGTCTCTCTCGATGTTTTGGATGTCGTGGCTGGACGTGCCCACAGGGTTATTCGTGCCCGCCCCTGTTGGTTTGTTCACCGCTGACATGACGACGTCTTGGCGGAGCCCCTTGGACGCGTGAACCAGCGGGTCTCGGTGGTCCTCGGGCTTGTCGTCCGTAGTGACCCGTCGGTGCCAGTCGTCGGTGAAAGTGACGGTACCCCCAAGCTGCTTAGGCGGCAAGCCTACCTTGTTGCCCGAGGGCGCCTGCCCATGTGTGGCGGTGGAGGAATACGAAGAGACGCTGGCGATTTTAATCACTTTCGACGGCACGGCCTTCCTCGTGAGACCCAGCGCAGGACTGCCCTGTACAGGAGAAGTTGGCTGCAAAAACTTTGTAGCTTGAGAGGCCGACGTAGTCAGGTCACTGAGAAAACGCTGCATGATGTACTCGTCTCCGCTGAGCGTAGCTTGCTTTGCTGGAGGCATGAGCACTGGTGCCGTGGACGGGACGGACGTCACGACCCGGTATGCCACAGACGGCATCTGTCCTGTTGTAGAGTATACAAAATCCCTTAGGTTTGACTCACAACATCAACAATATCGACGGTTCCCACAGCCACACTCACCTCCCTCAAAATGTAGAAATACGAATAAATGCAAATGCTACGGTAGTTCACGGATATGCCGCCACTCTCTCATTGGTCAAACCACTAATTGCCATTCTCTCATTGGTTGAACTGCTGATTGGGATGAATCCTTCTTTTAGCATGTCCAACGATGATAGGTCTATTCTAATCACCTGAAGCAGCAGAAAGGGTGCCCGGTGGCCGCGCAGGCAGAAGAAGTGGGTACGTCACACCATTCGTGGCTCTGTACTGGAAAACTGCCCGCCCAGGGTACAGCACTGAGGGAGGTGATGCCATCTTCTTTCTCTTCACTGGCCTCGGCTGGTACACCCATCCTTTGGAAAGGTTAGAAATACATTTCTTGGAATAGTTGCCAAAGCTCATCATATCATCATCGTCTTGAAATGATGTGGTGTAGGTACGTAGTGTTGTCACTTCACTTAAAACTTCAACAACTGATTACATGGTATTTTGTGTCAAAAAAAGATGATTAAAGGGTCTGTTAGATAGCAAATGGTATCACGTGGATGATTGTAAAGAAACTAGTATGCTTTTTCTTTGTACCTGGGTGATCCTTCTTGTGCAGTGACTTCAGGCGACACGCCTCTTCATAATAAGGTTTCTTGTCTTCGTTGGTGAGCTCGTGACTCCACTTCTCCCCGAGCTGGCAGCTGATGTCCGCGTTGTTGGCCCTGGGGTGAGAGCGGGCGAGGGCTGGCCGGTGGATCCGGGCCCACACCATAAAGGCGTTCATGGGACGCTTCACATGACTCTCCCGTGCTTGCTCGATGGGGTCTGTCCCTGCTGTGTCAAGGCAAGCAGCGCTCATAGAAAAGTGACATAGTCATATGGAGTTGAAAGCTTGATAAAGGGTAAATCAGTCATCATCAACCGAGCTGAAGCATGATTCTTTTCAAGTAACTTTTAGTTGTATAGCTAAGCACACCGTATTCTTCAAGAAGTGTGTCGGTTCCTTTTACGTGCAGAGGTATGGCGAGAAGACCTTATAAATCTTCATAAGATGTCCTGTATATGCACACAATGCAAACTAAATGATAAGTGTGATGGTGCGCAAGCCACCTAACACAATGAACACTACGCGCTACAATTAACAATTAATCTTTCTGTTGTAGAACAAGGAAACAATCAGGTCGAAAACAATTGACCAAGACAATTAGTCTGAAACAACAAATAACAATCCCTACTGTTTCCACACAACTGTGTTTCAAGTCGACATCGTTACTCACCAGCCGATATGTTCCTTATCCCGTTATTAACGGCCACAAGGCTTGAGTGGGGTGCCGATGTGTTCACGGCGTTTTGAAGGGCCAATGCCGTGGTGGTGGAGGTGCCCACAAGGTGCAGGGGCGTCGTTGTGGCGTACACAGTTTCTCTTCTCGGGGTTTGAGTGAAGAGGGTTCTCGGGTGGATTATCTTTAAGGGCTGTTTGGCCGTTTCCAGCACTTTTGTTGCATCTGGCTTTTCTTGAGACGACGAGGGTATCCTCGCAAGGCATCGCAGGGTCGAGGAGGCTGATTCGTCATTCCTCACACTGGACATGCCATGAACAACCATGTGGGCTTCAGTAGTTGATACTTCGGCTTCTGTCTTCAATTTCTTTGTGGGAGACTCAGAACTCAGTTTGTTTTCATCCTCCATTATGCTATGAATGTGATGACGAACTTTCTGACCGAATACCGTCGAAAGTTTGTCTTGCTACCAAGGTAGCGTTTGTCCGTTGGCGTCTCTACGTTCGACGCGTCCGACAATGACCTGTTGTCAAGGACGTGTCTATATTCTAACAATGATCGTGACGTCATTTCATTTACTTGTAATAATACAACAGTCAACTAAAGTTTTCTAGTCTTCCCATAATGATAATGCTATGATAGATAACATTGTCTTTCCTTATATAATCAAGAAATACATGTACTTGCAGCTTATACTGCAAATGTAACAGTACAGTACGAGGACACCGAAGACCCGTTCGCTATTTTCAACAGGAAAAGTACAAGTTTCATATTGATTGATTTCCAATTTGATATTCTTTTTGTCAATTTCATATTATCAAAGAAAGGTGCAATAAAAATGATGTAATTCCCATCGAAATCCAACATTGTAACTGTCGTTACCGGTCAGCCCGCCTTACGAAGAAAAACGTAATTTTGTAAACAAAAAACTGCACCGTTCGACCCTCTAATGTGATAAACTCGGTTACAGGTAACTCTTGTGACGTAATGATATATAGCATCTGACGCGAATATGGGTTTTACCGCGTACGTAAAAAATACGTAGTATTTCTTGTAGTTAGACAGGGATGCATGCATTTATTTGCTGGTTTCGGCATTACTTTTACCATAGATTTTGTGCTGAAGTTTGAAACCTTTGGTGACGATGACTGACAAGCTGTGCCATATGCATTCAGACAGTTCTGTTAACCATAGTTATTGATATCTTCATCAATAAAGTCATGAGAATCAAGGTATCAATATAGCTAAAGGTGCCTTACTCACAACTCTCTTTCGTTACGTCTATTTACGTATAAATGGTTCGAATGTGTGCGTAAGAAATTACGTTATGATTCTAGAACACGGTTTCGAACGCATCGAACATTCGAACGCTTGTTCAAATGTAGAGCTCCATTTGTTGAAAATGGCGCAGGGCCGGACCGACCAGGATGGGGGTCGACTACCGACCCTATCTGGAACCAATCCGGCCCATCCAAATGACCGCCCGGAGGAGAAGAGAAAGCTACTGAGGACTTACATTTACCCTATGACAAACGCGTCCCGGGTTTGGGAATCGATCGTCGCAATAACATGCGTGGCAACGGCTTGCATTATCACTTTCAAAGTAGCGTTCGACTCAAGCCACAAAGAGCTGTGGATTCTCATGTACCTCTTCGACGCTTTGTACCTGGTGGACATCGTACTACAGTTTTTCTACGTGTACTTTGACTACGGCGTTCCAGTGACCGATCTTAAGCTCATCAGACGGCGGTACATCAGACGGACGTTTGTTATCGACCTGCTTTCCCTTCTGCCGATAGAACTGATTGCCTTCGCAGTTCCAGGGCAGTCTTTTTGGAGAACGATGACAATGTTTCAACTAAATCGTCTTCTGAGGATGTATAGAGTCCAGACTTTCTTTGGTAAGTCACAATGCTAGTGAGTTTCTTTACTTTTCTTTCCTTTTTGCAATCTCTAATTGTTGTTATTCAACTTAAACAAATCCGACAGATCGTCTATCACAAACGTCTTTCATGTTTCTCTTCCTACAGACATGTTGGAGATGGAGCTCGGGTGAACACGGTGTACGTTCGCACCTTGAAGTACACGGCGGTGTCCTGGCTGTGTCTGCACGTGATGGCATGCGGGTGGTTCGCGCTGGGATGCACGGGCAAACACTGGGGCATCGAGCCAGAGTGCGCCCACCAAGGATGGACAGAGTCGACTGACCGTATGTACTATTGTGTAGATAAAGGGCCCGTTTGACTAGTGAACTTTTGACTAGCCGTTATTTTATGCAGCTAGGTCGTAGACTCGTAGGTGTGACGTGACAAACGTATCCAGCCTTGGCGCAGTGCGCATCTGAGAACCATCTGTAAGCCCATGTCACGCATTCAGAACTTCCCCCCCGACCTTGGTCCCGACCATTCCCCAACCAAGGTCGGTACTATCATGGTTGGGAGTAGTCTGGAAGCCATTCTCAGATTCTAGCTCCAACTCGCTCCTCTGATCACATTTAAGCAGAAAATAATTTTCAAAATTTATAATCGGCTGCTGCTGCAAACGGCTTTTTTAAAGACGTTTAGGTAACTTTACCAATTCCGAACCACAGAAAACTTTGCTCACGACTAAATTCCAACCCATGTGATGGATCCATTCTCGGTCTGCATCAAATCAAAGTCATTATTGTTTCGGTGCCTTTGCCACGGAGAAATGTACATTGTATTGTCTATTTTTGGCACAGGTGCGGAGCTGGTCTTCCCGAACAACAATACCGCCTACGAATATGTAATTTCCGTCTATTGGGCCACGGCGACGTCCACATCTACAGGGTAGGTACCGGCTATGTGTGGCATCCATTTTACACTCATGGCTGATCGCCCAACGAATTTTATTGATAAAACAGCCTGGAAATAGGGTCTGAATCGTGTCGTGTAGTTGTAGGTTTGACTCACAACAGTAATTAATCAATGGAAGGCCAAAGAGGCACACGTCATACTAGCATCGTGTTGCAGCCTCTTAATGCATAGTGAAATTATTTTTGTTTAGTCTATCGTTAAGAAATAGTTCCTAAATATGAATCATTTCGAGGAGAGAAAATTGAAGAAACAATGAAAAGTAATGGGCTGTTTCGATCTCTTCATTTTCTGGCAGATACGGTGATGTTCACGCCAAAGAGTTGAGTGAAAAGGCGTACTCTATCGCAGCTATGCTGGCAGGAGTGGCCGTGTTCTTCGGCATGATTCTCGGCGGCATGACCTCAATGCTGACAAATATGGACTCCCAGCGTGCTCGGTTCACACATCGCCTGGACACCATCAAACAATATCTGGTATGTGTTACACGAACATTTTCACATATTGCGAGTCTACACTCGGAACTCGAATGAATTCTTTCATGAATGGCTGCATCAACGGTTGCCATATAAATGATACTCGTACGCTGCCCACAGAGAGAGCACGGACAAGCATTTGCCAATAGACCGATCACACTTACCCCGACAACGTCATGCTTCTACCATGCATTCCTTCCCCTGGCCAGGCCCTTACAAAGGAGCTTACTAGGAGGCCTAATCAGCTAAGGAGATTGCGTAACGCGGGCTAAATAGCGCTTAAACGAGACATAACGTACGAGTACAAGTAAACTTGTAAGCACCGTCTGTGCCCTAACATGACAACGGTGCACTGTTCCAAGCTATAGAATATGAATCTACTTTAAATTCTCTGTTGCTCCATTCTGTTTGATTTAAGATTGAAGAGGACATCCCCGAGACACAGCAGCGTCAGATTATGAATTACTACAACTACTTCTGGATTCGGAAGAGAGGCGTCCAGAGCGAGGGAATCTTCGACATCCTTCCCTTCACTTTCCGCGCCGAGATCTCCTTCCAGACTAATAAGGGCATCTTAGACAAGGCAAGATGGTTATTACCTCCATGACATATCATGGGGGTTATATTTTCAGTTGCGTGATTCTGTCTGTTAGTCAACAAAATAACTCAAGAACGGCTGGATGGATCGGTTTCATACTTGGTGTGTCGGTAGGGTGTGGCGAAACCTGGAATGATTCCTGAAAGTCAATGTTACTTATGCTGAGGTCACATTTCCAAACCGGGGCCCGGCCGGGCAGGCCTATGGGACGAAAAATGTGGTATAAAAGAAAACGAAGGAAAGTTGGAAGAATCAATAATGGAACTATTTACGTATATTCGTGATGAAGATTGTTGATTTTTCGTTAATCCAAACAGCCCGACCGGGCTCCGGTTTGGAAATGTGACCTCAGCATTAACCGGGTCATTAAAATGACGAAACTACTTATGTATAGAGAAAAACAACACCACTGTAACAAAAATGGCACCGTCTCTATCTCACTTCCCCTCTCTCTCCCCTTCAATTCATTTCAATGACTAACTGGAAATCTACTCCTCTTGCCATCTTCCAGACTCAGTTCTTTGCCCATCACAACGTGGGCTTCTTGCGCATGCTCACTCTGGTTCTGAAGCCGACCCTGTGCCTGCCCAGTCAAGTGATCGCTGTCCGGGGAGACTCGGCAAGCCAGATGTGTTTTGTACACAGAGGGGAAATTGAGGTGAAGCTGGTTTACAGCCTAAGTTAATGACAGCCCTGCTCTTACCTGTTTGCTACATGGTACATGGTAACAGACAGGCCTGACAATAATTGGTCCATATCCTAACACGCATAAATCAACAAGATTAGGATGTTCCCAATTATATCCTGACTTCAAGCTTCTAGAGGCCTTTCCAGTGGAAGGGCTGTTAGAAGTGTGATCAGACAACCATATATGATACAGGGAAGAAAATGAAGTCACATAGGCCGAAGTGAAAAAACGCAGCATTGTGGAGTGACTGTGGTCGTAGTAGAAGAAATCCTAACGTCAATTTACGATTTGGGAAGATACAAAACAGCACACATCATGTCGCTATACCAAGGGGTACTTTGTTTCGGCTCTTACCTGTTTGCTACCGTTATAAGGCGTATCATACAGCTAATATATCTTAACTAACTTAGAAGCTTAGGTATATACGTGAATACGTTGTTTCGTTTTACTTTGTAAAAGTAGCAGTATAGTTAGGTCTAGGCTATCTGTCATGTATAGCTGTCTACTGCAAATGCAATACAATAAGTACACAACACCTAGGGAGAGCAGTTTTGTATGACACAAGGTATAATTGCTAATTTCTGTGGAAAGTGAATCTCCATGTAGTGTAGTTATCAAATATAGATGGTTCTGGGAGGTGTATGCTGTACAATGTATGTGCTTCTATACTTACCTTGGAATGACGCTACTGTGCTTGCATTTATTCCAGGTGATTTCCGAAGAGGACACGCCCATTGCTTCCTTCAAACATGGAAAGGTATTCGGTGAGGTAGGTGTGGGGATGTACCCAGTTCTTGGTGGAATGTTAGCCTAGAGTCCAGCCTTGTTAGCTTTAGTCCGCTTCCCAAGATCCACTTCCCCTACAACTATCTTGGTGAGCGGACTCAAGTAAGCAAGGCTGGACTCCAGTTTACTGGAATGTACAAATGCATAAATGTTGGTAAACGTTGGTACAAAATTGAAGGTTTGAATAAACTGTTATTGTGTAAACTACGTGACTCATGCCCTGTAATTTCTTAATTGTGTTCGTACGAAAGGGGAACACTACAAAGGACTTGTTCCCTATCAAATCCTGTGATCCCATCTTCTACAGCTTAGCTTGATATTCAACGTCCCTCGCACAGCCACCATTCGCGCCGCCACTCACTGTGACCTGATGGTACTGGAGAAAAAAGACCTTCACATCATTCTCAATCACTACCCTGAAGGTAGGGGGAACTTTTATCATTTTCGTTGGATCTGTAAAATCTTCTCCACTAAAAATGTGTTTCATATGTTTGTCCTGTCAATTTCTTTTCATTATAAGTAGTCAGTCAAAGATTCGAGAAGCTAGAAATCTTAAAGCATATTTGTCAAACATTTTTTCTAACATTTTGGCACCAATGTGTCTTGTCAATGATAGCAAAAGGATATATCCCTTTTATCACAACGACCTTTTGAGAGGGCACATATCCCTACTGTCCATAGTGGTGCATGCACTGTTTCAAGTTTAAGCTGTCATGGTTTTCTGCCCATGTCTTTCAGTGATGAAGCGCCTTCACGAGATGGCTCAACAGCGCTTCAACTCGCCCGACTCCCCCCTTGCTGGGCTGGTGGATGTGGGGACGAGCTCAGACGGCATGTTCGGACATCTGACCCCAACAGGAGCTCCAGATGACGCAAATGGTAGTATGGCGATAATGTTCATGGATCGTTGTGAAAAAATCAAAAGTTGAACTCATCGGACGTTTTGACTGACTGTTTTCTTCAGCTATCTGTCCCAATCGCTCAGGGACTTTTGCAAAGGGGTAAAGTCGGTATCGCCCTTCCCCATGGATCGTTGTTTTGTGCATATAGTATATGTGTTTCGTAAGGTTTGCTATGCAGTACTTACCGTCAATATAAAGTGGACTTGTTTTATAATTATATTTTCAAACGCGCAAATCACAACCAAGGGAACCTTAACCATTATTTGGAGAACACTTCTTTCCATCCCGTGACGATTGAATTCGATTTCCCCTAATAGCATAACGTAAGATAAAAAGTATCTCGACTTAAATTTTAGCGTTCTCTTGTACTTTTAGCCCAACTTGAAAAATCTCCAGTGTCCAACCGCAGGGCCTCTGCCCTCAGACGATGGTCCACCTTTGACAAGAGGAAGCCATCTATGGACCCAATGACTGGTCACCGAGATTCCATCATGGTCAGTAATAGCAGCATCCCGTGTAAGGCGTTGTAGAATTTTGACGTCGTGCCCATTTTATAAGCTAGCTAGGCTGTAAAAAAATACCGGCGAAGATCTAAGGCAGTATTTTCGGTAATAGCTGAATTTTACGATACATGTACGACTATCTTAAAATAATTTTCAACCGCCAATCGTGGGCCGAGGGTGACAAGTCGTACATCGTCATCTGCCGTTTCAATTGCATGTTTGTTATTCGCAGCTCAAAGGCCGCTCAGATCTAACGCAGAGCATACTCGGTGCACTTTACGTATGTAGCGTTATGGGCGCCTGCTGAATCTAACGTAATGCGTAGACGCTCTTTTCCTGAATCTAGCATAGAGCGTTGATAAGTATCCCCCATACAGGCCCCTGGTCATGGCGAACAGTTAGAAAGCGACTACATGACTGGCTCCTCAACAGCTGGGATGGCTATTGAGGACAGCCTGGGGGAATCAAAGATGTCTGCTCACTTGGGAAGTCGTCTCAGCACGGACTCACGCGCACGGGGTAGTGGGCCAAGGAAGTCCATCATGCTCAGCCAATCAGTGGAGCTTCTTAATGCAAACTTCGGGCCGCTAGTGGAAGAGGGAGAAACATGCGCCGTGAGTTCACACATTTACATCAATACTACTTACTAGGTTTGTCATTGAGGGTTTGGATATTTGTATGCCATTGAAATCCGTCCCCAATAAGTTTTAGTATTGTAAATACATGAATTAAACAGAGATGATTGTTACATCTCATAACGTCTATCCCTTATGCTTAGGTCACAATTCAAGAAAGGGGCCCGCTCGGCGCGTGTTCGGCGTGTTTTTTGGCACTACCGAACGGGACCTGGACGGAGACCGGCGGGCTTCCCGACGGCTGCCGGCCTATTTTTGGCCCCGCGTGGTCGCCGAATCGATTTTAACTCAGAGTTAAAAACACTTCGGGCCCCGTTCGGCGACATACGCCGTAACCTCACTGCCCGGGACCCGTCGGGCGGCCGAACAGGCACCTGCCTAAGATTATGACGTCACATGTGCTGATCAGTGCATCAGATGGTCAGGAAAAGGGGGTTATAGGGAGCATATATAAACTCCTGCCTCAGACTACGTCGCACAGTTCACCACGTGTGTGTTACATCGTGTACTTGTGTGTGTTACACCTTGTATTTGTGTGTCAGAATGTCGAAGGGCAAGGGAAAACAGCCGGCACGGCTCTCTTGCCAACTTCATAAAACAGATCATAACAGGAATAGAATGTGTCTGACATTATCTCTTGTTACATCATATGCCTTCGTAATAAAATGGAATCAGAAGTTATTGGCATTTATTTCCAGTCCAAATTTCAACAGAAGTAACGATATTCAGTTTTATTGCCCAATAGCAAGGAGTTGCCACGGCACACTTCCTGCGTCACTGCTGAAGTACTTCCTGCGTCACTGTTGAAGTACTTTCGAAAGTAGGCCCTCGGTTACTTTTGCGACGCACCAGTTCTGCCTGCCTCTCTTCTTCAGCTACCAATGCCAGAAGACCTACATGTAGGTTGTCACCAATCTCAATCTCAGACGGGCTTGTAAGTTGTTTGCAGGTTGCACTGAACGCTGCATCGCCAACTTCAGTCTACTCTTTACTTGACGTGTACTCTTTACTTGAAGTGAACGGTAGCAGGCAGTGCAGCGTTTATATATGTACCTGCTCAAAAACACGAGAGGAGCCCGTCGGGATCCCGCCAGGAACCCGCCAGGGACATGACAGCTGCCCGGCCGAACTGTAAGAGCCGGTCGGCACCCTACCACACGCCGCACGGGTCAAGACGGGCGACTGACCGGGCACCGGACGGGTCCCTGACAGAAACCGGCCGCAAAAGTTTATGAATATTAATGAGAGTCGCCGGCCGGAGCACAAGCAGGCCCCGACAGGGAGCCGTAAAGGATCATAATTGTGACCCTGACAGTACGGCGCACGCTCGGCGTCATGACGCCGGCCGGCGTCTACGCCGAGGACATGCCGAACGGGCGCCGTTTCAAATGTGACCTAAGCATTAGCCCCTAACATTTGAACGAAGGGCCACCACAGAAGATATGATAATCACCATTTTTCTCCACCCTTCTCGCTTTTCTGTCACTTAGTGCCGTGTCTGTCATTCGAATTCTCTCATATTATCCTCCCATGTTTCCGTTGCCTCCCCGGACTGTTGCTTGGATTATAGTTTTGGCTAGTCCCGTTGACTGTGACACGTGACCATGCCACTTAATTTTTCATTTACTTGAAAACGTTAACGTTATCGCTGTTAGGTGGTCGTAAATGAACCTATGTACTGTTTTACGTTCTTCATCACTGTTGAATGGCCACCATAACTTTCAGATAATACACTAGTCCGTGGCGTACATATTTCCTCAATGAAGCTGAGGCCATTTGACTGTCGGAGTTAGCTATGTCCTTGTCTATGTTTTCCCATAAAACTATACTGCCATTAGTTCTTTATTTTTGTGCTTTGTCCATACAGTGGTGCAGATTGAAGTACATTGCCGTGGTTGACTGGCTGGCGTCTCACGTGCTCGATCCAACGTCCATTTTCTGCCGCTTCTGGGAAATCTTCATCATCATCATGACCTTTGCAGTCTGCCTAAGCCATAGTTACTTCGCCGCCTTCTATGTCACCAGGTATCTGATGTTGTCAGTTCAAATACAACAGACGAAACACAGAGTGCTGCTGTTGTTAACAGTGTTTTTAAACGATGCTTAAATGTCAAACCCGCAGGAGCAGTTGCTACGCTACGTATGTACGTAAGGGGGTAAGGTTTATTAAGTGTGTATTGTTTCTGTTTGTGTGTGTTCATACAGCTTAGTTACAGCACGTGGGTGGGGGATTCCCTAACCACAGACCACAAATGTCAGACAGCAAGAAATTCACGGAAAAAAATATTTCACGGAGGTATGAAATTGCAGATTTGTTGTCTTGACTGTGTGTCGATTGTACCCGCCATCGATCCCGATGTGATGATTAGACAATAGACGATGTGTTTACGTAACTTGTTCGCAGGGCAGGCCCCAATGTCGTCTGGGGCTTGGGCACTTCAGGGTTCATCGTCTCGTACTTGATGGACGTGCCGCTGGTGCTGGATTTGTTCATCAGACTGAGAACTGGAATCTTCACACCGAACGGTGAGATCACGAAGCACTACCTTCTCTCCAGATGACAAGTACTTTCAACTGTTACACTAGGAGTCGATGTCGAACAAACTGTTTAATCTCGTAGGTCGTGTGCATGACGTGATGTTAACATTTCAGGTGCTCGCCGGTGAGAAGTTTATACCACATGGTGTCTTCTTCATATTTTCCGCAGGAATTCTGACAGATTGGGAATGTATCAGGACGCATTATGTCCGGAGCTGGTGTTTCGTAATGGACCTGTGTAGTATCCTGCCGCTCGAGCTCTTCGCCTTGGCATCACATCACCGTGGTACAGTCCGGCTTGGACTAGTCGCCTGTCTCAAGCTAAACAGACTCATCAAGTTCTATCAGGTCAGGCTTAACATCACCCCCTTCTACATGTACGAGTACATTGTCGTCGACAATTTAGCTATGGGCAAACGGCCTGACTCTGAGTCCCTGTCACGTATTGATCGAGGGCCTTCTTACGACTTTTCTCCCGTCCACTACTTAATCAAGGTCGTCCCTTGGTTAGGAGTAGACTAGCTCCAGTTCGCTCCTCTGGTCGCTTCCAACCAGACTATGATTTTCCCGTCTCTTATTTTTCAAATGTTCAATATGTATAGTCCAGACTTAGCCTGGGTACCATCCCCAGTAGTATATTCGCAAACTCTATAACTGGGTCTGGACTTGCACACATATAAAACGATTGGTCATGACGTCACGTAATGAGCTAGCCCGAGCAGCGGGGCTTCATTTGATTGGCTGAGCCTCAGAGGCGACGGCCAATGGCGCACCTGCATTATTCAAGTGATGTTTGTTGTTTTGTAAACGCAGATCTTCGCGCGAGTGTTCCTTTTCTCGGTGCGTTCTTTTTTTTACCGGTAGGACGCCCAAAACATCACGAACGAAATTATTCAATGCATCTTTTTGCTCATTTTTGAGCGACGATATTCCGTCTAAATCGTCCAAAACGGACGTGATTGCGAGGTCAACATCAACCTCCGTGAGCTGAGCGGCTTGTGCGTCAGCCATGTTGATGATTTATCGCGGAAAGACTGACTACGGCTATATCATGTGCGCTTTAGCGTTCGGTTCGCCGTCGGACATGTTGATGATAAGGCGTTCGGACGTTCGAACGGACGCTAACGTCGCCGTTCGGACATCCGAACAGCCCTTACCTAATATGTACACACCCAAAAAAGGGCTTAGACGAGTAGGACCAATCAGCGCGCTCGTTCAAAATCTGAACGAATATTTAGACTCCAGACGCTACATATGTGTGCAAGTCCAGACCCAGTTATAGAGTTTGCGAATATACTACTGGGGATGGTACCCAGGCTAGTCCAGACTATGTCAGACTCAAAGATACGTAGGCAACCTGGCCGACCAGTTTCCAACCACAGATGACCTTGCTTACGACTAGCTCCCAACCATGGTCTAGGGAAGGTCCGGAGCCGGCTACAATGTTTACAGGGGTTTAAAAAAAAGGCCCGACATTTGCTCTTATCTTAACCAATTCATTCACTTACTCTTTATCATATATTGGAATCGTAGAGGTTGATTACTCATTACATGTTAACATCATTTTGTTAGGTTTCACGCTAGCGCGCTATGCTATGCAATAGAAGTAAATAATCCATTACATCCCACCACAAACCTTACCGAGCATTAAACTGCCGATCTTCAGATCCCGAAGTTCTTCAACAAGATAGAAGAGTCACTGCACATGGGCATCCTGCTGACGCGGTCCATCAAGTTATTCACCTACATCATCCTGTTCACGCACTGGTGTTCCTGCCTGCTGTATGCCCAGTCCTGTCCGGGATTCAGCACTGACCCGGAGGAATGGTTCGTACCGTGGAGTCCTCGGTCACATCAGTCGTACGATAGTCGTACGATCGCAAAATGAGTGCATTTTTGGAAGAGTTACACATGTGTCGTACAAAGTTGTCATGGAAAATGCTGTCTTAGATCCATGTCGGCGGTTGGCTCTGTCACAGCCTACGACATCGAAATAGTACGACAACTGTACGATAGGGGGTGGTGTACGTACTCCAGAGTACAGGCAACGTGCAGAAAAAGGAAAGCGTTATTTCTTGGACAGTAATCCACTATTATTCGACCTATCTGTTAATCAATCTGTTTTACAATCAGCACTAATCACTTTCTAAGCGCTTCGTGGCCCCCAATGCGGTTTTAGTTCTCCCCTACATATGTTATGTGTTGTAGCTGGCATGTGACTTGTTATTGGTTTGCGTGTCTCTGTAGGTGTGTGGAAGGCAGTTGGGTGGACAGCCAAGGTCTTGCAGTCAAGGGAATGTCTATGCATCATTACTGGGTTAGCTTCTACTTCACTACAGCAACAATGACAAGCACAGGTTTGTTTGTTTGTTTGTTTGTTTGTTTGTTTGTTTTGCATAATCGGTAAATCACCTTGGTTTGGACTACAGGAGCAGACTGTAAAGTTTGGACTACTCACGCCGGGATGGACCCCTTTAACGTGCTCGAGGTGTGACTGTCCTCAAACACGGGAACTCCGGCTTTGCCCCCTCTACTTTACGCCCCATGATAGAGAAAACTCCTTAACCAAAGCTAGGTCCAAACGTATTCATTTTCATCTGAGCCAAGCGAAAATAAATAGGCATTTAGTGCCTTTTCCAGGTGCAGAGCAGCCAGAGCCTTCAGTCAGCAACTCTAACTACAGATTATTTTGCCGCCTAAGGTTACGGAGACATCGTACCGACCACTACCACCGGCCGTGTCCTGTCCATGGTGGTGATGGTGGTAGGACTGCTGCTGTGTGGATACTGTGTCAGCACGCTGGCGGCTACATTGGCGAACACGGATGCTGCCAGGTAAGTTAGCCTACGTCACGCAATCTGTCAGGGGTTGATTGGGACTCCTCCACGAGAGCTTGTGGCCATACACCTCTAAGTCGACAGAGTAGCAACTGGTACATGGTAACAGACAGACCTGACAATAATTGGTCCATATCCTAACACGCATAAATCAACAAGATTAGGATGTTCCCAATTATATCCTGACTTCAAGCTTCTAGAGGCCTTTCCAGTGGAAGGGCTGTTAGAAGTGTGATCAGACAACCATATATGATCCGTTGTGGGTTCCAAAAATGTATCATGTAAAGGCAACAGAGAAGAAAATGAAGTCACATAGGCCGAAGTGAAAAAAACCCGCAGCATTATGGAGTGACTGTGGTCGGAGTAGAAGAAATCCTAACGTCAATTTACGATTTGGGAAGATACAAAACAGCACACATCATGTCGCTATACCAAGGGGTACTTTGTTTCGGCTACAGGGTTGAGTACCAGGGAAGGCTGACAGCAGTAAGACAATTCATGAAGGACCATGGGATATGTCCGAACTTACGGCGTCGCGTCGTCAACTACATGGTTCTGATGTGGCGAAAGCTCAGGTACATGAAGGTTTTAGTTCTGTGGTATAGGCGGAAAGTTAGGCTGCCTCCTGCCTTCTTACAGTTGTCACTGAAAAATTATATTTTCGGTAGCTTGTGCATGCGACTTTGTGCTGTCTCTTATTTGTTTGTCGTTTAACAGCATAATTCCTAAATAACGGATTAGTATGTGTAGATCTTAACTGCATTGAGTCGTATTTCTTTCTCACCGGTTAAGCCAGCTTGGCGTCTTCAATAGACTGATCCCACGACCAGACACACCCACCAGCACTAAAACACAGAGAAAGCAAAATATTTGCATAAATATTTGACGTGACATGCAGTCGACGTCACTCTCTCATTGGTCGAAATGCCAATTGTCATTTTATCATTGGCTGAACTGTTAATTGAATTGTGATGGACAGTCAGGATTTGTCTGTTCCAGAGGCGAGAGCGTGGCAGGGTCCATGGGTCTCATGCACGACATGCCGCTCGCGTTACAACAGGACGTCGCATTCGAAGAGGCGAGAGAAGTCTTGGAACAGGTGAAGCATTTCCTTAACCATGAATGCAAACTATGGGCCGCTGGCATAGCTAGTCCCACCCCCGCCTTATAACGTACTACTTAGTAAATGTGTTGTTAAAGTTGTAACTTGGCTCGCAGTGGATCATATGCTGCTTTAACATCTTTAAAAAGTATGACATTTCCCCCAGGTCCCACTATTTCAACAGACAGATCCTCACTTTCTGCGAGAGTTGGCAGTTCGCACACGCGCTGTGCTGTATGCACCTGGTGACGTGATTGTGTATTCTGGAGACATCACCCGGGACCTACACATGATTCGGAAGGGGCACTGTGAGGTATCAGTCTTGTGACATTGTGTCTTGTGAGCATGGTTTCAATTCCACAGAACTAAGGCTTTAATCGCCGCCTATGTAATGCTATTCTTATTGTCATGGTGCGATGCAAAATTATGTGATAGTATAACGTTCCAAGAATTGAACAACAAATTGTTTAGGGGACAGTCACCGGAGCAAATGGAATGCTAACTGATAAACAGTAATAATCCCCAAGCTGTGCCACCCCGATCGTTCGTCTTGTTGAAATAACTATTTCCTCTATCAAAACACAGATACTGACGGATGACCTGGCCGAAACCATAGGTCTGATGGGCCCTGGTCAGTACTTCGGACACCTGTCGCTGCTCTTCGGTGATCAACAACCGGACACGATCAGGTCTAAGACATATGTCGAGATGATCATCTTGACCAGAGATGACTTGGATGATGTGCTGTCCCTGTATCCAATCGTTGAAAAGTATGTAAAAGATGAGTTATAGATAAGAAATCATGATTCACGGTGAAACGTAACTGTTACGCCGGGTTCCATATTATAACACTACTAGTACTTTTTGTGTTTTCCAATTGGCAGGCTCCCACGGAATTCTGCTCATTGTACGTTGAATGATAGGTTAAACGGTAGTCAATCTTTTCAAGGCAATTTCACGACCTGTCGAAAATGGACGACTTCCACGAAGCACTACGGCAGAGTAAGCCGAGGGAAAAGGGCCCACCCAAGGCACGGATCAGGGCCTACAGCCAGATCGCGTCCATGGCCGACGGCAAGCAACTGGACATGCTCTTCCTCCCAAATCTTCAACGCAAGAAGTCGGCACGTGTGTTCAAGACCCACCCAGATGCGCCGGAGAAAGACCAAGAGTACTTGGAACCATTCCGCCGGGCAAGTAAACCGGTCCGCATCCTGTCCAAGGTGCTAATGAAGTAAGAACTTTCCCTTCGTCTATCCTCGATCGACTTAAGCTATGTCCTACATTCCTCTACTGTTGACAGTCTTTAATATTGATTGTTTAAATGTTATCTCTTGATATGAAGTTTCAGTTATGTTTGTTTGCAACGCAGTAGTTTTGCAAAGTCTGCATAAGACCGTACTGGTTTATCCACTCACACAAGTTGGCAGGGACCCCTACTCTTTTCAACAACATCCCGTTTCTAATCTTCGTTACACTTCCTCCCTCGCGGCTGATTAAAATTGAAGATGACACTGACTTATCTGGCATTGTAAATTAATGCAATGCCCTGTAATCAATGTTGTCCTGTATTCGTCTTCTGCGTTGGTGGCGGCATATAAGTTGATGTAGTTTGAGTGTGCTGTCGCCATGTCTAGTCATGAAATGTTGGAATATAAAAAACATTTAATGCCCTTTTCAGACGTACCTACATGACCTCCGGGACGTGGTTTCGGGTATGGATAGCCATGCGCCAGGTCATGGCAGCCGTCTCCACCTTCACCTACCCCCTGCAAGCCGCCTTTCTGCGCGAGTCTTGGGCTTTATTCGGCTTCAACATCGGCCTGGACGTCTGCAACTTTGTGGACATGTAAGTCCTCGGACTGTCCATTGCAATTAGCAGCAGACCAACCAATAAGAGGTTGGCTGCATATGTCCGTCAATTTGAAAATATTTTGCAATTTCTACCTTTTGACGGAGGTAGCAACAATGAATACTACTTACTAGTAATTTGCTGCATATCATGGCCTACAATAGGACAGTAAGAGAAAGACAGATTTTACCTCTTGTAGAGCAGAGTTGGATGGCTAGCGCTAGACCAAGTTTTGTTTCACTTTTGCACATTCTGGCCAATCAAAGAAAGCAAAACTATTTTTTAAGAAACGACACGAAAGCTTCAATGATGGATTATATTTGTTTATGGGTTATTATTATTATGAGTATTAGCATAATAAGAGTGCCTTCACAGTTATTTATAAAAGCAGACTTCTCTCATAATTATTAGATATTAGCAACAATGCAACTTCCTCATATGTACAAGTTGCCATACATTGTTCCTGCTACAAGTGTCGTGCAATAAAGTTCTTCCTTTTCTATTTTGCCATCGTCAAGTTACCTCAAGTTGCACGCAGCCTTCTACAATGACGACCACGTGATGGTGACACATCCTCTGGAGACTGCCAGGCATTACATCAAGACCACCTTTCTCATGGACATCATCGCCAGTTTCCCGATTGACCTGCTGGTCTTTAAATTCATCACCCACGTACGCAAATGTTCCCTATACCAACTTAATTCTCAAGTCTTCACCAGACTTTTTAAAAAACTTCCTATGATGAATTTGCTGACATCTTGCCCATTTGTTTCATTTTTGTGTTCTTGTGGCTTTTATTTCAACTGGTGGTGCCTGGCGTCAAAATAAGTTTTATAACGTCACCACACATTGTCGTTGCATCTTTGTCCATATTAATGAAAAAAATAGTTGCTGACATCAAGACCATTACCATTTTCACTTACGCACAATTTTGGTCGTGTTGAGCAGATTGATTGTCAGACGTAGTTTTGGAATATCAACCTGGCTTAAATCAAAACCATACTAGTATTCATTTGTTAGACTAGCCACGTTTGTTACATGATACCAACATTACGTACAGTCACTCTCATCTTTACTTGGATTTTCTATCATACCGTTTCTTCGTGTGGAATGCTGGATCGTCGTGATTCATGACAATATGTTAATATATCGTTCACAGTGGGACTATGCAGACTTTATGGCAATATTAGGCATTTTGAGGTTGAACCGTGTCCTGATAGCCTACAACCTAATTCTGGCCTTTGACTACTTGGAGTCAAACGTGGAGAAGGAAACTGGTCTAATCAGGTATATCACTTTTAATGAATAAACTTGTGACCTTGAATTTGTTGTGGCAAACGACAAACAATGAAACAACGAACAACAGAATATCTTACTTGCCTGTTTCCAAAAACTAACCACTGCTATTTGTTTTGGACAATGTAGTAAATACACCCACTTGTTTTCCGCTTGCTAGAGAGGGGAAGTTCCTCTTGTACTCACTTATCTTCACACACTGGACCACGTGTGCCGTCTGGGTGATGGGCTGTCCTCCCTTCCTGTCGACACCTTGTGTGGAGGGGAACTGGATCGCTCGTTCGTTGGTAGACGAACACGACTTTACATCCGAGGACACTGGCAAAATGTACGCCAGTAGTATGTACTGGGCCTGCGCCACGGCACTCAACGTCGGCTATGGAGACCTGCACGCCAGTTTAGACAAGGATTATGAGGTTGGTAGCTGAGCTCAGCAAAATACTGCTGTCGGTTCTAATTCCACATTTCTGTCTCACACCGCTTTTCATTTCATGCCCCAGCAATGTTGTTTACAATCCATCAGAGAAGACATTAGGCAAAAAAAAAAACATCAGACCGTTTGCTCTGCTGAGATTGTAATTTGCCAAAGATGAATCGCATTTTGAGCCAAAGAAAAAGATAGCAGATTATCCACAGATAACATATACAAATTGTCTCCTTTTGGGCAGATGGTGGTGATGGGCCTGCTGCAGATCGTTGGGATTGTGTTTTATGGCTATGTCATCGCCAGCGTAGCGGCCAGCTTAGCCAATGCGGCAGCTCAGCGCGCCCGCTACCAGGAGAGACTAAGGATTATCTTTGCCTTCTTGAAGGTAAACTCACGAGTCACAACTTTATCGTATCCGTTAGGCCCCCATTCTACTTAGTGGCGCTCTCACGGCGCTCTGAATTGGCCAGAGCGCGGAGAGAGCGTAGCCTGGGTGCCATCCCCAGTAGTATTCGCCCGCTAGCTTACACATGTCCGTCAAGTCTTTGCTATTCTTTCTAGGAGGTAGGCGGTACTGTGGGATCGGGCCATGTTTCAACCTCCGTCATACGGTCAATGTTTGGCATCTTCTTGGTACTCAAACTGGTGTTTATTCTCTGAAAATTTATGCTATTTTTTCCATATCGCAGATATAATCCGATTTTTTTTCATCCCAGTGCTATGGTGTGGATGAACGTCTTCAGCAACGCGTTGACCAGCACTACGAGTACATGTGGATTCGAACGCGTGGAATTACGGCCGCTACCATGTTCCAGGATCTACCGTTTGCTCTAGAGGCTGACGTGACATTTACGCTATATCAGAGGATCATCGGTTTGTATCAATTTTCCGTGCAGGCTCCTTACTTACTCTGGTGTCTTCTCACATCCATGTACGGAGGTTTTGTATTTGGAGCCTCTGTTTGTTCGGGTATATGTCCGTAGTTGTTTAAAAACATTAGAGTGACTGGGGGTGTAACCACAGATGGGAATGACGGTAAATTCAGCGCTGGTAGAATTGACTGCTGACAGACGTATACCGTTCAATTCCAAACTGATGATTAATCATTCTCGACGCCTTGACTTGCAGACAAAGTTCCGATCTTTCACGGAATGGACGTCGGTTTCGAGAAGATGGTGTCGCTATACTTCAGACCAACGTTTATACTAGAGGGCGAGCCGATTGTCCGGAAGAACGACATCCCAACCGAGGTGGGCGTGATTTAATTGGCGCTAATTTTTCTATCCTTCTTCTTCCTGTTCCAACTTACCTTAACCTTACACCTCTTGTAGATCGGTGGTGTCATATTTCTGCAACTTGATGGCTTAGATGATGACTATACAGTAGTCTACATTTGTTTATCTTTGACAGATGTTCTTCGTACACCGCGGAGAGGTGGAGAGAGTAGCTCAGGATGAGGATGACTCCACCGGGCGAGCCGTGTGCACAGCTGGTCCCGGCAGTTTCTTCGGTCACATGCATGTCGCCCTGAATGAACCCTGGGAATTCACTGTCAGGTACGTTGAATAAGATTAAACATCCAGGTAAACGATATCCATAGACTTTTCAAACTCTACTACCGTGATAAAATACGGAGATTTCAGTACTTCCAGACTACCCTTCGCTCCAAACTCAGATCATCAACTACTCAGAAACAACCCCTAGCAGCCTACATCGAAATTACATTGTGCCTGCTGTTTGCAAGTGGACAAATCAAGAACCTGTTGCTCATTTCCAAACTTAGGGCTAAATCTAACTGCGACCTGTACATCCTGACAAGAGACGATCTTCTGGACGTGTTGCGCCACTACCCTTCGCTCCATACCCAGATCATCAAGCGCACAGAATTAATCAGGCAAGAAACCGGCAAGGAAGAATCGTGGGATTACAGTGAGCAAGATGCGAAGAACTACCAGAGCGATGGACAAGGTTACCCCACGGATAAGACAGGTAAACATAATCTTTATCCCAGAAAGCGAGTGGTTTTACTTACATGTGTACTTTATGAGACTGGCGCATGTGATCAAGACATAATAATAAAAGTCCGACATGGTGTCCGAGTACCCGCTTGATATAAAAAAAATCAAGTTGTACGTTCGTGTGTCCCGGCTTTGTATAAATTCGATGTCCTGTGAAAAATTGTGAAGAAATTCGATGCCCTATCAAAGTAAACTCTTGTGTCTTGTCGAACTCGAATTCAAAGCCTTCGCTGTATCATTGGACCAATGTATTGTACCAACACAACAAGTCTACCAACAGGGTATTTGTTTCACTGCCTAGGAGATGTCGCCGTTGACATAGAACCGATGGAATACGAGGTGACGGTGTCTGTCTCAAAGCCAATCTTCCTGCGCCCATTCATGTGCATTTGGGGCAGACTCCGTCGCTGGAACCGTTTCGTGATCGACGGTCAGGGTATCGGGGCAAGGCTCTACTGGCATCTGAATGCCTTTATGCTCGTCGTTTCCCTTTGGCTACTGTCTTGGGAGGTAAGACGTACAGCCCTATGTACATATATGTGAAAATATTAGTACCCACCATTGCTTACCACACCCATAACACCACAGTCTACAGCATGCAGTGACACCTGGCAGCAGTGCGGTGCTAGTCAATATTGCATTGAGGAAATAGAGGGTCACCGATGTGTAAGCTTGTAAATTCAATTAGTTGTGAATAAAGAACTTTTTATATACTACCTTTTTGAATAAACCCATATTTAACAAAACGTTAATCAGTTCATTTCCTATGTTTTAATTTCGCACTACTCTGGATTTTCACATGGAGCAGGTGTTTTGGGTCTGAAGTTTTGACATTTCGTTACAGGCAGGGTTTCAAAGTCACGACTGGGTGAGCATCATGCTGACCTACCTGTGTGACGCCTTCTTCTACATTGAGGTATATACTTATTAGAGAGATTAAGACATTGCATAGTAGAGCTGGAGGATATTTTCATTTAGCTTTAGATGGCGTTTTTGTGTGTGAATCGAATAACACAACTAGTCTCTATTAGCGGACTCCATCATCTTACCTGTCTGTTTGGCAATTCTACACTTTCCAGTCACAGTATGGCTATGAACCGTTCGCTTCCTACGTAGATGCACGATGACGTGATACACATGACGTAAGTCATTGCAGTTGTAGTTATTTATATCAGGTGCATGTATAGCGTGGCAAGTTAATCGTGTGGAGGGATCAGTTGATGAGTTGATTTTTGCGCTAAAAGGGAAACACAACCTGTTTTCCAGATCTGGCTGAAGTTCCACATCAGTTACATGGACGAGCATGGCAATATGGAGACCGATTACGACCAGATCTTCAACCACTACTTTTACGATAGAAACGGCTTTTTGGTGGACGCCATTGCAGCCCTTCCGGTGGATATATTCGCCCTTGCCGCTCCCGCCCATAAGCGGATGATTGTCCTATCTTTCCTGCGCCTCTGGCATCTCCTGCGTGGTATCCGCGGGATGCAGTACTTCACCGAGCTGAGCACAGACCTCCGGGTCAAGTAGGTTTTTTATGGGTTAGGTTCGAATCAGTTCCTCGAGATGATGATAGCCATAAATATTATTATATATATATTATTACTGTAAACAGAACCAATCACCTGATCATCACTATTGCATCCCTTGCCAAGCCATTCGTCAAAATGGAATAATGAAATGACTTCGTGTAAATTTGGAAAGCATCTGCAGTGTTACCTACATTATTACTTAGAGCACAAAGACCATGACTCCTTTTGATTGGTTCCTCACCTGTCAATCACGCAGCGCCTTGATGGCTCGACTGTACCAGTCCTGTGTGGAGGTTCTGCTCGTTATTCACCTGCTGTCCTGTTTCTGGTACGTCACCGCTTGCCCCCTGGGAAAATGTCAGAAGAACACTTGGGTCTACGACATGCGTAAGTTCTGGTCATTTTTCTTCATATCCGTTTGTTGCTAAATGTCCCACCCCCTTCGACCGAGTTTTATCACATAGACCCTGTCCAAGTCGAATTGGATAACGTTATACATGTATATATATGCTATTGATTTTAGCTTGTGTATATAATGTTTTTGCTGTCAATTCCTGTAATATCATTTCATCAATTCAGCCTTTGGGCTGCGACTGTTGTGATATAGGTGATTTACGTCATAATAAACCATTCTATATATAACATTATAATATTTCGCCCTCTGACGTCTCTGATGAACGCTGTCGCCCGTGTGAAGGAATATGTAAAGGCATTCGCTACAATGTATCCTTTTGTACTTTACAGAGATGCATGCTGGTGGTGAAGAAGAGGAACATCACGGAGAGGAGGAAGAAGGAGGAGGAGGAGGATCCTCATGGGGAGGGCGGTCCAGCTGAAACACCGCCGGCCATATATGCCTACGTGTCCACGGTGTATTGGACAGTTGCTACAATGACATCAACTGGCTACGGAGACATCCACGCATTTACTCCAGTAGAGATGAGTATGTGATTTGAATCAATTATTTGTGTACACAACGTCAACGAAAAGACTACACAATTGGCAACTACATCTAAAATCTTTTAACTGTCTGCATTGATGTTGACCACGATTACGGGATGGGGATTCGGCCGGGGACTGTGTCGCTTACGGCAATAGCTCAGTGTTAGACTCACTCTCAGATTCACATCGCTGACAGCCGATATTTCAACAGTTTTCTCCGCCGTGGTGATGGTGTTTGGCAAGCTGATGTTTGGGTTTGTTCTCGGCAACATCGCGTCAACCTTGTCCAATGCCGAAGCTTTCAAAGTCTCCTTTGAAGAAAACTTGAAGGCTACAAAGGTATGTCCCGGCAAATGGATATATTCAGTACATGCACTACGAAATGAATTGATCCGTGGCATGTATACATGTTTACTGAAATGAAAACAATACATAAGAATGTCGTACAAGTATCTACCTACTATACTGGCAGGTGAATCGAAATGGCCATGATGAATGAAAAGTTCCTGACCGACCACCAAGAAATAAGGACTGCCCTTGTTGATACTAGTAGTCTCTTCTCGTGATTTGCCGTACTTTAACAAGTTAAGGTGCTCTGCTTTTGTACACAGGAACACATGAAGGATCAGGACGTTCCCCAGGACCTCCGTCAGAAGGTGGTTCAGTACTATGACTACATCTGGCTACGGAACAGGTGCGTCCGATTTCCAGTAGTCACGTGTGTTCTAGTTATAACTGTGTACTTACTCGATCCCAACAGACCCAACCAACTCCGCCAAAATGCAAAATGCACCAAAGTGATAAACATAAAATGTTTGCCGGAAATGCAGCCACTCTCGAGCTCTCATTGGTCGAACCGCTTATTGCCATGATACCATTGGTGGATTGTTAGGAATGGTCTATTCTCCATGTAGGTATTACTAACGAGATACGGGTCGTACGTGCGTCTGGAATGTGTGCATTTACAGTACAGTACTTAAACCCATGATCGTATATCGTTTTCTCAGGGGAGTGGACGTATCAACGCTGTTCCTCGAAGCTCCAAGATGTCTCCAGGAGGACATATCCTACAGCATGACAAAGACATATTTAGACAGAGTACGTTTTATATATGTTTAAACATGGAACTATTGTTTAATTACCGTTCGGTAAATTGAATCATCTGATCTTGTACTCTAATGAATGTATTATTCCCACGCGTTGAAAAAGTACCTTTGAATTTGGTGGCAGCAGTGTGGAAACAGTATGACTTCGTCGTGAATAAAAACATTGCTTTCTACTCTATACACCGACAGTCCCCACTTTTACATGGATTACCAGAAAGCTTCCTGAAGAGCCTGTCTACCCGGCTGAGGCTTCTCTTCTTCTTACCTGGGAACTACGTACTGCACCGAGGAGACATGGGAGCTGAGATGTACATTATCTTTCGAGGGGAGGTCAGTATCAGCCTGATATACAGTCTTTAGTTTGTGTTTTCTATTCGCTGTGGAGGGGACAAACGCTGTTCAACTGGGGGCTGGTCCGGCCATGCTATCACAAACAGGGGATAGTCGTGCATGTGTTGTGCAAATGATGTGCCGTGTTAATACAAAGTAAAGATATATGAGGATGGTTGGTTCTGTAACAGCCTGCCTTGAAATTCTTACGAGATCAAAATCGTACGACAACATACGGCGAATGTGACCGAGCCGTAAAGCTGTTTTTTTTTCATAAAAGTGACATTTCCAAATATTTAAGTGAGACATCATTTCAGCTGCTACTAGTATGTTGTAATCAAGTGATGTGTTAACCACCAATATCTGCCCAGGTTGAAAGCGGATATACCAAGCCTGATGGTGACTTTGCTGTGGAGGCCGTGATGAGCGAGGGGAAAGTCTTCGGTGAGATGAGTCTTACCTACAGCCTGCCGCGCCGAAGATCTGTTCGCGCGAAGAAGCACACGGACATCTTCGCTCTTAACAGAAGGGTAAGAACAAACTGACATGGCTTCATGAAGAGCTGTTGTTGTCTGTTGACGAATGATTATGACCGACAAATACTGAGAAAACATTTCGATCCGCCTTTTCTATCGGTTATTAGTACATTACCCCATCCTAGAATATTTAAGACTATGAATCTAGGGCAGCAGCCTTCTTGTCTTGACTATGCTTCAACTTTACATTCTAGGATCTCATGGAACTATTAGAAGACTACCCAAAGGTAAAATACGAGATCGAACAGCGCTCCGTCATCATGTTCGGACACCTGGGTGCTCCACGTCTCAAAGATAAGGAGCGTCGCTCTAGCTCCCTGTCCGCACGGAAGTCTAGTACATCCGGCTCCGGTACTGGCCTGAAACCGGGAAACTCCGGCAGTGCACTGATCAACAGACCTCGGTCACCAGGAGTGCAAGCTAAACGGGTCTTAGACCAGGCACTAGGGATCTAGATACCATAGCGTATCTGTTCATATAATATTCTGACCAAAAATTGCCATGCTAATGTATTTGACTCAGCGTTTTGTTCAATTGATGTTCACGGATGACACGTTTTTCGTCTTGATTATATTATATCTCCTTCATTGTATCATAAGTATACAGTTCGGAACCCAGGTTAGCCTATCTCAAACAATCCAATGTGTAGCCTCACTGTTTAGCACCCTACATGTATAATCCGGCTTTTATTACACTCCTATAGCTTTTTGTCAACTCTGTGTCGAATTCTCCCTCAGTTTTGATAATAGAGAAATGCTATAACATATGCTTCACACGAGTATGGCAGACTGTATTGAATACATAACTTGACAGACAAAATGTTTGTGAACTCCGTCCTCTCTACTGCTAAGTCTGATGACACGGTTCATCCAAGTGTTGTTTCCAAATGTTGTTCTCGTACCAGTCCGTGTGAACAAAATAAGACACAAGTGGACAAAATTTTGGACTAATCATAAAGATATGTAAATTGCATCTGGAAGATGACATTTTTGACAATTAACTACTGGAAAATTGGGACAACTTGTAAATACTCTTGTTTTAGCAAAAATCAGTATCATCGACAAACCCTACTACAAAGATAACAATAGTTTACCATTGAGAAGAACGTTGGTCACATGCGTATATATAATATACAAATGACTGGCCAACCTTGCTTAGGTAAAGGTACAGGTCCGGCACATGTACCTAAATTAGTTGTATGTTTGTTACATCTGTGACGACAAGTCTTATTCAACCAGTCGTCGCCTGGTGTTTTTCACAAAGTATAGCTCCTTTAAAAATTTATAATATAAATGTGTAGCGGAGTGGCTTGCAGGCGCTCAGCCTTTGAGTATGACCATGTCATTTAGGTGGGTGCAGTACTACTAGTAAAAAAACATCCTGCTGTGCAATTGAACGTGTCCAATGACGGGCTCTCAACAATAAGAACGCATAATCACACGGTATTTGTTAGGAAAGTCCTACAACTAAACAATATCAAAAATTTACCATAGAACAGCTAGTTATGAGGTACAAAAGGAGGCCAAGAGCTCGAACATACACATGCCAAACGCACTATCCGTTCCCCAAACATACCGCACAACACCCAGATACCCCGACTGTGATTAGGTAATCAGGTTTGAGATTCGCGCGCCTTGGAAGGTCAAGCCAGGTCATACGCCGTGCGCCGCCCGAGTGGAGCTGTCGGGATCTGCTGATTATGAGGAAGAAAAAGTTGGAAATCAGATCAGCGTTAGGAGTCAGAGGTACTGTATCATTACTGTTCTTTACCTCATACATGTCTGCTACTCAGGAGAAGTGTTTAAATGTGGGGAAATGGATACCAACTGGCTGGTACAACCTCTTTGTCAGACAATGGACTAGGTGGGGAGGGGGGCCTGCAAATATTTTATCTTGGTCGAGATTTTCTTGACTCCAAGCCGGTTCGGGAACAGGAAATAGTTGGTACCCGTCTTTTACCCTTTGTGTTCCTGATTTTGTTGCGAAGCCTGTACCAGGCAGGGCGTTGTTACGGAGAAATGTAAGTTTGTTTCATAATCTTTAGTCCACATGGGAAGCTCTGATTCTGAATAAGATTATCCCGAAAGCAATAGAAGCCATCCGTTGCCGGTGTTGGACGCGTACGTACTTGGTAAGGCACGTGCGTCGGCAGTGTGGACTTCCTACCCTTGGCTGGAAATCAGATCATTGGAATGTTGTTGAAGATCTGCAGGGATGGGTAGATTTTCGAATTCCTTGGTATAACTGAGAAATTATGGTTGTGCACAGCATTCGTGTTGGGATGTGGACTGGACCACCCGAAGTCACTTCTGCACGCTTTGTTAAACCATGGTTAAACAAACATGTCGGACAGAACAGGCTTCATGTCTGAAATCTTTACTTCTTACTTACATGTTATCAGGTAGCTACATGTAAATTGTAATTCATGTGTTTTGACCAACTCAAGAAAGGAAGACCTTTTGCCAAGATTCAACTGGGCATGCACATATGTAGGTATTGGACATTTGAATAGTCGTTAGAAATAAAACAGTGTAACCAAAATCAGGTGATATGATGCCATGGGCACAAGTTTCTGTTGGTTTAAACAGCTTTTTGCTTGTACATGTATGCTAAAACATTAGGTTTGTCAGTTTGCGCATGTCTATTGCTTTCAGTTTGTGGGTTGGCATCTGCACTGGAATGTCATGTGGGCTTTCATGCCAGAGATCTTCACTTAGTGCATAAATGTGCATGTTCTCAGATAGCTATAGCTATCATAGCTAGCTACTACGAAAATTTTAAAAAAAAAGAAGTTTTTACCAAGTCTACGTAGAAACTAAGTTGTAATGACCTGTCACAACTGATTGTGTTGCCAGTCAGACTCATGATATATCAGTCAGTGTCACAACAACCTGCAGTGGCTGGGAGTGGCACAGATGGAAATGAGATGTATAATTAAAAAAAATAATAATTGAATACCACAGGTGAATGGCAATTCCACCACTGTACAATCAAAGTGGAGAAAATACATATCTGTATTGTGAATTACACAGATATTCAGTTAATACATACACTAGTAAATTGTTAGTGTATGTGACCTTTCAAAGACCTTATTGGACCTACACGGCATGTGCGTTTCTGTGTTTTATACCAAAACATTTGCTCATATCAAAAAATGGCATGTTACAGTACTTGTCAGGATGCTTCTGTCTGGAACACAATTTGAAGGCTCCACACCACCAAATCATACAAACCTTTAATACTAATCTAATAGTAACCCCATTTTAACAGCAACAACAAATGTATAATCATTTCTGCAACTATAATGATAATACCGTTCATATTACATTGTTTACAACAGCTTTGTTACATCGATAATGGAGACAAAAGTTTGATCATGGGAGTCAGAAATCTGGGAATTGACGGTTCCATATTGTACACATGGCAGCATCAATACAACCCGAAGAGCAATTATTTTGAATTAGACATAAGAATAGAGTTTGTTTGGCTGCTGGAACTGCTTTTGCATATATAATTCAGATCAGTAAATGGCAACTATGGATGTGAATCTGCACCATATATGTATATACATGTCGTGATACATGTAGCAGTCAGAATTTTCTGAGGGAAAGAAGGAATATACATGACCAACACTTGATTTATTACTCAGAACTACGAACTGTAACGTGTTGCTTGCTTTATTAATGAATATATTTCCAACAACCATAGTTATTAAGAAATATTTTCTACATTACTAGTATAAAAAGCCAGTCTTGCCAGCACTGTTGTGTGCTAATCCTGTAGCCAGGTTGAGGTTCCAACAATCAATGAATACCACAGGGCTTTTAGTTTTACAATTGCCTGTACTTTTCCAGGGACCAAATCAATAGCCCTATTGTTGGGCCCCCTTTTTACATGTTACTTTGTTGAGCTGCCCACACATCATGCCACAGAGAAACTTTGGCATTGATGCCAGACAACAGTTTTCCCCAAAGAATCTTAATCAGGTCATTTTCTTTCTAGTATGTAAATTTGTAGCTAATTATGACTGGGATTGCATTACCCCATTAATTTTACCACACTAGACATGCACATGCAGGTTGTCCCATGCCAGACTCTGACAGGGCTGCCTTCCCTGTTTGGTTGATAACCATATATAGTAGCCACCATTCTGTTTTGTTTACTTCCACATGACAAAGTGCAGCTTTTAGCTGATAAAACAAGCATCTGTAGTGATTATCCTTCCCCAAGGCATGCATATATATACTAGTAGACTGCTTTACAGATGTTGTCTAGCCAAATGTTGATGACTCTTTGTATATATCTCATACAAGTTGTTTCATATTTTTGAAGTCTATTCTCTTTATTTACTCAAAGTTTTATTCTTGGAAGTGTATTGATCTCTTCTGTGCAGGTAGTTAAACAGTAAAGGTCACCAGAAGTGATTAGCTTTTGTCCTGCATGTCTTGTGCCCTACACAGCCCTGATACTATGAGATACCATATTTGCCTTAAGCTTTGTTGCAATGTTTCACTGTTCATGTTAGCAAACACAGCATTAGTCTTATTCATGTTCTAAAATCTTATTGCTATATCATGTTTAGCAGCTATATCATCAGTACATCTAGATGACATGTGCCAGATATGTCTAGCTATTTGATTGTGTTAGGTTGAAATTCTGACCATCTACTTTTCTGTATTTTTACAAACATAGCAGCAATACCGGTAGTATTAATCATGTTGATAATCAGGCATGTAATACACATATAAACACACGCCATAAAGGAAAAAATGTTTATTAAGGTAAATATGTATCCAATAATTTTGGTGGTGCCACCTGTTGTATTGTTGCTCCAAGACAGAGATGTGTTTTTGTATGAACTATGATATGAATATCTAATTATATACATGACTGCTACTCAACTCAAAAGGAGATACTGCCAGTGATTATATAACATGATTATTCCACCCATCTTTCCCCTTCGAAGCTGGAAAGTAATTTTTCAATATCATTATATACAGAGATTGCTTCAGACTTATCTTAGTCTCAATTTCATTGGATGCTAAATATAGTAACATGTGTGCACAGACAGTTACTCACCTAGATGAAAGAATTTGAATTATCAGAAATGTAATAGATGCAGGTACAAGGCTCAAATTTTTGCACAGGTGATAACATCATAAGGTGATCCAATATTATCCTTTTTGTGAATAGACCTGAGGATAACGAACATACGACGTTTCTTAATGTGGTGTACGTCCATGGGCTACATGTTGTTACTAGATGTTGTCTAGCCAAATGTTGATGACTCTTTGTATATGTATCTCATACAAGTTGTTTCATATTTTTGAAGTCTATTCTCTGTTTCACTGTACATATGCATACATTTGATGTAGAGTCTACAAATATTCAGATATTTATCATTATCTCAGATTCTGTTTTCAAAATGAGTTGTTTCTGTTTTGTAGGATAATGCTGAAATAGTCACAGATGTTGTTACAAATGTATCACTGTAAGTTACCCAGATAGGTATGTATGTAACAGAATGTCGTGATGTCGTTCGTCATACCAGTCAGCTGATACCAGTACAATTTGATATGGTCTTGCATCATTTGCAACAAGCAGTTGATGTTATCACAGTGTGTTTAATTTCCTGGTTCCTGGCCAGCCTTATGTTGTTGTTTGTCTGTTGTCCTCTACGATGACCATGTTAAGTTCTGTGTGATTGGCTGTGGCTCACTATGAGCTTTGAAGACACAGGTGGGTTGCTGGAGTAGGGGATGTCTGCGCGGTCCAGCTCTGGAAGCACTCTTTCTCACACTCACAGCCTCTGCAGTCCTGATTTGTTTATGGATACTATTGTATTGGCACCTTTGTTGACTTAACTGTGCCAGGCAGATTGGCCGTGGGCTGTTGTTTCCCTGGTGTATATCAATATCAAAGCTCAGGGAGGCTTTGAACATGTCCTTGAAACACTTTTCTGTCCTCCCACTGTGTGCTTTCCTTCAGCTAATTCACTGTAGAATAGTCTCTTGGCTAGCCTTATATACATACAGGTTGATATCACAACACAGTGTTCGAAATACCTGTCCGCAGTCTGCAATCTGCAGATATATTTTCAAGATTGCAGAAGAAAAATTTATACAATCTGCAATTTTGCAGAAGGAAAAATTGGCACTTGGGATTTGACGCTTTTGGCCCCAAGGACAGACAACACTTAAGCTCCTGTTCTGAAACAACAGGAGCTTCTTCACTAATTTGCATCAACCTTGTCTTGACTTGTTTATCTTTTGTTTCCTTTTGGACTTCCAAAAATTTGTCTTCACTAATTTGCATATCAATCAATAGTTCATGCTTATAAACCTGCAAGATTGTAGTATGGAGGCTTGTGTATTTGCAGAAAGTATTTCCAAATTGCAGAACAAAATTTTTACTCTTCTGCAATATTGCAGAGCACTGAAAAAAAGTATTTCGACCACTGCAACAGTAGGTGTAATAGGGGTTGTACTGTTTTGTATTACTGATTTGGGTCAGCAGTATTTGAGTCCAGTCAATCTCATGTTGTGATGTTCAAGTAGTGAATAGTACAGGTTCTGCCAGGAGTTATTTGTCCTGATTGGTAGAATTGAAATTGTCAGATTGACAGTGAAGGCTTTGAAATACATGTAATTTTATTAAGAAGTCAGTTTCATACCTCAGGAAACCTAAAAGAAGTTCATTCCACCAGAAAGAGCTGTGTTGATGGTGTGGTACACAGTTAAAACCAAGGAGGTTCTATTCATAGAACCTACTTGATATAGCCATTACTATAACTTTCAGCTGTTGTGTTTTCTTTTTGATGTTAGTAATTACATGTGCCCTTGTGTGCTGAACCTAAACAGTGGGACATCCTGTTGTTTTACCTGAAGCAAACCAAAGGGTTGGAGATTATTTTGTGTGCAGAAAACAGCTGTTTAGCAAGTCAAATCCATCACACCAGTACTGACTGTGTCAAAGGTCATGATAAATCTGAAGCTGAGAAATGATAGAATGGTTTGTTATTTGCAAAGTACAGGAACACTTTAGATTTCCCTTCTGCTTGAGCCTTGAAGCTACATGATCTCTAGAACAGTTGTGGCAGGAGATCCAGTAACCTCTGACCTTTTATGGGGTCAATCATATGCAAATAGGCATCCTTGGCAGCAGCTTGAGTGGTGGTGGTGGTGAGGTGGTACCTTCCATGTTAACTGTGGATTGTAGCGTTAATGAGCAGGTTTTAGGTATCCCTGCCCTTCCCTACATGGACACCAGTGACTGATTGGGTGAGTGTGCAATGTTAGCAGACCAGATATGGTGAATGTGTAGCATTGTGCACAGTAAACAATGTCCTTATCCATGTCCTCTACTCTGCAGCCAGACAATGGAGGCGGAGAGGCTCTGGAATCTGCAGGACAGCCTCTGTTAGCGCTTCAGATTGTAGAAGGCACGTGGTGCCTCTCTCCACTGTGTAAATGTACATTGCCATTGACGTCGTGCACGAATGGTTGTTAATGCACTGAGCATTATTTCCTGTCTAAACTGCCAGGCAATCCTGTTCAAGGTCCTGATCTTCACATAATATGCCAGCTGTGAGTTGATTTGATTTAGAATGTAAAAACCATTGGTAACTTCCGAAGGCTGTACATGTACATAGTTGTGCATTGACAAACACCAGACCATTGGAGTCAGAGCTTCTTCATCCATGTACATGGCAAATGGTGGATGTTTCTACCGTTACATGGCTAATCTTTAAAGTGCAAGGCAGCTGTACACTAGTACTGCAGTAGTCACACATGTTTTCATAATGGAGCTGGACAAGTTCTGGTTAATGACTGATAAGGTGCTCAGGGAAGAAGGTGCAAGGGAACATCTTTACACTAACAACAGGCTTGAATAGATTATTCCCTGAACATGCACATGTATTATGTTTCTGTTGGGATTTTGCGGAAGCCATGTCTGTATGGTGTACATTTGTCAGCTGCTACATGAAGCAGGCTTTGGGCTGGAAACAAAATGGCTGTCAGCTGAGCTGCCATGGCAGTTTTAGAGGTCACGCCTGCTGGTCTCATTAGACTCCATTGTGCTGTTTGCTCAAAGTCTGAAATGTTCTCATGGTTCTTTCAGAAAGCATGTGAGGAGTGCTTACCAACCACATCAATCAGTGCCTCTTTGTTACTTGCCTTCTCATTTTTTGTAATCAAAGAAGTAGAAATGTCTATTGTTAATACATGTACTTTAGATACCTGTGGCAATCTGGTTCTGTTTGTTGACCAGAACCTCCTTGGTTCAGGGAATACTCTGCATGGTGCAGTGTGACAAAGGGAAGAATGAGCAGTCATTGACATGATAGAGTGCCATGGTTGCAATTGCCATGTTGCTCTGATTGAAATGGTACAGTGTATTTTTAAAATCTGTTCAGAAAATCTTCTAAATCAAAATAAAAGTTTTAGATCAAAACTTCAGATCTTACCTCAGTATCCTAATGAGTTGTTTTTTGGCTGTAAGTATAACAGGTTGGATCTACTCATATATCTCTTGGCCTCTTCTCTCTTCTACAGTTTCAGTTGCAGACAAAACTTATGGTTCAACACATTTCTGAACTGATAGAAATTTTATTTTTGTGATAACCTCTGATTAAAATTCTGTTCCTCATAATTTGCCTACTTCATTGTTCCTTTCACACAAATTCAGAATAACAAGATGTTGAAACCTGTGTCCAGAACTTTATATTTGTATGCAGTTTGACATTTCTATTGATACAGTATATGGATTAAGGGTCCTATATTTTGAGTGTTAATATTTTTGTGCTCAACTCAGGGGACAGTCTTTCCTTGAAGTTTGTCAAACTTTTTTGTTTAGACTTCTCCCTATGATGATGTGAAAATCAGGAATGGTGTAGTTAACAGCAAAGCTTCACCCTAACTTGACAAAGCTTCTACTGCCTGTACAATGTACAAGCCCTGCTGTGCCGGTGACCCTGTGACGTGACAGGATCAATATCCTTCCATCCTGGCATACATACATGTCCGTCATTCTGACTGGATGTTTGGTGTCAGCCTTATCCTGGGGTCCTGTTAAACAGCAAATTTCAGTCGCCCCAATCTTTAAATTGTTCTCACAGTTTACACTTGAATGGCAAACAATAGCATAATTGTATGTAGGTATAAATTGATTGAGGTTTAGAATACATTTCAACATATGTTCTGTTTTCCACACATACATGTCATGTACATTAATGTTTGGACATTAGAATGTCCTTAGTTACACTCACATGAGTTGTCAATGGTACTTGCTCATTAAGGTAGAATACTTGAGGGTGACCTTTTTGTTAAGATTTGTTCCAGATTTGAATGGTGTCTGCATGTCTCTTTAGCTGAGCTTCTACTTCTAGAGCTGACATGTTCTCTCAATATGGATGACAGGATGTGGCTGGCATCATTTTGGAGATAATTGTCTGGCTGTTGCTATGACGACCAAACAGCAGCTGGTGATTCTTTCGAAAACGTACATGTATGTGTGTACAAAGCCTTCGGGAATTTCTGTGAAACATCTGATGTGAGTCAGGAGACAGCTTGTCCAAGAGTAAAGTAAAACCAGGTCCTTTTGAAGTCTCTAAGTAGAGAGAATTGCTTGGTGTGTGGCTTATACTTTCAGTTATAATGTGCACTGTGACATTCATTGTAGGTCATCATATGATTTTGATGTTACAGTGATTTTAAGCAGACGATGGCAAAGCAAACTAACTGGAGACAAGGAACCAAGACAGCCTTTTCACAAGACAGCTGAATTTCTCAGGATACATGCAGGACTATCCTAAGTGTGTTATGTCAATCACATGACATACATGTACAAGCATGTGATCAGGCCCTTGGTCTTGTGTATTTGTATGATGATATTTAACCATGTATGCATGTAAAGTCAAAATGGCTACTTCAGTGTTCAGGGAAGAATACTAGTACCAGGGGGTGTAGTGGAAAGCAGGAAGTGGCAGGTTATCATAAACATGACTGTTTTTGTTGTCCATTAGTAAAGACAGGAATCACGGATAGAGTATCAATGTACTGGATTTTCATTTGTATTGCAAATACAATCATTGTCAACAATTACAAAGCCAGTAAGAGTAGGCATAGACTATAGACTGATAGTAATAGACCAAACAACTTTTTGTACAAAATGTATTTAAACAACATGTTTATCCCTACAATATATGCCCAACAACATTGTGCATGTGGATGTAATGAAAACCTTGTAATGAAGACCTGTCACTGTGTTGCTGTTCTAAGTTGTCAGTGATTATGAACTATATGTATTATTTTAATGCATGTAGTCTGCACACAATGTATATATTATGTTGCCCCAAGGCAAGTTGACTTACAAACGTATTGTATAATTTCATCCTAAAACTGAAAAAGTGATGCAGCATTGCATTGCAATTGGCTATAGTGTAAATAGTAAAATACATGTAGAACTGTATTATATAATGTAGAACACATATTATAGATGTAACATTATTACATATGTAGTTCATGTATTGTGTTGATCCAAGGAAAGTTAATGTAGTACAAATGTACTTCCTAAAACTGAAGTGATGCAGCATTACGCTTTACAGTTGGCTAAAATACATGTATAACTGTTACTGTACAAAAAAGTACCGGTACATTACTCACAGATGATGTCTTTGTTGCACTCTGACAGGGTTTTGCTGAGGACTTCTATGACCTACATGTAGTTGAAGACCATTTGCCAACTGAGCTACCAACAGGATACCGAAGGACAACAACCACTGACATCTAGAGGTACAACACAGTACTGAATCCTATTTTATTACCCATGCCAATGAATATCAGAGATAGATATTACATGAAACTTTGGTTATATTCCCATACCAAACAGATTATTTGTTTTCAGAAGTTAGTTGTAAAGTACTGTTTGACTTCGAGCCTTGGCAAAAGTGCAGTTCATGTGTAAGATGGTAGATCTTATTAACAAGAGACAGTACATATCTAATGAGTCAAATTTTTTACACAGTCTAGTTAACAACAGACAATTGAATATGTCATGCACTTTGTTTTGATATTCATTTGACTTAAGAAGAATATTTAAGTATTCTGATAATTAAAAAAATTACATGTATTCAAATAGAAAGTTTTGTATGTGGATTTGTGACAAATGTTTTATTCATCAGCAGTAATAAAAACATTATTCTGCCACTCTCCCCATTTTTATTCCTACATTTTTTACTTGCTGGCACATCCTGTACATATGTGTACAGACATGACAGAATTAAAACATGCTTGCTCTTTTACATGAGAAAAATGCATATGTGAAAAATGGTTTTACTGGGGCTTACTTAGTTGCCTTTTCTGTTGCAGGTAGTGATCCAGACTGCTTCAGAAGTGTTTCCATAATAAACCTCCCAGGACCCATGTCTACTGTTCAGTTCTACATGTGTAGGTAAGTACAAACATGTATAATGGCATATGGGTGTAATGTAATGCCAGTACACTTGAGTTAGTAATTCTTCGCACCCACTTTTGAAAGAAATTGCATGGATTATATCTAGATAATCACACATTTACAGCTCACATAAGTCCACATACATTGTACATGTATGGCTCACTAAGATGTGTACCAATATTGGATATTCTGTCAGATTACTCAGATAGATAACCCAGGTACTAAGTCAGTGTATGTTAAGAGCATTTTTCTCGGGTCCGTTTTACTCAGGTTTGGTGCCTAGCGTTGCTGACAGGTGAACAGAAGATGTCATCTCCAGTCAGCAAACCTGACAAGTTCAGGTATGTCTGTGACGAGTGCCAGTTGGCGTGCATCTCCGAGTACCACCTCAACAAGCACAAGAGTTCACACTACGACTGGAAGCAGTGCTACGAGTGTAACCTCTGTGACTACTCCACCCTCTCCCTCAACCAGATCAAGATACATGCCCTGAAACATGTCAAGTCGGAGCAACACACCAGTGAGGGGGATGCCGACACGTCAGTGACTTGCAATGGCATACCGGAGGCAGGAGATGGGAATAACAGCACGATGCCACCACAGGCTGGTCAGGACATGCACAGTAATACAAGTGCTGGCCACACTCAGACTGCTGTAGGTGTTACACCACTGATTGATGGAGGAGTCACAAATTCTAACACACCATGTCTACCAAATGGAGCAAAAGGAGAAAGCAGCAGACATGTAAATATGGATGGTTGTGGTTCAGATGTAGAGATCCTGTCTGTGAAAGGAAGTGAAGCAGATCCTGCAATCCCAGTGATTGTCTTAGAGTCTGACACAGAGGAAGAGTCCAGAGCACTGCCAGAACATGCTACAGATTTTGGTCAAACAAATGGAGAGAACCCCATGTCAGATGTTGTCAAAAGTGCAGGCAGAAGTGACAAAAGTGCAGGCAGAAATGACAAAAGTACAGGCAGAAGTGAGATGACTGAAAATGATGAGCAGGTGCCAAAGGATCAAGCAAAGAAACCACCAGAAGGAACTAGTGACACAGTGTTCAGCTGCTCCAATTGCTCCTTTGCCACCCCAGAACTAAATCTTCTGTTGAAGCACCGGGAAACGCACTTGAACAACAAATGCTACAGATGTGACAAGTGTAGTTTCATTACAGTTCAAGAAAGTTACTTACTTATCCACCAACAGAAACAACATGCAGCTGTGGGCAGCAGTAAACACCAGTGTGAACACTGCCCCTTTTCAACAAAGGACCCAGAAGCAATGAAGAAACATAAAAAGTTTCATGGTTCAAATCTGTCACTGAAGTGCCCCTTGTGTACGTTTGCCTGCTCATCACATTTACAGCTTAGTCTGCACCTCAAGCTGCATGTGAAGATTGAGACTTTGCCTGTAGTCTCGTCAAACTGCCACACTGTTGATTCTACCAACGGTAGAGTAGCAGACAGTAGCATTGGAAACTCAAGTGAGGACAATAGAGAGTCATCCATCACAAGCAATAGTCAGCTGGCAGATGGCTGTGTCACTTCACCTGAAGTTAGTGGCCTGGCACAGGCTAAAGACAAAAGTACCTCGTCAACGCAAAGCCAGTCGCCAGAGAGAAATTTTGTTTGTGAAGAATGTGGGTTCAGTACGTATCGAAGGGAGACCTTGCGAACCCATATCAGAATTCACAGTGGCGAGAAACCATATGCCTGCAGTTTCTGTCCCTACAAGGCTAGACAGAAGCCAAACCTAAACACACACATGCAGTTTCACACAATCAGAGCCAAGTTCACCTGCAAATACTGCTCATATTCCACCAGCAATAAGGCAAGCACACGTTTACATGAAACCTTGCACGAAGGCCTGAAATATGAAAATAAGAATGTGGGTACTCCAAAAAAAGAAGATTGTGCTGTGCACTCTAAAAGCCCAGAGAAGAGCCCTCGCAGCAAGGTTACGAGGGATAGAAGAGGGCTGTTTCGGTGCAAGTACTGCCCATTTCACACAAGGCATTCCACCAGCATTCAGCGACATCTCAAGATCCACGAGGGAAGTAAACCTTTCAAGTGTAAACGCTGCTCCTACAGTGCCATCACCCTCTTCCAGATCCAGGGGCATGAAAAGCATCATGACGAGACACTTCCCTTTAAGTGCAGGTGGTGCCACTACTTCGCTGAAACCCAGGCCGGTGTTGGCATCCATGAGCAACGTGTGCATGAGGAGTATCTGCAGGTGACCCCAAAGAAACAGACCCCAAAGAAGAATGTACCTTTGGATCTTTCAATGAAAAAGCAGTCTCCTGAACAGATTACCCCAGAAAAAAGCATCTCCGTGAACTCATCTGACATGGAAGAAAGTCCTGTCAAGAAGGAGACCCAGAGGAGGACGGAGGAAGTTGTGGAAGAGTTTGATGAGCATGGCAGGGTCAGGTACAAGTGCAAAAGCTGCTCTTTCACGACTGCTTGGAGGGAGAACTACTATCGACATTGTAGGATCCATACGGGAGAGAAGCCATTTCACTGCAGACATTGCCCGTACCAGGCTAGGGGAAACATGGCATGGTACAGGCACATGAAGCATCACACTGCCAACTATCCTTTCAAGTGTCCACTGTGTACCTACACAAGCCTCAGTCAGGCAGCACTCACTTCTCATCAAAATAAGGTTCATGACTGTAATATTGATAACAAGAAACAGAAAGGTGCTGGAAGCAAGGGCTCAGGACAGCCATTGAAGGTGTCTGGGAGGCTACAGTGTCCGTTGTGTCAGTTCACCACTGCCAGTGAGACACTCTTAAAGCTGCACAAGGCCAAGCACATGTCCTCACAGTTAGGAAAGACTTACAAGTGTAAAGACTGCAAGTACACCACTCATCACCTGCCTAGTCTTCAGAAGCATGCTGCTATCCACACCTCAGGAAAGTCCTACCAGTGTAGGTACTGCCCATATGTAACCATGTACAAGGCACACTTAGAGAGACACGAGGACCACCATACCACCCCATCTAAGTTTACTTGTGAACAGTGTACATATTCAGCTGGGAATCTGCTTGGTTTGTCGGAGCACCTCAAGTGGCATGGGGAACCACAGCAAGTTAAAACTGTGTCTGAGGACTGGCAGAACGATGAAGGAGCAGACATTGACATGGAAGAAGCAAACTTCCTGGAAGAGGAAGAATATGCTGAGAAGATGGAGTATCCAGAAGCCAGTTTGACTTTAAGGCATTCTAATGAGAATGACCAGGATCCCACGAGTAGGGGTAGTCCAGGAAGGATGTACGAGTGTCACAGCTGTGATTACCGTTCGAAGGACTTGTGTGCCCTGAAGAGGCACTTACGCACACATACAGGAGAGAGGCCTTTCCAATGCCAACACTGTCCCTACAGTGCCAGACAAGTCACCAACATGAACCGGCACACCTACCAGCATTTTGCAAAACTTCCCCACAAATGCCCACATTGCACTTACTCTGTCCGAAACACATCAGCTCTTGCCAAGCATATTAAATGGCATTCACCTAACATGGATGAAAGTCTGGCCCCAAGAGTTGATGTGAAAGGAGCCAGCCCTGTTCTGTCTAGTAGCCATAACTCGCCAAAGGTGAAAATTGAAGGGAAACCATCCAGAAGAAGGAGGAGCAACCGCATTCACCAGTGCAAATGGTGTCCCTACACCACATCATACCTCCACAACCTGCATCGGCACAAAACCCATCATGGAGCTGGCTTCCTGCACAAGTGTGATCTCTGCAACTACTCAGCAAGGAACGTCACTGGCATCCAGAAGCACACGGAGCTCCACCAGGCAAAAGCTAACAGCCCCTCCACCTCAGCACAGCAGCTCACCAACCAGAGCAGCAATGGAGAGGAACAAGGAGACATCCGAAATCGTGCTTTTAGTTGCCAGTATTGCCCGTACAAGACCAACCTCGGTTCAAACTTGAAACGGCACGTTAAATATCACTTTGAAGACTTGCCAGAAAAGTGCAGCCAGTGCTCCTACACAACAACCAGCGTCTCACATCTGACGGCACACCAAAACCTTCATGCCAAGAATCCAAACTGGACAGCAGGAGCGAGCGTCCAGGCATCCAACAACAGTGAGGATGTCAACCCTAACGCTCAACAACAGTCAAACTTGGAGTGTGGTACGTGTGGATACATCACCACCAGTGAAGAAAGGCTGACAAAGCACATGATCACTCACACAAGTCGCAGATCTCACTCATGTGACTTATGCCCATACAGGACCCGCCAGTCCAGGACGCTATGGAAGCACAAGAAACACCACACGGTGCAGCATACTTTGAAGTGCAGTTACTGCTCCTACAGCTCCGACTTTCCCCGAGCTATCACCAACCATGAGAGGTTGCATATGAAAGTGGAGACAGACGACACGGCCAGACAGCCCGGCTCCTGGGAAGCCCTGACCTGTGACTTGTGTCCATTCCGTAGCCTTACTCCCAGTGGCCTTATGAAGCACAGGACACATCACACAGCAAACCTGGCCTTTAAGTGCAAGTCCTGCACATACTCTGCCTCCTCGCCACGAATTATCTCCTACCACCAAAAGGTGCACCTGGAGAATGTGGAAAAGCCGTATGAGTGTGACATGTGCCCCTTCAGGTCAGCCTTCCACAAGTGTCTTCTGAAGCACATGCAGCATCACAGTGCCAACCTTTCCCTGAAGTGCAAGTACTGTACCTACACCTCATCATGTAACAGGGCGATCACTCTACATGAGAAAGTCCATGAGGTAGGCCCAGACAAGGCTTTACCATCTAGCAGTCTTGGCAACAGGCTTTGTGGGACCTGTGGCTATATTGCTTGCAGTCGAGCACGGCTGGTGAAGCACATCCGGAAGCATACAGGTGAGAAACCTTTCACCTGTGCCCATTGCCCATTCAAGACAAGCCTGGAAGATACCTTAACCAAACACAACAGGCATCATGAAGGCAATGGTGCGGTGAAATGCAGATACTGTAGCTATAGTTCAGATATCATCAGGGTGGTCACAAACCATGAAAAACTGCACGAAGAACAGACCAATGACACTCAGCAATCAACTACGCCACTCAAGACTGAGCCCAGCTCCTCCAGTAGTGTGGAAGAGACGAAGGAAGCCAAGCCGGAAAACATGTACTCATGTCAGATGGACTACAATTGTGAACTGTGTAGTTACACTGCTCACTGCAAGAAGCGCATGGATGAACACATGTGTACCCACACAGGCTTTAAACCCTACGGCTGCGACATCTGTCCGTACAGGACGCCTTTGAAGGAAACTCTCCTGAGGCACAAAAAGCATCACACCGAGGACTTCCCCTTCAAGTGTAGGTTCTGTTCATACTCAGCAAAACGAGACTTTCATGCTAAAGAACACGAGAAAGTCCACAGCATGAAGCAGCCTAAATACAAGGTAATAATTACCCCCACAGGTAGCCGCACTCATTTAGCTGAAACTGTGAGGAAACGTTATGAGTGCCAAGAGTGTGATTACACTTCAGAAGACAAGAGCAGACTTGTCAAGCATCAGAGGACCCACACGGGGGAGAAGCCTTATTCCTGCAAGTTTTGCCCCTATAAAACAGGGTTGAATGAAAGCCTGTGGAAACACATGAAACACCACAATATTAAAGCTCCAATGCAATGTGAGAAGTGCAGTTACTCAACTACCACAATGCAGTCATTGATACTTCACAACAAGTTACATGATGAAGATGCCACCACAGAGGTTAGCCATGCTGTTTCAGATGATAGAGACCCCAGTGCCACAGACTTCCAGTGCAACATTTGTGGCTATATGACTCTCGAAAGGAGTAAACTCGACAAGCATCTTCAGTTGCACTCTTCAGAAAAGGCCTTCTCCTGCCCATCATGTCCCTACAGGTCTTCCTCAAAGGAAAATGTGAAGAGGCACCAGAAGCACCACAGGAGTAAGTTCCCGTTCCGCTGTAAATTCTGCTCGTACAGTGCCAACAATAGCTCAGTCGTGAGAACACACGAGAAGCTCCACCAGGGTCAGTCATATCCTTGCCACAAGAAAATGCCGTCAATCCACTTCCAGTGCTTGACGTGTGGGCTTCAACACGCCAGCCAATCAGACCTGGATGACCACAGGAGGGAAGATCATCCATCTGAAAAATGTTTCCAGTGTCCCGAGTGTCCTTTTGTAAGCCAGTGGGAAAAGGCACTCAAGAAGCATCGCTACAGTCATATTGCCAACTTCCCCAACAAGTGTAGGTTGTGCTCGTTCACCTCCCCAAAAAAGTATGTGATTAGGGCCCATGAGCAGACCCACAAAAATGCCCCACACCCAACGCTTATGGAAGAACAGAAGATGAAGAAGTTAACTGACCGAGAATGTCGAAAGATTTATACTTGTAGCCTGTGTCCATTCAGGGCAAGGCAGCAGAGGGAGTTTCAGCACCATCTGTCTGGTCATGATGCCGCGCACCCCTACAGGTGTCCACACTGCAGCTTCTCTGCCAAGGAAAAGAGGGGTCTGTCCAGCCACCTCCGTGTGCATGACAGGCAGAAACAGCGCATCCTGAAATGTGGTACTTGTGGCTTTTCAACTGCCATAGCCAGCCTGATGAAACTACATGAAGTCAAGCACAAGCTCCACCCCAAAGACGGAAGGATGCTGAGCTCCCTTCGGATGACAGACAAGCAGAAGAGGCTTCATTACTGCGAACACTGCAGTTTCAGCACGCATCACCACAGGGCGTATAAAATCCATCTCATGCACCATGGAGCCAAACTGCCCTTCAAGTGCACCCATTGCACTTTTGCGTGCCAACTCCAGCGCCATCTGACCAGACACATCAACAACCAGCACAGAAGTAACGAAGAGGATGTGGTACTTGGGCCACTCAATAGACCAAAATATAAGGCCTCTGACAAAACATCAACGACAAAGGCAGACAGGACTTACCAACACAAAGAGCCATCTAGTGTGCTGTACAAGTGTCCGAGCTGCAAATTTTCCACCAAGAAGAAGTACCTGTGGCTAATCCACAAGGGAAGACACTCGGAAGATAAGATATTCCGCTGTGATGAGTGTGACTTCACCACCAAGTGTGCTGGATCAATTCTACCTCATATTCAGTGGAGACATATGGGCCAGTGGCCACGGTACCTTCAATGTAAGGAGTGCCCATATGAGACCTCTGACACCAGGTGCCTGAATAATCACATGAAACACCACACAGAGAACTATGCTATAAAGTGTACCAGGTGTTCGTATTCTACTGACTTGCAGCACCTTTTGGAGAAGCACTTCAAAGTCCACAGTGCCAAGCACAAGTCCAAAGTACCTCGTGCGAGTCAGCGTGGGTTCACGACTCACGCAGAGTCACTTCCGCAGTCAGAACTGTACGGGGAGGAAGAATCCATGGATTCCAGAAGTACAGATCCTGCTACAGACGACGTGGCAGTCAGCGGTCGTCCCCAGAAAATTGCCCCGCGACAGTGTAACTTCTGCGGTCGTAGGTTCTTCAGGAAGGCAGAATGGAAGCGTCATACCAAGAGGCACAAACAGGCTCCGACCGGTCCGCAGGCTCATGTAGTTGCCCACGGTGACCCAGTGACAGGCATGCTGGTGTACACCTTTGTGTGCTGGTTCTGTGGGCGGAGGTTTAACGGCCAGGAGGAGTGGTACAGGCACATGCAGCATCACAGGTTCTGAAGACAATACTGATGAATAGCCCTGCTGCCTTACCCTGCAAACAATACAAATCACATAACAAAAGCTTAGCTTAACAGAACAGCTGTTAAACAGGAAGTTAGAGTAATTAGGACTACTTTTTAATTTTTTGCTACAAAACCATGCAGACTTGGATACCAAATTAAGAGAGGTGCATACAACTACTGTACTGTGAAAGAGACTGTGCTGCTCATGTCATATACATGTACTTGACTACAGTAAGGATGTCTAGTGCCCAGAATTCTACATTCTTGTAGCTGTAAGTATATAAGTACTGTTTGGAAGATTTGGAAGATGTAACTTGTCAAGCATGACTGTGCAATCTACATCTACATGATACGGGACAAAGTGCCTCACGGCACATCACGTCCCGGCAATCTGTATCATGACTCCCAGTTATGTCATAGAAACTGATCACTGTCCAGAGAGGTGTATGTACACCTTTAAGGGTACAAGGAAAATTGTGTTACAAGGAAATTTTGTTACGGAGGATCATGTTGTAGTTTGAATGATCATGGCAAACATATTGATTGATTAAGATGTCCATTCTTTTAAGTCAATGATGAATTACATCATCTTTAATGTATACCTCTTTAACTGACCACTAACTATTCTGTATTCAGAAGCAGTAGCAGAGTACTGAAGGCTAACATATTTCTTTTGTGGACAGATTGAATTCTCTGTTTGTACTGTTACTTATTTTTGTGGTGCCGGTAGAAAAGGAATCGATGTACGAAGACTTCTTCATATGCTGAATAGGGGTGCCTCCAGGTTTTGGACATCTCTCGCCCCAGTCCCCTAAACATAATGTAGTGGGGGAGAAGAGTGACAGGCCATTTAGTAATTTCCTGAGAACAGAGAGATGGTAGTGCTCGAAATCTAGTCGTTATTTTCATTGTCTTTAATTTAATGATGGACATATTTCTATATTTTGTTTTATTGTTCGATGATGATGAAGAAAGATGATAAAGGTACTTGAAATTCACTATGGCATACTTGGCATCTCAGGATAAAGAGCTGCACTGAAAAGATGCAATTTGTATACTCACCAGTTCTTGTGTAAGTTGAATTCCCAAGAATTGCTGTTAAGTGCCCACAGTTAAGGTAAGAAGATCTGTTTGTATATTGTGGCAATTTATAGATGTTACATAGGGTCCCAACTTATTATCAAATGTCTTTTGAATTTTTTTGTTTTGAGTTTACCAATGGATGGAAATGATGGGTTCAGGCCTATAGTTGACTGTCTAGTCAACATTTCATGACATACCGGTACTCAATGACATACTACCAGAAAGAAAATTTTGTGTTATGTTTTCTAGCCCCAAAAAAGAATTCACATGCACAATGTTTTACAAATAGAATTCTACAGCAATGAAATTACAGTTGTTCCTTATAGCCTGTAGACTGTTGAAGCACTGTGTTCTTATTGACAGTAATATACACTCTGCCATAGAAACATTACCAACACTAGAACCAGTTTTCAAATCTTAACGATATCTGATATAATCAAATGTTATAGACCTTTAATGACAACATTTTGAAGGAAGTTGTCCACCTCATTGTCCCAAAGCCATCTTACATGATCGCTGTTAACGAAGTCTGTGGATTTAGAAAAAAGATTCTGAAGAAACAACTGTTTCATTTCTGTATATCAGTTTTTATTTAATTTACTCCAGGATTCCATTGCTGTGACAAACTTATATCTCAGCATTTTCCTCTCTAAAAGAAATCTGTTGTTTTTCAAGCTTTATACAATGTACTACTAATGTTACCAAAGTCTTGAATGTTGTAACAGAAAGGTCTCAGTGATTAGCAAAATTTACATTTGTATCTGTACTTTACACTTATGTTACAGTAGCTGAAGTGTCAAATGTGCACAGGTACTGACATTATGTTACTATAAAGCATAGCAACATGGGAGTAGAAATGGTACATGAAAGCTTGCAATGATCCAAACCGTGTTGATGGAATTGTACCTTTCCTGGAAATCCCAGATTATTTTATGGCACAGATAGTGAACAGATACTACTAGTATTTCGTACCATCTTGATTTTAGAATTTACTTGTGTAGGAAAAAAGTGGATTTCTTGATTTCGCCTGACCTAGCCACTTTGTGTAGAAAATAACGTTAGGTATTAACAGATGTTCTCAGGAGTTATACTTTTGAACCAGACCAAATAAAATGCAAGGAAGCACACATTGTAAGAACTGCCTTTCTGCCTCCATGAGAAATGGAGGTATTGTTTTTGGTCTTGCATTCAGTTTCGTCATGGCTCTTGAGAGATGAGTTGTCCGCGCAGTTGTATGATTTCACCCTGTATAGTATTGAAAGTTTTGCATTTTGCTTACGCGGCAATTATTATGGTAATGACGCAGTCACATGTCCACATTCGCCGTAGGTCGTATGATTTTGATGCCGTGAAATTTTCAAGCATGCTATGACAGAACTTTAACTAACCACCGAAAAGGACCTTAGGCAGCCTTTTATGAGAACAAAACAACAGATAACCTTTATGGTACATTCATACCCTATCGGGGTACGTACAGGTAAACAGATGCAAAGGTATAGACATATTTGTAGTACAAACAGGACTACTGATACTAATCTAACAAACACATGCACGACTAACCTAAGGACGCCCTCAGTTTGCAGTACGACGATCGTATGGCGTAAATTTGACACCGGGCCCTAACTTTAATTGTCGTACTGGCGAAAACAGCAGTGAGTCAGCAAACTGGTACCACATCAACACAGGATAAGTGCCATGATGGTTTCAATGATCCGTACAGAAATTGCAGTGCCGTTCCGGTGGAATGACATCATCACAACTAATACTTATTTCAACGAACACCGTTGTTCTTGCATATCCATTGAGCATATTTTTGTACGTCTAACCTTTTGCCTGTTCGTCAGAACTGACCGTCACAAAACGTTATTCTGACCTTGTCTGAAAATAGGGCCGGGATTGAAGACACACTATGCATGATAATTCTTGCTCTCTTTAGTTTATGGTTATTCAATGACCCTATTTTCTACGTGATGATTACAATAATGATCCCTGATAGCCTTAATAAGCTTGTTCAAACCATCGCAAGTATTTATTTCGTGGCATGATGGATTGAAATATCAAGCGGATGTCGAGCATAATTTCACGTCTAATTTCCGTTGAATTGGTCCATAAACCCTTAAATACGCCCAGGCTGACGAGGACGCCCATACCGCCGTGTTTCTCGTCTACAGTTCCTGTTGCTGCAAGTTCTGTTTTTCGACCGAAATCTGTGAGTATCAGCTGCGTTCCTAATACTAGTACGTCTCCCTTGTACTGCGTGTAAACAGCATCCATACAGCTTAGCTTAGATCGTTTCTTCGTCATCAGTTTTGGACGACGTTTTGGGCAGTACATGTACTTTCTATTCAATCCAACACAAGTTGAGGGCTCATCTTTTCCTTTGAACCCTCTGGTTAAAAATGGACACCAACTTCTGACTCTGAGAAAATTCCTGGCACTGCTGACTTTTCAAGAAACCATTTGAATGTTTTGAAAATGTTTTGTCTGGTCTCCTGTTTTGTCTGCTCTCCTAGCTTGTGTGGACGCCATGGAACTTCGACTGTTCGTAACCGCCTTTCTGTTGGTGCTGGTCGCCTTTCACGTATGTGCAGAGGATGAGAAGAAAGAGGTCAGATCTGTTGACATCTCATGCCGCAGCTATCACAACTGTACTTTCCTTGTTGATACCATATGACATTCATGGTCACCTCACTCAGTAACTTGCCTGGCTCATTCTGCCATGAGAGGAGATTTAAACGATGTATCTACATGGATTGTTGCTTGCTGGAAATGTCTACTTGAGCATACCGTACCTAAAGATGGCATGAAATAAATAATACATTGTGAGCTACTCATCAAACAAATACAAACCCATTAAGTATGAATTTGAGACCATGAGGCTGTAGTCAAGGAGGTTTAAAATCTTGTATTTAACCTTCTTGGTGTAGGGAATAAAAACTTGCATGTTCTTGTGCCTGTTAGTTACCCTGTCTTGTTTGGTTTAGGTGGAACGGGAAGTAGAAAAGAGAATGGACGCCGGCTGGATGGGGAAGAGGTTCGACGCTAGCGCCTTCGGGAAACGTCTGCTAGACAGAGGAGGGAAACGTCAGGATGAGCTCGGTTGGCTGGGGAAGAGGTTCGACGCAAGCGCCTTCGGGAAAAGACAGGATAAACGTCAGGATGAGCTCGGTTGGCTGGGGAAGAGAATGTCCGACCCGAGCGCCTTCGGCAAACGGCTGCTGGACAGAGGAGGGAAGCGAATGGACGCCGGCTGGATGGGGAAGCGTGACGGTACGTTCCTACTTCATCATTTACGAAGGACCAAATGTACAACACGGGGTGTCGCGCAGCTATAGTGTGTATGTGTGGGTGTGGGTGTACTTTTGTTCTTCCATAATTATTAGACCGTCGTTGTGCTCTAGCACTACACCTTCCTTATAGGGGTTATCGATAGTAACATTCGGCAAAAATAGGATCAGGGGGGAGTGAGTCGCGGTAACATTTCTCCTGTGAAGGAAGCTGGTCGCTAAACTCCATTTGCCAATAATTCTCCCTATTCGGGTTCTTTCTTTTTAATCAACCCGAGTTGTTATTCTGGTCGAGACTACGTTATCTCAGCAATTTTTGTGCAACTTTGCTTTCGTTTCTTGCCCCTACTATACAGATACGAAGAAGAACTTTATTAATTGCACACCAATTGTACAAAGTACAAAATCTAAATGTGAACTGCCGCCATTTTACTTGCTTTGCATTTTACACATGAACACAATGATCTCATTGCCAGCTAAATCATTTATACATTTGGCTTCCACACATTCAAGCAGTCGATCATGTATACGATCACGGTATTTAATAGCTATATTTGGCCATCCATCTGTGCTTTCGTCCATCCGTCCATCCATCCGTCCATCCAACCAACCTGCCAACCTTCTCTCCATTTGTATCTGGCTCTATGCTGAGGATTCTAGATAGCAAAATTACAAATCTACGGTAGAGAAACTGATATCCGTGTCTTAGATATTGTTTCACGTATCAAATTTGTATTTTAATGGCTTTATTTGGCCTTGCATGCGCAGACCCCCGCACGTCGTGCCGGACCCAGTACGACCCGACCACCGGCAGGTGGAAATATGTGTGTCCGTGAGTTGTCTTCGGAGAACCCCACATTGTCGTTATTCTGACGAGGTGGGTCAGGAAATCTTCTACTTATTACCTCCTCATCCCGCTTGGTCATGTATTTCATAGCTAGCCTGTTCGCATTTAAACTTTTTTTTTTACTTTAACGCTGCTATGTCACAGGTCTTCATGAAATCGCTGGAATACGTTAGCAGAAAGAACATGTTTGCAGTAGCTTAAGTCAATGCCCCCGGGAACTCCTATGACTATTTAGTCGGGCATATACAGTATGTCTAAGGCAAGTCAGTATACGCAAGTTCTTTGATCGCCTTGTTTCCTGTATCGAAAAATATTTTGTTGGGGAACTTTTGCTTGTAAACTAAAAAAAAAAAGAAGAAGAAAAACTCAATGAGGTCTCTACGTTGTCAGAAGCATGGACCTGTAACCAATTTATAGATACCTCTTGGTTTTCTGGCAGGTATAATATTAGACGACCTGTTCCTAGCCCATGCATCCATTCATCCCTACAACCTCTCCCTTCTTCCCTTTCCATTCATTCATTCATTCGTCCATTCGCTCTTTACATATGTAATAATTGAGAGAAAGAGAAGAACATGAACCTAGATTTAACATATATATACATGTACATACACCTATGTAAAACTGGCCGGTTATAGACGTCAACTGAAACATTGCCGTCATGTTACCTTACAGACAACCGGAGGGGCGAGGAAGAAGAGCTGCAGAAGGAAATGGACGCGTTTTTCCGCCGCTTCGGGGGCCGGGATCGTTAACTCCTCACGCGGGCAGCACGTCATAGACACGGCAGGGTGGGGGTACCGGGGTATCATGTATTAGTTAATATTTCTCTCTAAGCAGAGGTTGATGGGGGAAGATCGTTACTAATATCACCCGGGTTGTTTTTTGTCGCTACCCCCACCAACAAGCATGAACCCTCTCTGGCCAATGGATACTGCCTGGCCAATTTGATAGTGGTCTTTTTGCCATCCTAGGATCTGCTTGGAGATTCATTCCTTATCACTAGTTGGAATAGATTTCACCCGGCTGTCTTTAATACAGTGTACAATGGATTAAGATGTTGGTTACATTTTGTAACTTCCAAGATTGGTTAACCAGCAGTTGCATGTGAAACTTACATGATATGTATAAGGTCTAACAGTAGGGTAATATTTATTCCATTTGTCTGTAAAAGTACCGAAGTATTATCGTAAGTACCGATATATTATCACATTAACTTCAATGCATGAGGGATGTCTGTACGACACAGCCTGTGTAATGTACAACTTATGACGTTTTCTGAGTGAAAGTGGACGTGGCATCGGCATGTGCAGGTCAATGATGTGCCGAAGGAGTCACTAGAAATAAACACAATCCATTGAAAGTGCTATTTTATTCTGTCTGTGGACGTGGGCGTTGAGTATGGATGGTCAACGGTAGCGTGGTAAAGCATGATTACCGCTTAATAGATTAAGCGCCTATATTACTGCTACTTAGGCCAAACAACAACCGTCACTGTAAGCAGAACATCATTGTGCGCTATCGATATCCGGGGGAAGTTCGGGGCCCGCGTCCCAAAGTGTCAACATTATTTATATTAAATACTAAACAACAACGAAAAAAATTAGTACCAACAGAATGGACATCAGGAAAATATAGTCAAGACGATGGATTCGACAATGTCCTTGATTCGACTCATTACCTTGTGGGCTTCAGCTAAGTTAGGACCCCCCCCCACCTTCTTGCATACACGTTCTAGCTAGGCGCCAATGTTTGAAATGATCGAATAAACATACCGTTGAGATCGACGTTCTTATATTCCGTTCTACCCACGATAGAATCAAACAGTTAGTGAATAATCACAAGAGACACAAGTTACACGATCCACGAGGGGTTTTATTCATGAAAGCTACTTCACTACACAATCAGCTGTAAAAAAAAAAAGATCACATCGACAAATCAGTGATTTACATTTTAAAATTCATTTCAAAATTCAGTTCATTTGAGAGATCCCGTAGCACACCACGTGGTCATGTAGTCTACCCATTCACTACGACATTTATATATACAGATCACGCCGCATTGTCATATACTGGTAGCCGAGGGTGGTGTCATCGCTGCACTACGCCTGGCGGCTTCAGATTGACGCTGCGGGACTTCACTTCTTGCGGCGTTGGCTCCTGCTCCTCCTGCGCCTCTTCCCTCCCTTCTTGGCCTTCTTTGCAGGTTTCTTGGACTTGGATCGGGAGCGGGACTTCCTCCTCTTCCCTCCCTTCTTGGCGGCCTTAGGAAAGACAAAAAATATTCAGTAAGATTCTAGGAACCTTTACCCTTAGACCGTTGAACGAAGAATAGCAGTGTTGGAAAGAGAATGCTCAGAACAACAAGAATTCGCACACGTTCGAAATCCGTTGTGTTCTTACCTTGCGGCTACGGCTGCGGCTGCGGGACTTCTTCCCCTTGCGGCTCGCCTTGCGGCTCCTCTTGCGCTTCTTGGGTGCCTACAAAAGATACATGGTCAGTATGCGTCAAGATCTAACACAACAATACTCTGAAAACACGAGTAGATATAAAAAAAATAACTAGCGGTCGTAGAATCATTAGTGCGTCGGTGATTTGAAAAAAAAGTCACAATCAACCTGCAAAACTAAAATCACTTAAATACGTTTTAAATGCTAAAAAGTGTCTAGTAAACAAAGCGGGAGGGAGACTGACCGGTGATGCGGCGGCAGCGGCGGCGGCGGCGGCAGGGGCGGCAGCTGCGGCCTTCTTTGCGCGGCTTCGGCTGCGTCCACGGCTCTTGGAGCCTGAAAAATGAAAAAGACGAGGAAATGAGACACAAAATGTAGCTTGATTCAACGCATTCTACACAAAATTTAACGTATTTTCAAACTTGTTTACGTTCGGGCATAGTGCAGAATTTATCCGTTAGAGGGCGTTCGAAACGTTCTTTACCGTTTCGGATACGTTCCAAAGACGTCAAAAAGAATGTTTGGGTTTTTTCTATCCGTAACGATTACGTTCGAATGCCAGTTTTACCGTTTTGTGAACGAAGAAGCCATAACAACAAAATTTTAAAATGTACACTTACTAAAAACAAATTCTTTAACGGCTATTTTTTTTTCAAATTTAAGTTAACAAAGTCTTGGAAAGGCGAGTGAATTTAATCACATTGAAGTTACCAGTAAGACGAGTTACCGAGACTTTGTAAAAAAAACAAGTTGCATAAACTCTGTTTGCTCTAATGTGGGAAAGTTATGATCGACTAGAAGAGAATCATATACTTTTACAAGAGAACGAATAAATCTCACTTACATGTACTTTCTACTTTGTACAATGGTGCAGAGATCGGGAATTTGTATCGCTAACGTTACTGGGTTACCCACAAATTCAAAATCAAAAAAAAAAAAGAGTAGAAATTCTTAAAAATTACGAAGGAAGAAAAAAATCTTCAACTCACGTGGCTTCTTGGAGGCACTGCGGCTACGTGAGCGCGGCATGTTGATTCTTCACCGATGAAAGTCTCAAAAGTAGACAAAGATGCTTCAAGACGGGAGAGAAGAGGTTGCACGTCCGCTTCTGGTGAGAACCTGAGATGAAGTGACACAAACGGTTGAAGGAATCGGTTCGAGAACGCGCTCGGAGATTCGGTGCATTGTTGGGAACGTTTTGTTCCTGTTGTCCCGGCAACCGAACGGGATATGGAACGGAAGTTGCTACAACAATCACCATGACAACAATCGAACGTGACAACAGAAAACAATCACATCTACATGATGTGATGATCTAAATGATGATTGATGCCGGCCCTCACATATATTGTCGTAAACGCAAGGAAGTCGGACGAAGCAGCCTGGAGTCATATAATATGTACAACATTAACTTCTCAGTGACTTACACTATACCACTTGTTCTTACGAGTTACTAGTATATCATCAGCCAACTCCACCCCAGGCAACATGAAGCCTTCTCCGAGTAACGCTATACTGAGACTCACCACACATACATATTTCTTCCCATTTTCGGTATTTTCTTATCATGTGTAACCATTGCTGTAGGAGAACTTTTTTTCGGAATCTGGCGAAAGTCAACACGTACGTGGATGCCATCCATAAAATTGACATGCGGTGGCCCAACATGCACCAACGTTACATAGTTCTGCAACCTCTGACCCGGTTTGTGATTGGACAGTGAGCGCGCGAAACAGACCCGGAAGTGATCTCCAGCCTGGGTACCATTTGTTACGACTGTCTAAATTACATAAACTAGACAAGACGATGGCGACGTCAGGGGACGACACTGGGCGCTGCACGCCCCAGGGAGTGAGCTACAGCACCTTGCCTCACATGGTGAACGCAGACGGACGGTACCTGTACTGTAAGACATGGGAACCGACGTCAGGGGACAAACCAAGGTCTGTTAGAGTGGGGAGGGGGGCAGCAACCAACTTGCACTACTTGCACTACTATACTAGTTACCTTCACCAGAAGGTTAAGCGATCGTTTTGCGTGTGGTGGGGGCGACTGTAGATCTACAATGTATGCGTCATAACTCTAGAAGTCATTGTTGGATGCTCATGATTTTTTGCTGGCAGGTTACAGGCCTATAAAAAGCGGCTTCTTGTCTGCCAAAAGCAGGCTTCAGGCATAATGATACTATTACTAGTAGTAGCAGTGGTGATTAAGGAAGCATAGTTATGTGTATATTCTGTATGAGCTGTTTCCTAAGAAGCATTATCTACAGCATATAACATGTAAATGCAGCTTCCTTAGTCGGCACGGCTACAGGCATACACGTAGCTGCACAGCCTATAATATTTCTGTCACTACTGTACCAAAGCACTTGTATAGTACGGATTGAATTATGTTTAACAGTTGGATTGAATTGATTTTTCCATCAGAGCTCTGCTAATGATAGCTCATGGTTTGGATGAACACATTGGCTGGTATGATGACTTTGCACAATTTCTGACTGGCCACAACTTCCTGGTCTTCTCCCACGACCACAGTGAGTATACATTGTCTTGTGACATGATGTTATTTGCCCCATTTTGGATTACAGTCTATGTGTATTAAACAGGCCAACATGCTGCTACTGTAATACACTTTAATACCAAACAAAATGGTTACTGGGTATTCAAATTATGACTATTATGATTATTTTTACCCACTGCTGCTTCTGTGAAAAACTGTGTAAAAGTTTTTATTTGTACAGACTCAGTTGACAAGGTTTTTTTTTCTTCTCAGAAATGAAGATTGTCACTCATCATCAAGTCTTGTTTGTTTCCTAGTTGGCCATGGCCAGAGTGAAGGAGAGAGGGCAGATGTGAAGGACTTCAATGTTCTGGTTCGAGACACCCTGCAACATGTAGATATGATTGTGGAAAAGTATCCTGACACACCTGTTTATATTTTAGGGTATTCTATGGTAAGTACATGTGAGCATAAATTTTTACCTCATTGAAGTTGTTTGGTCTATGCAGAATATTGTTTGAATATGTGATGAGATCCCTAGCCTGCTGAACCCAAGGGTAGTCAGTCAGTGTCTGCATGAAGTATGCAGCCATCATGAATGTAACGTTACATGTATGTACAATTAGTTGCTCAGATTTAAGTTTTGTGTAGGCAGCTAGCAAGTTCATGATCTTCTTTTTGGCCATTTCCTAACAGAATACTTATAATAACTTGAAATAACATTGGAAAAAGAAAGAACTGAGAAAACTTACTGAGAATACTGCTGAGCTTAATTTCCTCTCTTGCTAAAGTACATATAACAGTTAGCTGTTTGGCGCCAAATGTGTATTGCTTACAGGGTTAGGCAGTAGAAGTTTGGAAGATGTGTCAATTGTCTCTATATCTGTAGGAAGTTACCATGATGTAAATAAAAACTTGAATTTCTAAGGGACATGTTATTAATAGTTTTCCATGAAATTTGACCAATGACAGTGATTGGGCTGTTTTTTTCCCTAGGGAGGCCCTGTGTCCATACTAGCGGCATGTGAGCGCCCACAGCAGTTTGCAGGGGTCCTGCTTATTGGTCCAGCCATCAAGCCTCATCCTGGGGAGGCTCCAGGATGGAAGGTACACATGTAGGAAGAGGAGCTCACGAGATCTAATAGTAATAGTAGAGGCCTTTAATGCAAAATTTAATTCAAAATGATAACTAATTGCCACAACTAGATCATAAATCATAACCTTTTTCAGGCTTCCCTGTTGTTTTACCACACAATCATGGTTGCTTGGAGGATGAGCTTTCATACTCTTTTTAAGTCCTTCAGCCAGGTAGAGGTAATGAACAAGAGAAAGAAATGTAACCCTATGAGTATGACCCTGCCCCCTAACGGACTGTGTGACATGAATTGTTCCTGTTGTTGCCAGGTGTTCTTGTTAAAACTGGTTGTTCCTGTTGTCCCCTGGCTGTCACTCACCTCTGGTGACAGGGCAGATCTGGTGGGGAAGGATGAAGTGACGGTGAGTGGGAATTCTAGATATTTCCAACATCCTTGTCAGGCACTTGCTTTTTCAGTCTGGGATCCCCTCCTACTGTCATTTTCAAATTGTTTTGAAATATTAATTTCTGGAATATTTTTGGAATATTTCATTTACTTTGAAGCAGATATCAAACACGACAGGGTCTAAGGTAGTCTGTATAATGCAAACTCTGCCGTCCACGGCTTTACTGGCCCCTCCCCGTGGGGGCCGGCTGGATGTTGGGCGGCCGGCAACCATAAAACGATTTAATCAGGCTAGGTATAAGGACTTTTAAAAATGTTTTTGAAGGACAGCAACAAAAGTATTGCATCTTTTATTAGTCTGTATAGGCTAGAAAATTAATGATGGAATTGTGTTTGTATTGTTCAAATCTTGTTCACAGAATCAGAAGATACAAGACGACCCTCTCTGTTTCCATGGCGGGCTCAAACTGCGAACTGCTGCACAGATTCTTACAGGTACTGGGTGTGTGGGGTGTGTCTCGAAATCTGTTTTTTCTAGACTGCTAAAGGGTTACTTTTTGTTAAGGATAACTGTCTGGAACAAACACTTTTTTAAAGGAAGTTGATGCCGAGAATACTAAGGGGTCAAGTTTTTGTACGTCTCCAGGCATGCAGAAGGTTCAGTCCAAGATGGACGACATTGAGTGGCCGTTTCTTGTGATGTATGGTGAAGACGATGAGGTTGTGAATAGTGAAGGGTCCAAGATGCTGTATGAGAAGGCAAGGAGTGCAGACAAGACGATAAAGGTACACTTCTTCCAGTTACATGACTGTTGAACAAGTCCGTATTCGTAATTTAACAAGTTAAAAGCATAAAGTCGGTGTGTCTGGTATGTCACAGGTGCGCCTAGTTATGAAAGAGTAGCTTTTACAACAAAAATGTTGGTGCAAATGTGTACATTCAGTTGGTTAATACTTAAAAATGATAATAGTAAGTTCTCTGTCTTTTTACCAGACCTATCCGAACTGTCGCCATGGTCTTCTGAAGGAGACAAAAGAAGATGCAGACAAAGTGAAACAGGACATCTTGGAATGGCTGCTGGCCAGGACAGAACCATCATAGTGTATGTAGGATGCCAGAAGCCCTTGAGTCCATGTAATGTGAATTTAGCATCTCCCATTTGAAGCAGTTCACTTTTCTTGAAGATCAACAAAACTTGGAAATGAACTACTTGAACATATCTGAAGCCCTTCACACTTTCAGACCTCCCCACGACTTTGCTGCCAACCAAGGTCCACCCTGGGTTGGAAGTAGCCTGGAATCCAAGTTCATTCCTCTGATCGTATCCAACCAGAATGACTTACGATTTCTGATTTTTCAAAATTTAGTTGGCATGTGAGATAAGTAGGCAACCTCACTGACCAACTCCAATGTTACCCAACTACAGATGACCTTGCTCACGACTTTCAACCATGGTCTGGAGAATGTCTGGATGCCATAGTCGGCTATGTGTGACATGGGCTCAAGATAAAATCACACATCAGCAAACTGCTACAAGGCCTTGTTCTTGACTGTAAATTTTGTACTTGAGAATATCATCTCAACAAGACAATGATGAAGCTGCAGGGTTCTGTTTCTATACTTTTAAAATACATTAATGTAACAACATAGCAGTGTTATGCTGCAATTAACAGGCTAAAGGAATAAAAAAGACAGGCTATCTAGTCTTCATCTTTTTTATTCCTAAAGCCTGTTAATTGCAGCATAACACTGCTATAAAAATCATTTAATAAAAAAAGACAGGCTATCTAGTCTTCATCTTTTTATTTATTACGTCTCAAAACAAGCTTGGTGACATCTGGGAAAACACAAAGTGGTAGGAACAACTTCTACATTTACAGATTTGAGATATGCTTATGTACATGCCTCTGTATACTGATGAAATAGACCACACCTACCTGTAGGTTACTGTGCTGTTTGCATGCTTGTTTCTTTTTTCTTCTTAACAGTCAAAATCTGCCCACAAGTCACGTGATCCTCAAAATTATAGGTACACATAGATACAGGACTAATATAATCATAGTGTGGTCATTTGCATATACATATCGGTATATATTACATCTTCATTTAAGTTGCTGGACCCTTTGTAGTTGTCCTATAAATTCCCCTGCAGAGGTGTACACAAGAAAGGTTGTACAAGTTATATGGCACACTTTGTAACAGCAAAAAGGCATACAGTGTAGCATTCCCAACTTTTGTGAGTTAAGAAGCGAAGGCCTTTGACCTTTTCAACCTTAAAACAGATGACCTTCCTTTCTATGGAACAGATTATGGCCAAGGATTCCGTGTACCCAAAATCCTTTGGTTTGTTCCACCGACTTCTTGTTTAACCAGTGAGCTTTTTGCCATCACAAGTTTGGGGAGCCAACTGTACTAGCCTTCCTTACAGAAAAAATGACACGTCGATAAGAACAAAACCAAACTAGGTCAGACTTTGAATGCCATGAAACATCCTATGTATATCTCTGAACATCTACAGGCAAGCAGAGTATTATGCTGGTTGCATACAAGCATCTACATATACCTTGAACATGCTATTTAATACCTGTGGCCTAAAAACAGATTAACCTGTCTGAAATACTTGATTATTATTATACTGACTCATTAACTGTTCACACCTAGAGAAAATACATCATTTTGATGGGGTTTCATCACATTTCATCCTGAGTTAAATCAGTAGATATTTTTTTTCCAATTTATTTATGACCTTCTATTCTCAGAAGCATGCACTCTAGAAAAGACATGTAGATGAATTAAACAACTACAACCATCTTTTCCTACATCTATATTCACCAGGAAATACAGGTATGGCAGCTACCCTCTCATCACACTAAAGCATCATGATCATCCAAAATTCATGTAAAAATTTGCCGCAGTTGTTGAGAATTCTCCAGTCAATATTTTCCAATTCCTTCACTAGTTTCTGTAGCGTCATGTAGACGCTGCAACAGTCAGTGTGGTGAAGTTCAAGTTTTGACCATACTTGTAATTATGTAACACTGTTTGGTCATGGCATGTTTCCATATAATCACAGCTACTCCAGATATCATGATCGTAACAGCAGTAATAAGTACATTTCTCTGCCAAGCACTAACATCACGTCTAGTATTGTCACCTCTGTTCTTAGTAAAACTTTACAAAGAGTCCCTGGAAAACATACATTTCTGTTTGGCCAGCTTTGCAAGAATTCTGCTAAGGAGTTTCCAGTCAGTGTAATGCATCTTTGGGGAATTGACCATTACACAGTGTGTAAAATGAACACCAGTTATTAGAGCATTACCAGTACGGCGCAGTCACATTAGTCATAGGTCTTCGTACGATCTTGATGCCGTAGAATTTTCCAGCAGATAAGGATCTAAGACAGCCTTTTCTGTCAAATGAATTTTGTATGATACATGCAAGACAACTCAAGAATGGTCTTAGTTTGTGATTATACAACAATCTGACACAATCATAAACAACAAATGTGACAGGGCCCTAACACCCCCAGCTAACCATACACCACAATGTCAACAATACATGTAGGCATGAGTTAGCAAGGAGAAAGTCAAGTTTTTCACAGTTAGGTAAGATAAGTTTCTGTTGTTTTCCCCTACACACTGACCTACATGTATCATACCAGAACACTTGGAACCTTCCAGCTGAAGCATCCTTTTGGCACCAAAGCAGTATTAGTTATGGGGTTTAGGCAGCTGGTAGAATGTTTTATCACTTGACAATAATCCTAAATCAAATTTTCCAGGTAATTATAGATTTGTACATTTGCATACTGTATAAGCAGCAGTTACAAAAACTGGAATTTTGGCCACAAAGTTTTTCAATGCAAAAGGCCATTCCTTTTGCCGGTAATGGTACTAAAAGTCCATAAATGTCTCGAAAATGACAGTAGAAGAATGACTGCCACAAAGCTGAATGTTTTCTAATGCTCCCTAATGATAGTTTCAGCATATATACGTTGTACATTAATCAGTAGAAAGCAACTATTTCTGTTAGAATCTGAATACTTCCTCAGTAAAATGCCATAAAGCATGGCACTCAATGAAAGGGTGGAGATAAAACAGCCTTTGTCCCCACTGCTAACTACACGTACAGTAGCTAACGTTTCCATCCATCAACGTTCCTAAATCTGGGCACATCTGACCACATCCATAAAATCTGACAACTTGCCAGTATATCCTACGGTGATGACTGCTGCTAGGTAATCTTTGCATCATTTATCATGAAAAACAAAAGCTTAGAATGCCTTTTAAGTAGAGGGATACTTTATCAAGTATTAGTGCTTCATTTCCCTTTAATGTGAACATATCTATATGCCAAAAGATGTCCATATATAGTGAATTTGTTATGAAAAGTTTCATTCAGATGTAGCTTAACAAACTGATCTTATTTCAATGCTGGTCAAATGAAATCTTGACAAGATCCCTTGTGCAGACTTTTTTGTATGCTTGCTAGCTAGTTTCAATGTGTGCAGGACCTCAAGACTAATTTGATGCTATCTGTATTCAGCTTTAATGGAAAGAAAAAAATAAATAAATAAAGATGCTGAGGAAATTACAATATGGCTTGCAATAGCACCTCACTCCACATGTCAGACAAGCTCTAATGCACAAGTTAATAATCAGATAATGGCTTGACATAAACCCCAGAACAGAATCTTGTGGCACATCCATAACGTTATTGATGAGAAAGGGAACAGACGCTTTGAAGACAAGCGGGCTACATGTACTATTAACACTCTGGGCTGGCGAATCATATTTAAGGTTGTGTTGTAGGATGTGTTATTTCAAGTAAAAGCTTTCTGCAGCTAGATCCTGCTATAATTGTACAATAGAGTTTGGAAAGGGACATTGTAGAGGAATGAATATCAATCCAGTAGAGAACAAATCTGAACTGTTTTGACATGGCAAAACCTACTTCCTATGTTTCCTAACTTTCTGTTCAATTTGTTGATTCACCTGGCAGTGACTCAGTTGAAAAAGATCACACATTAAACAGTCAAGAAAGACTGTAAAGGTTGTAAAGGTTACAATTTTTGCGAGGAACAAAACCTGTAGCCATCTGCCACACAGGAATTCATTGCCAGGTGCATGCTCTGTTTAAAACTGACATTAGCTAAGAGAAAGAAAATCATCTGTAAACATTGCCGCAGAGCTACCAATCATTAATTTTCTAACAACTGTGAGAAAGAATACAGCATTCTCTACTGTATGCATGTGATACTAGTAAATCAAAAAGAATTTGGTCCCCGGATTACAACTTTACTACCTGAATTTATAGAGCACCACCATTAGATCAAGAAGAAATCCGTACTTTGTTCTAAATGTACAGGAATCATATTTTGAGCAGTCATATTTCTGTTTGGTCTCTAACAATCTTATTGGCACAATTCACAATCATAATGCTATAGAAACCCTTGATTCTGCCAGGTGCTATTCTAATTCTATGGTCCACATGGCTATGAGGAAATTAATAACGAATTAATCACCACTCCTCTTGCTTCTCCACCCCTTATTACAATATTTTGGTCATATCTGACCAAAATTCATTTCTCAAAATTTGAATGGAAATTGCTTGGCTTTGGCTTAATGTTAACATGGACATATACTGACATATACCGGTACATTCAGGATGTGATAAAAAAGAAGAAAAAAAAATCTGGGGATGTCCCTCTCCTTTACAAACATGCACTAAGTCTTCAACTTAACATGACATATCTAGTCTTGTCTAATATATTAATTACTGACAAGCCTCACTCTAAGGATAATGCTGATGTTTTTTGAAGCAACAGTAAATGTGATTCTAGACTAGTGCACAGGTCACATCCACTTTTTCTTGTTTCTGAATCCACCATACCTAACCACGGATTAGTTAGTCGACTTTACATTTTGTCCTAATCCACTGCAAAACAAGAGCACAATCACTTGGAAACTACTCACTACTATAATGAGTACCTTTTACTAAATACATGCCTGTGTCCTTAACTGTACATGTCCATGTAGCTAGCATTAAGGACTATTACGGGGAGCAGAGCTTTGTCATGTCCATGTGAGAGGTGATATGACGAATGCACATTTTTCACATTCACGTTGTTCTAAAATTGTCATAACTTTAAGGGGGGGTCTTTTTTAATAAAGAGTTATGAATTCCTCTTACCAGTATTACACTGTACTTTAACAGCAGGGTGTGTAATATGGAAATGATAATAGCTTTTATTATTATTTAAATTTCTTTGTAAGTTTCCCAATTTTTGTCATAAAATGAGCAGAAATTTTGAACCTGCAAAATTTCTTTCAACGGGGTATGCTGTTTGTTAGGTATATTATGGGTTTGGTATGTGACCAGAATGGCTTATCTTAGGGGTTGGGGTGGTCTGCTTTTATATATACAAGGATTTTATTGCCTCAATAATTTGGAATGGAAAATTTGTGTGTCCTGACCTATGCATCTTTTCTCAAAAGTATGATTCTGTCTGTAGTATTAATCATAGCCTAACTTGAATAACGTTTCATAGATCTCTGGACTGTAAATGCATATCCTGTACATCTAACCAAGCATTGTACATAACAGACAACTGTCATGCCAGCACAATACCTTTGTTGCCAACCTACAAGAAAGAACACTCTTTGCCACCATCTGCATATATTAAATGCCAGATGCACAGTTCATACACTACTGTAAACTACTGCTCTGCTTGCAGCAAGTTTTCATGGGTAGGGCCCAAATGCACCATGGGAAAGCTGTGGAGACTAATGGCTGTCGGTGTTGTTCATGTGCTCGTGCCAGTCTCGTGTTTCCCTTCGGCTAAATCCTCGCAGCATCGTTGTCGTTGTCGTGGTTACCAGAGCCACAGCACATCTATATCAACAACAAACACACACACGGTTAGGCCTCTAGGATTACTATAACTGCGTTGAATTTCACCGTGGTTTTATTTTGCAGTAGGAGGGAAAAGGAGGTTTTTGCAGTGTTTGAAGTTCATGGTGGAAACACTTCTGTACTGCAGTTGAAATACAAAACACATATTTGCAGTGTTATGATTTCACAGTAAGAGGTCACTGAAAAATGCGAAAGTAAAACCACTGCAAATATTAACCATTTACAATAGTTGCAGACAAAATGTAGTCATTCAAGTTTAGTCAATAAGTGGTAGAAGAGGACAGATAAGGAAGACCATACAGAGTACAGGAGGAAATAAGGAAACTTGCCAGTCATTGAGAGATGCCAAGCAGTTCAGTCCTATCAATCTACTCATCACTACTGTCACTACTGCAGCACACCTGCAGCGGACGAGAGGAAACAAAGAGAAGAGTTACAACCAGGAAAGAACTAAAGAGACTCTACAGACAGCTTAGTAGTTCACCTATAACAGCTAAGTAATAGCTCTTACACTAAGTAACAGCTCTTACAGTACCTGTGTTTGAAATTTGGCTATTCTTTCCTGAATCAGCAATGGAATGTAAACCAACAAAAGCAATATTGTTGCCAAGAAAGTCAAGGCAGCAATCGAAATATTGAACCATGGTTACATGGAATGATTGATATGCATGCATGTACATGTACTTGTTTGTTATTGGAAAGTATACGGTAGGGGTTTGATTGTACAGTCAAAACTGTCCGAGAAGACCACTCATCAGGGGATCAATAAAATCCGGTCTATGTGGAGAGTTGATCATCATAAACAGGATGCTTATAATTCTTGTGTCAATGGGAAAATTATCTAAGGGACCGACAAGAAGTGGTCACATTGGCCACAGTGGTCCTAAATGTAGAGGCCGGTCACTTGTACAGGTTTGACAACAGGAGGTGGCCTTCCTGACTACAGGATATTGAAGAGGAAAACCTACCTGTCGTTTGAATGTTCTGCTGAAGAAACCACGTCTTGGAGGGGAGGGGGCTGGTCCATTATGAGGTCAGGGGTGGGTTCACCATCTTCCAAAAACACGTTCAGCTCTTGATAACATTCTGTTTCTATCATCTGCCGGAAAGGAATAGTTCATCAGATTATCAGCTGAAGGAAACAATACTGTAATACTGGCAACTGTATGTGGTCACTTGACTTCACAACAATGCACCCATAGCATCATGCAATGATTACTCTGTCCCTTGCAATACAGCCTTCCCAACATAGAGGGCACTGCTGATATAAAGTGGACAAAGGAACACACTTGTCAGAAAACACTTGTCCATCCACTTTTTAAAACCCAGTGGAAGGATTATGTTGCTTTCAATAAGTTGGAATTAACTAGTTTGTCAAGTCAAAATGTGAAAGTTTTCTCCTTGTAACAAGCATTGATTAGTTTGAGTAGAAACGGGTGCCCACTGACCTCTTGTTGCCATGGAATGGAGACACTCCCAGTGTTGAACTTGCTGTAGAAGGACTCGTCAGCCTGGTCCAGGTTCACTCCCTTCACCGTGGAGAACTGCTCGATGTCCAGCACATCCTTGGCGTACACGGCTCTCGGCTAGAAACATGAGATGTGTCATGTCAAGGTGGCAGAACCACGGTTAACCTTTACCACACTGAGGTACATGTAACCATTTGGCTACCAATTCTCTATTGGCCCACAACAGGGAGAAGGTTAAGTTCTGAACTGTACTGTTCTCAGCCTATGAGGTATGAACAGTTTTAACAAAGAATATAGAGAATATAAAGTTTAATAAGTGGGCAAGTCTGAGAAAATAATTAAATTGATGTGACCTTAGCTCCCCAAAAACCAAACAGTTGACAATTGGTGAATTGTAATAGTTTAACATGACTCACGTCAGGTTCAAACTCGGGTTTCACCATGCCGGCCTCTAACCTCTTGAAGTTGAGTTTAAAGAAGGGGTGGGCCTTGATATCATCAGCACGGCTTCCCATGGCATCCTCCACACAGCCAAGACGCAACTTTGGGTCTTTCTGCAGAAGCTGTGGGGAAGAATGTGTCATAATATATTGACTCTACTGTACTAAAGGTGCAAAAAAGGCGTGATACTATTAACAGAGTTTTAAATAACTGGCCACTGAAAAGTTCCCAGAAAAAATTCTGATAGTACCAGTTCAATGCATTACATTGTGCATTTTACTTGAACAGACACTGGGTAAAAGAAATTATGCAGTTATGTCCTTCTATGACTTCAGCAACTTCTGTTGATTATCAATTATAAATAACTTCTGTGAATTCTTAAATTCACTTTGCTTCCTTAGTGTTTCTAGCATGATTGTGATATTGATATCATTGCAGTTACACAATGTACGCAAGCTTAATTTTCAAGAACTCTTCGACAGTTACTGTGTTATCACATAAGTCTCAAATGGGATAAGGAGCACATTTGAGCCAAAAAAGATTATGTTTCTTTAATATACAAGTCTGGATGTCGTTGTAGTCACTTACTGCGGAGCAGATGGTCTTTGCGTGTTCGCTGAACTTGTCGGAGTACGTTTCTGTGTCTTCTTTGACTCTCCTGTCCACCTCTTCCCTCTTCACCTTCTCTTTCCTTGCCCTGAAGGGAGCCTGCAATGCCAGGTAGTGTTTCAGTCAGTGTGAACAATTGTCCTCAAACATAATATGTTTCTAACATGCCTTATGTGTAACAGCCCCCTGGCAATCTCAATCCACAACCTTGAGGTAACTGCTATGTCAGCATCCCCAAACCTAGCCTGGGTACCATCCCCAGTAGTATATTCGCAAACTCTATAACTGGGTCTGGACTTGAACACATATGTAGCGTCTGGAGTCTAAATATTCGTTCAGATTTTGAACGAGCGCGCTGATTGGTCCTACTCGTCTAAGCCCTTTTTTGGGTGTGTACATATTAGGTAAGGGCTGTTCGGATGTCCGAACGGCGACGTTAGCGTCCGTTCGAACGTCCGAACGCCTTATCATCAACATGTCCGACGGCGAACCGAACGCTAAAGCGCACATGATATAGCCGTAGTCAGTCTTTCCGTGATAAATCATCAACATGGCTAACGCACAAGCCGCTCAGCTCACGGAGGTTGATGTTGACCTTGCAATCACGTCCGTTTTGGACGATTTAGACGGAATATCGTCGCTCAAAAATGAGCAAAAAGATGCATTGAATAATTTTGTTCGTGATGTTTTGGGCGTCCTACCGGTAAAAAAAGAACGCACCGAGAAAAGGAATACTCGCGCGAAGATCTGTGTTTACAAAACAACAAACATCACTTGAATAATGCAGGTGCGCCATTGGCCGTCGCCTCTGAGGCTCAGCCAATCAAATGAAGCCCCGCTGCTCGGGCTAGCTCATTACGTGACGTCATGACCAATCGTTTTATATGTGTTCAAGTCCAGACCCAGTTATAGAGTTTGCGAATATACTACTGGGGATGGTACCCAGGCTACCCCAAACCATGTCTATCACTATAAATCTACATAAAATGCAGAAGAAAGTCTTAAAATTACAAAAGCACAACAAAGCGCTACCGTCACCAAAACTACCCCCAGTATGAATCAGCTGTCACAAATTCTGTATTGAGTCAGGAAGGCGCCGCTGCACACTGTCAACTTTGCAACTCGAAGAAGGTTGAAGTTCACTTAATTGCAGATTGTAAGTTATTCCTTTTAACTTAATCATATTGTACAGAGGTTTACTCATTTTGAACTTGGGACTACATAGAACTAAAAAAACATTTCTTATGCATCTTGACCAGTCCATGTTCACAAATCCCAAGAGAGGGCAGAAGCCAAACCTATGTATTAGACTTACTACATGTAGTTTCAAATGTTAGGTACCGATATGTTAGTTAAGTCCTGTCAATACATGACAAATGTTACTACTAATTTTGTATCTATATGCCTTTACTTGGCCGATTGGGGCATGAGTGTACAATAAAGGCTATCTAATGAAAGATACCAGAAGGTGTCTGAAACATATGACTATCTTGACTTATAATACACTTATACTAGTACCAGTACTAGTTGTAGGCATTTAAATATGCTCAAGGCTGTGGCACTGTTGGAATTAACTTCCTTTCTATAGGAAGAAACCTTACGGGGGTTACTGACACTGTGTAGGGAATTCCAGAAATGTTTGATGACTCAGAACACTCCAATTAGCTTTTAATTTGCTGGTCCAATTAATAATGAAAGGCCCTAGCGTGCATCCTTATTATATTGTAACAAGGTTTGACCACCTTACACGCATGTATTCCCATAACAGATCTACATGTAAAGCCATGGCTTTAATTGCATACCCTTTGGTCTAGTCCAAAATAGAAAAGAAAGTTGTTTTCAGTAAAAGCATATTTTGACAAGTAGTACTTTTTCACCTTTAATGAGAATGTGTTCATATGTTAAGAAATATCTGCACGTACATTTAGTTAGTGAATTTAAGATGAAAAGTTTCAATCAGGTGCAAACCAACTGAAATTAATTTAATGTGGATAAAATGAAATCTTGAAAATATCCCTTGTGCAGACTTTTTGTATGCTTGGCAGTTCCAATATGTGCAGGACCTCAAGACTAATTCTATGCTACATGTACATGTACAGCACTAATGAATAAAGACTAAATAAATAGGCGCCCAGGAAATTGCAATATGGCTTGCGATAGCACCTTGCACCGTAATAATCAGATAATAATCACCTTCTTTTTCCTTGCCCTGAAGGGAGCCTGCAATTTCAGGTTGTGTTTCAGTAAGTGTGAACATTGCCCTCAAACCTAACATGTTTCTAACATGTCTTCAATGTGGATGTTGGATTGTTAGTTTAAGTTTGGTCAGACTTCAGTGTAACAGCCAACACTTTTGTTGCGACCATAGTCTAAAACTTGAGGAAATTACTCTCTGTATTCCCACTATACATGTAGCTCTAGATTAGGATGTACGAATTTCCCAGGTGGACATACATGTATCATCTTCCCTTAGCTGCACCGGAAACCTAATCTCTAGTGGAACACCTTGAATTGCCTTATTTTTTCAAACTTAATCAATACATATAATGTACAGCACACAGGCATGTACAGAATCTTCACACATAAGAGTGTAAGACTAACAGGCATTTCAATTTACAGCCTGGCCACATTTGTTGCAGGATTGTCAGATGATGGCAAATTTAGGACATACTTCTTGTGCTTCTGTCATATAAAAGTCAGCTGTCTGGTTACGGAAAAGGCTGTCTTAAGTCCTTGTTATAGGTTAGTTCTGTCAGAACATGCTTAAAAATTCTACAGCATAAAAATCATACGATAGCCTAAGACTAATGACACTACAGCTTTGTGTAAAAAAGAGGACAGGACGTAGAGAGCTGTTTAAGTTTCCAAACTACGGAGCTTCTTGCCTCGTAGAAAAAACAACAACAACAATGGCTAACGCACCTTTCCTTCTATCATCTCATAGATGAGACATCCGAGTCCCCACCAGTCCGGAGAGAACATGTACTTCTCATTCTTCACTACCTCTGGAGCTGGAGGGACACAACAGCATTGCTGACATCAGATACACACTCCAGTTTGTCATAGTTCTTAAGTTCATACAATTCATGCTGACTGTTGGCATACTGTATTACTATCAGGAAACCATTGCAAAGGATACATGTACATATCCTCATCTATGTGATTATATGGTATTACTTGTATTTTACATTAATTAACTGAAGCATGAAAGATATGACTGCCGCTATAAACACTTATATACATCTATTTTTGATATTCTCCACAGGCCTAAGCAGTAAACTAGACCAGCCTACCAACAAGCTAGCTGTGTTATGCTGAAGGGCAGTTATAGTGGCTATACCGATACAGATAAAGATACAGAAGCGAACACACAAATGAACACTTGTAAAATGAAATAATGTCCAAGAGAAAGGCAGCACCTACCCATGTAACCTACTGTTCCCACCCTACCCCTGATCATCTCTCCCTCAGGAATTTCCACAGCCAGACCAAGGTCCGATATTCTAACGTGTCCTGAAGAGAAAACAAAAAGAAAAGTCAAGATCATATTCAGGTAGCTTGACTGAAGTTATAACAGGCATTCCACTTCTGGCTCTTAGAATTCGAAGGGGCTCCACAGAGCTCTACACAATGAGAGTTTTTGTTACACAGGACTGATTTTCAGGGACCAATTAATCTAATGGGAAAGTTCTACTTTGACAATGGCCTGCAACTGTCATCAATTAATCTATGTTCCAATCTTGGCAAAGGACAGCTAATTCAAAAACATTATTTTGCCATTTTTTGTCTGCTCAATTGTCACTATACATTTGTAGTTCATGTCACCATAGTTTAAAAATCCCAAAATCTTTTGTGTACTTAGATTTAGAAACAGTGTACATGTATGACAGATACTCACCATGGTCATCTAGAAGAATATTTTCAGGTTTGAGGTCCCTAAATAATTGAGAAAAATAATGCATGACAAGTTTTACTACACATGACTTTTCTGTACATTAGGAATCTGGTCAAACTCAATCAGGAGTAAAGAACTAAAGGGTAGTAGAATCAAGTAAACATAAGCACACTACATGTGACTCATATTTAGACAGAGCAAATGTCTTTAATTTGAAATTACACAAATGAAAACCAGGGATGATTTGCAAAATATTCCATTCAGAAATTATACTACATGCTTATGATCAAAGATGTCCTACCCAAGGCAGGTCAAAAGTTGGAACTACAATGTAACTACTGAAGGTGGTAAAGCCAAGTCTCTGGTTTCTCTGAGTACTTGACCACCTGTGTGCCGAGTACCTACCACTGAGACAATTGGAAATAACAGGAGTAAAGTTTGTACACATGGCACTTCAGACAAGTAGCAGGGCCAGTGGCGGCCTGCCTCGCCAATTTACAGTAATAATATCTATTTGCAAACTTATGTCTGAAGGCTAACTGGATGGGAACACACGAATGCTATACAGTACTGTAAAGAGGTAAAAAAATCTGTTATAATGTTGAGTACTGAGGGGCTCAACTTTTTTTTAGTAAAATCACACTTTCTTTTAGATTTTTCATAGAAAAAGATTAAGTACAGTCACATTTTAATGATATGAATCTGCCTTGTCCCTCCGATGACCAGTGTCCGTCATGGGACTAGGTAGGTACATTGTAGGTAGGTGATTTTAGTAGAAACGTGTTGTTTTCTAGATGGTGAAAGCTTTGGGAAATTGCGGTATAATTTCAAAAATCCTGTTTCTGTCAGCCTCGATGAGGGCATTTATTTTCCACTATATCCATGATTGTACAATTCTTGCACAGTCTCTGCTGTACTTTTGTGTATTCAATAAGTAAGTCTCAAAGTCCTCCCTGCACCAAATAGTGCTGTTTCAATAGCCCTTAGGCCACACAACTTTATGCAATCACCATAGCACAGGGCTTGTCTACAGGTAGTGGTGTGGGTGTTCAACTTTCAGACTCTTTCCAAAAGGCTGAGTGCTAAGCAGAGGAATCAGTATGTACCATTTTAAAACTTTGGTATGAATTGACTGGGGATTGAACTTACAACCTAATAGACTGAATAATAGGCGAACACTCTACTTGCTAATGGTCATTGCACCAGCCAACATGTAAGTCTCACCTGTACACTATTCTCTCCTGGTGTAAATGCTGCAGTCCACATAAGACCTCAGCAGCGTAGAACTCTGCCCGGGACTCAGCAAAGCCCGGCTGGTCGCTCATGCTGTGGATGTGGAACTTCAAGTCTCCTCCGTTCATGATTGTCAGCACCAGACAAAGAGCGTCTTTGGTCTCGTATGCATAAGCTAAACTCACCTGGCATTGGCAAAGGATGGGACATTGTGCATTTGTACATGTAAATGTAAGTATCTCCAGAAAGTATTTAGTGTTTCTGTGAATTTATTGGCACAACAGGCCTAGGAAAGGCAGCCTAGGAAAGAAACCTTACACTAGTTACAGACTGAAAGCTTGCTATATATGCATTTTCCCACTTGCACCCGACCAACAGACTTCTGACTAACTTCCTGCTGCCAGGACCTAAGTTCTTGTGTCTGACCTTTTGTGGTCTGTGATTGAAGTGTAGGGAGACACAAGCAAACATACACACAAACACACCCCAAATAATACCTCTATACCCAGAAGTAAAAATCATCTCCATGTACATATTATTAGATAGCATACTGAGATGGCAATATTGATAGATCATACCACAATAATGGAAACTTCGCTAACGAGCAATATTTTCAAAATTAAAGTCCAAGCACGATTTCAAAGGTTTCTGAATTCTAAAAATACTACATAATATCATTATCAACATCACAAAACATCCAAAGAGTACTTACTACAAATCTGCTGTTGATCTTCTGCAGGATGGTTTTCTCATTCAGGGCCATGGCCTCTCCTTTTCTCTTCTTTATCCTTTTCTTTTCCAGCTTCTTGCAGGCATACATTTTACCTGTGGCCCGAACTTGGCAAGCGCACACCTCCCCGAACCCCCCCTTCCCCAAAACCCGATATTGCCTGAATGTGTTCTTTGTTACTGGTTGCCTGAAAGGGGGATCAGAGCAGATTGTGTATTAGAGGCAGTATTTACCATAAAACAGTGAGGCTCTAGACAACTGTATGACATCCATGACATTTTGTAGCATAAAATCATTGCTTTTGTGAACAGTGCATACTGAATATCAAATTTGTTATGTGAAAGACCATGAGAGTAGCTATATGTCATTAAATAATAATTTATGTCAAACTTAACTTAGAACATCTACCCATTAAAGAATAACTTAGGACTGTTCACACCAAGAAAATACAACATGGGTGGGGCACGAGATGTCTAAAAAATACAAGTGTGAAATGTTTTATATAATATCATATACACTGATGGATTATGCATTCAGCGATGTTATGAAAAAAATGGGGTGAGCAGTATCTTAAACTGACTTGTTCTAAAATTGTCTTGTCTTTTCTAAAAACCTTAGATGGAGACCTACCTCTCCAAATATTTCCACTGTAGAAATCTTGAAAAGTATATTTTGTCTTCCCGGAAATTTTCAAATGGTTCTCCACTGAGGTATTTTGATACTTCACTGCAAAGAGATAGAGAGAGAGAAAAGGACATTCAAAAACTTGAACACATGTTTGGATAGTTGTTGATGGCCCTTGAAGTCAATGAATAGTCATTTCAGAATTCAAAACAGTAGACTAACATTTGATACAAACACACCCACACAAAAATTGAATTAGAACTGAGACTGCTTTGGTTTAGGAACTACATATATACATGTACATGTAGTTGCCCTTTGACATGATCATGTACTGTATTTTTAAATCCCCTAGATATGGAGTCTATGCTAAAACTGCATATAAAGGTATAACGTTACATTATATATTTTCAAGCAACATCATTCCAAACACCCTTATATGATATATCACTAAAAGTAACACAACAATCCCCAACCTTACATGATTTAACCACGTCTACTATCATTTTATATTTATTGATCTAAATGCGACTTTGGCCAGTTGGTACACAAAACTAAGATTATGTGCATTGCTGAGAAATTTGTCTCATTTTGGATCTTGTATGTGTGGTATCCTTCAGCAGTTACTTCATTTCAATCTGAAAAGAAAGGCCTTTACATCCAGATGACCTGGCAGTTTATGTTACTGCGATGACCTACATTTTGTACATATTTGTGCTATTTGGATTGGCAATTTAATATGAACTGGGCCAATAAAACATTTCCGGATGCTTTCCATGATATTCCACCCACACACAAGCTGGGCCATCCGTATTTATTGACTTAGTTCTGGAATCCTAAGAAAAAAAAGGAAATGCAATCAGGTGGGTGTACATGGAACATTGCATGTACCCGTGCGTGCAAATTGTACGTCTGCCTTGGCCATGGGTGACAATGTCGTGTAAAGAGGACTTGTACTAAACTTCTGGTTTTAGATTAAAATATGTAAACCCCTCATGAAATGACAACAATTTACCACTAAAATAGCCAATTGGCTACATGTCTAACTTACAGCAGATTGGCCGAACTTGTTCAAGTCCTGGTCCACTACTGTACTGTACTTGTGCCTGTACATGAAATTTGCACTCTACACTAACCTGGATACCATCCTCTGTATTTCTTGCCGAATCTAAGTTTTTGCTTGCTACCATGGAAAGCAAAAAAGGATTGCCAATGCTTTCACATTACCAATGCCACCAATGTACCAATGCGTTTGCACTAATTTCCCTTCCCCCAGTCACCCTTCTGAGTCAGTCCCTTACCTTCTACATTGGTTGAATACATCTTTACTAGGTGTCTCCTCCTGTAAGGACTCCTGCTCCTCCGGCGTGTATCTCTGGATAGTTTCTCTACATTGTGATATGGTTTCTGAGCTGATGATGTCTCCCAAGTAGTCCGGGGACTGCAACAGGAAACAGGGAAATCATAATAAGATACATTATATCTTAAGGAACAAACACTCAAGAAGACTGCACGGTTCAATCAAGCTGCACATTAAACTTGCCTGATGCAAATATATTTCCACTCCTGTGATTACATTGCTATGGTTGTCCTTTGGAATAGACTTTTCATAAATCTGAGAAAGACATTAATTCATGTCATCTACCAGCTTGCTAGGGAATAGGTACAAAATACATGTAAACAAACAGATGTTTTCATTCTACTTTTACTTGGTCAAGTCTCTTTCTCCTTTGGCAGTCAGGGAATACAGGACTGGTTCGGTAATGTGATATATGATTACATACAGCAGACAAGGTAATCTGTTTCCAGACTAATTTTCAATGTCATCAAAACCAATACAGACATGCCAGCTCCTGTGGGAATGGCACCAAAATATTAACGTTGCCAACAAGAACTCTTGGTGACCTTATGTATGATGAACGTCACAAATGGCTCGGCCTGTCCTGGGCAACCCTACACTCATTATAGTAATAGGCATACATAAAAAAAGACTTGAAAAGGTATCATGGCTATTACTTCATAGTAGCCAGGAAATTCTTGATCACTTTAACCATCAGGTACAAGGTGGAATCATTACATTATTGGATCTAAGGCATCGGACAATAATGATACAAGTGCAACTTCTCCTTTGCTGCATTTGGAGGCCACATGTTTTGAGCTCCTGGCCAAGCAGGAAGCAATCAGAAGAACAAAGCTTGTAGTCCACACATCTAGAAGGAGAGGAGTCCTTTTCCAGGCATCATCCTATGTAAGCCTTTTGTCTTAAAATTTGCTGGTCTTATTTCTTAGATCTCAGTTCCATCAGTAATTTTCTCCCACAATCCTCCTGTTGCACATAACCTCACAATCAGGTCAGGGTTCTACCAGAAGTTTTTCTACAGCATAATAAGTGTTCAGGTATAGAACGCCAACTTTGTGTAGCACAAGCAGTGTGTTGACTAACAATTGAGTGGTAAAGAAATGTCCATAAAAGGAGACACCTTTTCCTGCCTTTTTGTAACATTTTCCCTGTTACAGCCTCATTCTAAAGCCAAAATTAATGTTAATTTGTTTCAAAGAAGGAATGTCACAGGATTCTCCCCCAAAGAAACACCCCTATGGTACCAGTATATGCTGGCTGAAACACCCCTTGTCTCACGATAGTTGAAAAACACTACACCCAAACTATGTTAGCTATAGCTAGAACACTGTTCCTGTCTGTATGATGCTTCAGGGACAGCAAAAGCCAAGTATTTGACGTTGCCACCCCCAAACTTGTCAGAGTGAAGGCCAGACACCCTAAACTGGAGGCTATAGCTACAAGCATAGACAAGAACATTCCAGAAGGACTGACATAGGACCACTGAAACAGGTGGTAATTTACTGGCAGCACACCCTGATAAAATACAAAGTTTTAGTCCAACAAAAGATCCACAACCTCTAGCCTGTTTTACAGAACTTTCCTGGTGGTTTTATTTTGCAGTAGGACTAGGAGGGAAATGGAGGTTTTCACTAATTTAAATTCATGACTGGTCTGAAACAATTTTGTAGTACAGCAATCAGTCATACAAGAAGTCATAGATATATTTGCTGTGTCATGAATTCGTGGTGGAGAAGTCACTGCAAAAGTGAAAGTTTTAACGATTTACAGTACTAGTACATTATCTCTCTTTAGGACGAACTGGTTTTCCCTCCCTCCCCAGTCAGTCCAGTGAGCCACTAAAGTATGGCTACACAACTTCCATCAGCAAAATGATTAAAATTGGGAAAACTGGGAATCAATTATTAAACCCAAGGCATTCTTTGCGCAAGCTTGCTTTAACGGGGAATGTAAATTGAAGGCAAAATTTATCACCATGGTATATAATTACATGATAAACAGGAAATTGAAAAGGGATTACATGTATGTTCTGATGAACAACAGGTGGCAGCATGTTATGGACTGGGGATAAAAAAAATGGGACTTGAGATTTTCCACCAATACAGGTTTTGATGCATATGTCGTCTTTGTAAATTTTCAACAAACCAAATTGTATTTGGATACACTATAATTTGGAGGTAAGCATGCAAAACTACTCTTCTAGGGTGTGTTTCCTTCTCAATATGTGGATTAAGGGAGATTCATTTGTCTAATGCTCATAAATATCCACATAAACAAGTTGGATTGAAAAGGACAGCAAAAGCCATTTCATTAACCTTCAAGGCAAGGTTGTGGCTGCAGGGGGATGGATTAATGTTACACCCAATTACTGTAAGTGATGGTCCCCACAGATAGTCACCAATACTTACACTTGAAATGACGAGGACATCTGAACTAGGAAAACGGTTTTGGATTAGGTTTTAGGTAATGAAAGACATATGATCGGGATGTATTGTTGCTGGCCATTTGTCATGGAGCCTTGGTAATTGAGTCCCGTTTCTTCTCAATCATGACAGAAATTTAGCCTGGATGTCAGTCTGTCAAGGCAAGAAGCAACTGAGAGAGTGTACTACAGCTATAAAGGCTGGAATCCAAGCTAACAGAAATTGTGCTTCAGGTTGGAAAACATCCTATCCCCGCAAGCTCTCCTCAAAATTACGAGCTATGATGACAGATTTATATTTTTGCTGAAAATATCATGGCAAGTTGGGCTTAGGTTGGTGGGCTGTTTAGTTTCAGTCTCATTGATATAAGCATAACAGCCATATTCATATTGTATGACAGAATCATTCTGATAATCATATGCAACACATGGCTATAGCAATACATGTAGAAATTTTGTACTAGCATTTCCAGTTTAACTTTAAAGCTACTGCATGTGGATGAAAAATGTTGCGGGAATTCTTGTCTACAACCTAAGTCATAAGTCTTTGCTCGCCAATGACTTATTTACAGACAAGAGTGACAGAAGTGCAGCTATAGTGAAATGGGAATAATGTCAGGGACAGTCTGAACTTTGAAGCAAACTGAAAACGTGGCCAAACTCAGGGTAAGGCGCATGCAGGTCTTTCATACAAGAATGTGTGTGGGCTGTCCACATGGATACACTGAGCAAGTTCAGCTACTGGTGGGCCAAATCAAGGGAGTCGCTGGATATGGAGACAAAAAAGTGTTGGGGTTTGGACTGGGAGTTGTACTTCATGATCAGCACAGGTTAAAAGAATTCAGACACCTTCTCACATGGAATGATTACAGTATTTAAAGATGGAATGATGAAAACAGTGTATTCAAAGGTAGAATTATGAAAATAATCACCTTTTCATATCAAGCTTACATTCATTATTTCACTTCAAGTTTCCATAACTAAACTAAACTAAGCAAAGCCAAAGACAAATAATTCTTTAGGTTATGACATTAAACACCGTCCAAAACATAAGGTCAAACCAGAAAAAAAAGAAGTTACGAGCGGAAAAGAGTTCAAACAAAGGCCCATGCCTGCTGTGTCTGTGTTGTTCCTATAGTCTATGAATATAACCTGTTGGGAGGCTCTCAAGTCACGTATGGTCCTGAGGGGAGCATATGTCCTTGGCACATAAGACACAAGCTAAATGTCACCAGGACATCATTTGTGAGGAGCTTGGCAAAAGAGGTGAAGAAGAAATTCTGGATAAGAAACATGAACACTAGGAGCGTTTATTGTAACAATGGCATGTTAAATGTTATATACTCAACAATACGTTGCAAAGCTAGAAAAGGAAGTAGGGTCATAGTCTACTTAATCAGATACATGGTCTGAAAAGGCAGCAAAACTCATTAACTCTACCAGGGTGCAAAACTTCCAAATATGGTCCTGTGTCTTGAACAGTGATCATTTTTCTGAAAAATATTTTGACTCCTATTATTACCTAATAATAGTAATATTATATAACGAAATCACCATTACAGGTAATTGTGAAGTCACATTTGTCATAGTACGATTTTGGTGTCATAGAATTTTCGAGAAAGCCATGACAGAACCAACAGTAGAAAACTGAAAAGGATCACAGTCTTTTCCATCCGCAAGTGAATATGGAATGTCAAATGCAGAACTATCCCAAGAATGTCTTCTGTTTGCGATCGTAAAGCGATTGTGTGACGAATGTGCCCGAACAGATCTTGCATTCATCATTGCACCTCACGAGCTCAGCCTCCCTGCCAGAAACTGATATTTTTCTTCCCTTCTCTTGTGTATTCTTAGAAATCTCCCACTGCGTCACTGACATCACAATCGATATCACCAGTTCTTCCACAAATGAACCTCTCCAGCGGAATCCTCCTTATAAGGAGTTTATCTGGAGAGGCATTCTCTGTCATGATTGATGCAGGGTTTTCCTCCACAGAGGAAACGGCCTCATTAGAATGCACCTGAAAGCTTGCATCTCTCCTCTGGTCCTATTTTTAGATAAACTAGCTGCCGCTATCGATCCAGTGGTCCTCCCTGGACCAATATAAATAATTTGGTGCCTATGAATGTATGCAGCAACAATTTCAAGCAAATTATACCTCAAAATGTTTTCATTATAGTGCCCCCGGGAAAATAGGGTCTCCGCTTTTGCCATCCTTGAAACAGAATGGTTGATACGGAGTGTGGGTGCATCTGTCCCATGCATGAATGTGCAATTTAGCCCAGATTCCAAAATGCTTCTAACCATTCTACGTCATGGAAGGGTGATAAAATCTGTTTGACACAGAATCTGTATTCAAAAGCATGCTAGATGTTGTCACCCCAGATAGAAGAGATATTTGGACATTTTGCAACATTATCTTTGTAGTTTTGGGGGATTTTCCACTATTACAGGGATATGGAATAAACACAATGTCATGATAATTTATCATTCATAAACAGGGCACTGAAATTCCTTTTTTTAATACCTATTCTTTGTATGAAAAGGAATTCCAGGAAGTATTTGGCATTTTTGTGAATTTATTGGAACAAAATTAAGACAGGTGCTTCCACTGACTCAAGACTCTAACCATCTTTTGTCTAAAAAGAGCCTGTCATTGTGCTGAATATTCAGCATCACGTTCCCTTGTAGAATTCCAATAGTGCAGGACAGGTAGCTGATTTCATGTCGGTGAAGTCATGGAATTTACTGATTCAGCTCAAGAACTAAATATCTTTTTTTCCTCCAAATTTTTCCTTCAGCCCTGAAAGGAATAATTTTCACTCACTCCCTCAAACGAAATTAAATACCGTAAATATGCAAAACTGATGTTACATTGGAGGAAAGTTGTACATGTACCTAGCAGTTGATGAAAACAGATACAGCAGAAATATACAGTACAAACCTCAGACTCTAAGAACTTGCTAAGGATCTGGGCAGCATCTTTTCTGTTGTCGTCTGTCGTCACCTCAAACTCTTCCTGAAAACAAGGTAAAGTAGACAGAATCATTATCAGCAGTTCTGTGTCATATGTGTAGAAACTGTTACTGTAAATCATGAAACTTTTGCAGGGTTTTTTTGCACTTTTCGTGGTGATCTCTCTACGAATTATATGTTAGACTACTGTACTACAGAATCATTCACTTGTGAATTTAAAACAGTGCAAATCTGCCTTTCCCTCCTACAAAATAAAACCGCAAAAAGTTTTATAATTTACAGTAGTAAGATTGCTAAACCATTTGGCTATGCCGTGCTGAAAGTAATAAAGTCCTAAATTATAAATGACCACTGCCGGGTTTAACATTATTATTTTACTTGTAATGAAATACATCTTCAGCATTATGATACAGATTTAATATAATCCTTAATATAGCTGGTACTTTCTAGAAGTTTAGAGGTTTGGCAATCTGCCTAGAGTAATTAGAAACAGTTGTATTCATTCCTGGGGTACACAAGAGTGACATTTGTGCCTCCTGCAATAGGCTTGGGAAAAATAGTTCTTTTCCATTTCAGTCCTGAAAAAAAAGGCTGGTATGTATGGATTCTCTTCTT